CAGTCAAAAGTCCTTGAAGCCAGCCAAGGTGTCCCTTTAATTTCCCTGTGTTGCCTCTAGCCGTGAAACGCCTCTGTGATAATCAGCAGTGTCTGGTGGTTCTTCTCCAGGAGTGCTCTCCGTACGCCGCCCACCTGTTCGATGCCGAGGACCCCTACACTCCCGTCAGAGAGTTGCCGGGCCTCTGCTCCGGATTCTGCTCCGAGTTCCACGGTAAATGTGGCCACGTGGTGATATATCTAACGGAGAACCGGCTGCTGCAGGACACGTCGCAGCGAGACGCTTCCACCTTCTGCAGCCTGGTGGACCTACAGGACCAGGACTACTGCTACCCCAACGTGCTGCAGAGCTCCAACCTCAACAGCAACCTGGGCCGCGTGGCCGAGGACCCCCGGGGCTGTCTGCAGCTGTGCCTGACGGAGGTGGCCAACAACCTGAGGAACCCGGTGCTGATGCTGCACAGCGGAGACGGCACGCATCGCATGTTCATCGCAGAGCAGGTGCTGTTTGAAGGGGCTCTTCCCTGTAGTGTGTTCGTTAGGTTTGTGTGCATGTAAATGATCTGCAAACGCTTCCATTGGACCCCTTTGTTTACTTCCTGAACATAGTGACGTCATTATGGGACACTGGCGCTTCTGTTGGCTGGCTCTCCAACACATTGTTTGTGATAGACTAAGGGGCGGGACATCTCTAAGCAGTTGATCAATCACAACAGTGCTGGCCAGCTAACCAATCAGAGTAATGGCATTTCTCTAGTCTTAAATGCAAGCAAGGGTGAATTAAGTTAAGTTCCCAGAGTCTATCATGTACTACTATTAAACAGGCATTGAGAAAGATATTACATTCAGCCTGAAGCGGTGAATCCTCTCTCCTGAAAGCTTCTATGATTCTTATTACCGCGCTCATTAAGACGTTCCCTCCCAGGTGGGCTTCGTGTGGGTCTACCTGCGTGACGGCAGCCGGCTGGAGACGCCCTTCCTGGATCTGAGCGGGGAGGTGATGACCACGGGCTGGCTGGGGGACGAGAGGGGCTTCCTGGGCATGGCTTTCCACCCAAAGTACAGAGAGAACGGACGCTTCTTCATCTACTACTCCATCCTGGTGGACAGCAAGCTGGAGGAAGTGAGGGTCAGCGAGATGAAGGCGTCCGAACACGATGTGAACGTGGCCGACCCGAACTCAGAGAGGTACGCTGAGCAGTGTTTGGCTGTGGAGGAATTTCTTAAGAGAAAATGATAGACGATTCATGGACAAAGTTTGTTTTTTGTTATATTTAATAAAGTAATAAAGAAAAAGAAAAAAAAGTCAATATACAATCAGAATCAGAATCAGGTTTATTAGCAGGTAGGTTGACACGTACGAGGAATTTGACTTGGTGTCGTCGGTGCATACATAAAGGTAAAACTAAAATGTAAAACACAGATAGAGAACTATTTTAAGAACACTATAATAACATAAAAAAATATATTTAAAATAATAAAAAATATAGCAGTATTGACAGAAATAGAATGGAATAAAGTGGAATAAAATTCGGCAGCAATAAAAAAAGAAAACAGACATTGTGTGCATCGATGTAATGTGAAAGTGAAATCGATCTGAAATGCAGGAACAGATATCATCCTCAGAGGATAAAGAAGTTCTGCTTCTCCTGCTATATATTCATGAGAGGAAACAGCTGGTCCGCCATCCCACCATTAAACCATTAAACCCCCTTGTCCTTAACCATTTCTAAATCCCCATCTTACACTTCCGTTTGCCCTCCTGACATCTAAAACCTTCACATATGTCTCTGTTAAACACATACAAGACTAAACATACAACTTAACAGTGTAAAAGGCAATCAGAGTATAAGACTATATGTTTAAAATGATTATTTGATCATTTGACACGACACTGGGGTAGTTACTCAAACACTTACTTTACTAAATGACTCACTGCAGACAGTAATTAGTTATACTACTAGTTACCTTTTGACTCATGTAGTTCTTAGTAACTGTAATGTGTTTCTGCATTACAGACAAACGTAATCTGATTACTTTAACGTTACTTTGTAGATTGCTACACTGACGATGAGAGAGAGCTGCTTTGTTTTTCTATGATGATGAGGAAGATGCTCTGATGTAATTACCCATTGAAAGACATTCACCGTCTCCCCCTCCAGGGCTGTGCTGTGCATCAACATGTTTTCTGCTGTATATCACAACCAAAACCCTAAAGCAGGGGTGTCAAACTCAAGGCCCGGGGGCCAAATCCGGCCCGCGACTTCATTTCATGTGGCCCGCAAGAGCTCTGAAAGAATGTAATATGTTTATTATACGGTTACATGCCGATTTACAGAAACACGATGTCCATACACTACATGTCCCACAATGCATCTTAAATTTGACTTTTTTTTCAAAATGTCACTTCTTTATAAATAATTTTGTGACATTCTCACTGAAGAGACTTGCACTTATTGCCCTAGACTTTCAGACGCAGTTATTTATGACGTTTTTAGCCTATCCGATAATAATCCAATGCAGAGGCAATAAAGTAATATAACACATTATTTTATATATATTAAATATATATATATATGTATGTTTATATAGTCTTAAAGTTACAATCGGCCCTTTGAGTGCAACCATAATGCTAATGTGGCCCGTGATGAAATTGAGTTTGACTCGCCTGCACTAAAGCATCGGCTCTTAAGAGATCAAATACTTAAGAATCGTAGCAACCTGATATCTATTCCTGAAAGACAACAAATATAACTTCTAGTAAACTGTGATTGAACACAACTTTCAGCAGAGGTGGGAAGTAGTGGCGTACAAATACTTTGTTACTGTACTTAAATACATGTTTCTGGTATCAGTACTTTACTCCACTACTTATTTTTCTGACGACTTTGACTTCTTACATGTTGAACCCAAATACCTGTACTTTCTACTTCTTACATGTTGAACCCAAATACCTGTACTTTCTACTTCTTACATGTTGAACTCAAATACCTGTACTTTCTACTTCTTACATGTTGAACCCAAATACCTGTACTTTCTACTTCTTACATGTTGAACCCAAATACCTGTACTTTCTACTTCTTACATGTTGAACCCAAATACCTGTACTTTTTACTTCTTACATGTTGAACACAAATACCTGTACTTTCTACTTCTTACATGTTGAACTCAAATACCTGTACTTTCTACTTCTTACATGTTGAACCCAAATACCTGTACTTTCTACTTCTTACATGTTGAACACAAATACCTGTACTTTCTACTTCTTACATGTTGAACACAAATACCTGTACATTCTACTTCTTACATGTTGAACTCAAATACCTGTACTTTCTACTTCTTACATGTTGAACACAAATACCTGTACTTTCTACTTCTTACATGTTGAACTCAAATACCTGTACTTTCTACTTCTTACATGTTGAACACAAATACCTGTACTTTCTACTTCTTACATGTTGAACTCAAATACCTGTACTTTCTACTTCTTACATGTTGAACTCAAATACCTGTACTTTCTACTTCTTACATGTTGAACCCAAATACCTGTACTTTCTACTTCTCACATGTTGAACACAAATACCTGTACTTTCTACTTCTTACATGTTGAACTCAAATACCTGTACTTTCTACTTCTTACATGTTGAACACAAATACCTGTACTTTCTACTTCTTACATGTTGAACACAAATACCTGTACTTTCTACTTCTTACATGTTGAACACAAATACCTGTACTTTCTACTTCTTACATGTTGAACTCAAATACCTGTACTTTCTACTTCTTACATGTTGAACACAAATACCTGTACTTTCTACTTCTCACATGTTGAACTCAAATACCTGTACTTTCTACTTCTTACATGTTGAACACAAATACCTGTACTTTCTACTTCTTACATGTTGAACACAAATACCTGTACTTTCTACTTCTTACATGTTGAACTCAAATACCTGTACTTTCTACTTCTTACATGTTGAACTCAAATACCTGTACTTTCTACTTCTCTCATTTCCCAAACAGCTGGTTCCTTTAGTCTGAATGTGTGTTTGGTGCGTGATCATTATTCTTTAGAGTCATTGCGTGCCTATTGATTTGAACACGATCCGTGTATCCATCATTTCCTGGTCTTCTCTAAAGAAGAGGGACCAATGGAAACGTTGTCATGTTGCCGTTGTTCAGCATGGAAACATTCATTAGCTAACAATGACATTATTGTTCTATTAATATAAAGGGAGGTCAGGTACTCTTTAAAACAGCTGCTAGTTATGGGTACTTTTTACTGAAGTACATTTCAAAGCCTTTACTTTTACTTGAGTAAAGAAGTTTAGTCAGTACTTCTACTTTTACCAGAGTATTTTTAAACACGAGTATCTGTACTTCTACTTGAGTAAAGGATGTGTGTACTTTTGCCATCTCTGACTTCCAGGGTCATTCTGGAGATCGAGGAGCCGGCTGCGAACCACAACGGAGGCCAGCTGCTGTTCGGACTCGACGGATATTTGTACATCTTCACCGGAGACGGAGGAAAAGCCGGAGATCCTTTTGGGAAGTTTGGCAACGCACAAAACAAGTAAGAACATCCTCTAACCATAACAGCCCTATCAGTTACTAAGAGGCCTTTTAATGAGCCTCTACTGGGACATGTCTCCATGCTTTCATGTTCAAAAAGCTCTGCAGCACCTCTTTTCACCCTCTGTCTGAAACCAGAGCCCAGTCTGCTCTGATTGGTTAGCTGGCTGGCTCTGATGTGATTGGTCAACAGCTTAGAGATGTCCCGCCTTGAGAGAAAATCCCCAAACAGCAAAATAGTCCCCCTATACATTTAAATTGAAACTGGATGGATAATTGATGATTAGAAATTGAAATCTAAATATGAATAAGCTAACTTCTAACCAGCTACAGTAATATTAATTATAGTGATATTTTTCCAAAATGTATCCATTGCAGTTTCAAACACTTTCTACATGGTACTACAATGGTTTAAATATCTCTACTTGCTTCATGTTTAGTTTTTATTTTAACTTGTGTTCGGGTGTTACAGCTGTCTTTTCAGGATGTCTCTCTATCAAACAAAAATACATCTCAATAAATATCAAAGCTAATCCACAATATATCTATACGTTGAATAGTCTGGTCTAATAATAAGAAATGAAAACGAAAATATGAATTAGCTTCGATAACTTATAGCCAGCTACAGTAATATTACTTACATATGGTTATATTTTTGCAACATTTAACCATTGCTTTTCACAATTTCAACTCTTTCTACATTGTTTAGCTAACTAGAAATTGAAATCTAAATATGAATAAGCTAACTTCTAACCAGCTACATTAATATTAATTATAGTGATCTTTTTCCAAAATGTAACCATTGCAGTTTCAACCACTTTCTACATGGTACTACAACGGTTTAAATATCTCTGCTTGCTTCAGGTTCGTTTTTAATTTCAACTTGGTGTGTTCGGGTGTTACAGCTGAGGATGTCTCTCTATCCAACTAAAAAAAATATCAATACATCTGAAAGCTAATCCACAATCTATCTACGCGTTGTAAATCCCCCCCCCCCCCCCCCAAGAAGTGCTCTTCTGGGTAAAGTCCTGCGTATCGATATCGATGTAGACGGTGGTGACCCCGGTGCTCTTCAGTACCGGATCCCCCCCGATAACCCGTTCCTCGGAGACCCCTCTTCCCGCCCCGAGGTGTTTGCATACGGGGTCAGGAACATGTGGCGCTGCTCCGTGGACCGCGGGGACCCGGGGACTCTGCAGGGCCGCGGGAGGATGTTCTGCGGAGACGTGGGTCAGAACCGCTACGAGGAGATCGACATCATCGTGAAGGGCGGGAACTACGGATGGAGAGCCAAGGAGGGCTTCGAGTGCTACGACGTGAAACTGTGCCAGAACTCCTCCTTAAGTGAGTCATTTCTGATAAATATCAAAAGTTATTTTTGAGGCGCTTTAACCTCTTTCAGCTTGAGTCAGTATTGTCTGCAAAAAGCTGTCATAAAATCACTTTATTTTATTTTTTTGTTTTGGACGTAATCTCGTCTTTGTTTACATGAGCAAGCCTCGCTAACACTCAGAGCTAACCTGTGCTGGAGAGCACATGTGTTTAAAAAGCAGGAAATAAAAAAAGGAACTCACCTTGTGATAAACCTGCAAGAGAAAAAGCATTTGAGCTCCATACTGTTTCAGAAATAATCCTTGATGTGGTTTAGAACAGGATGGCGTTTTATCACAGCAGAATTTAACTTTATCTCCAGTAGAATTCTGATCAGGCATTAGCTCCGCCTCCTCTTCCTTTTTTTTTTCAAGCTAAGGACCCAAAATCCGCGTTTCTCTAACAGGGCTGCAACAGAGGGGTTTGAGCAGTATGAGGCATGGCTACAACGGGGGATCTGTTTGGTATTTGAAGCAAAACACTTCACAGACATGTTTTGTATAGGTATGGCCCTACAATATATGTTTCAAATATAGCATGATAGGTCCACTTTAAGAGAAACAAGATTAACGAACAAAAGCAAACCTCTGCTGTACGACGGTTTCCCGCCAAGCTACATACAAAATAAACTGCTTTATTCAAGGTTTATACCGAGTATAAGTGTGTCCACATGTTGGAGAGGAGAAGACCTCAGCAGATACTTTGGCTCTCGTAAAACTCGCAAAACTCCATATTTTCTTACCATTTTGATGAAGAGACCCTGCCTCCTAACCACCTGTTACTTTGATCACTTTCAATCTAATTTTGGTTCTTCAGACTGTTTTTAAATCGTCTCTCTCTCTCTCCTCGGCAGATGACGTCCTTCCTATATTTGCGTACAGCCATCATGTTGGGAAGTCTGTGACGGGGGGGTATGTGTACAGAGGATGTGAATCACCCAATCTGAACGGCCTGTACTTCTTCGGAGACTTTATGAGTGGGTAAGATGAGTTGATCTACGCCAATAAAAGAAAAGACACTTTTCAGAAGACAAGGAACAACTTGTTTGCTCAGCTGTTGTCTAAAAAAAAACGTGCATTTCTGAATGACTAGTACAGAACTACAGGGATCACGTCTGTCCAGATTACATTGATTTCCAAAAGTGAAGGATTATATGGTGGCCCTGAAGGTCCAAACTCAAACATATTTCACAACAAATAAACAAGATATTCCACACAAAAAAACCTGTTTCATAAAACACAACATTTCACAAATACACCCAAAACATAATGCATAAAATAATGAAAAAAAACACAATTAAAGTAATAGTCAAGAAAACTACAATACAGTACAGTACATTTAAATATATAAAATAAACATTATAGGCTGTATACAAATACAGTTATGTCCTTTAACTTAAACCTGTGTTATATAATGCTTTTTGTTCAAAGTTAAACTACAGGGTGTTTAACATTTTAAACAAAAATGAACATGTCACATTAAACAAGGGGAGATTGAAATACATTTTAGAGGATTAAGATTAGGGGAATGCTTAAAAGATGTGTCTCGAGAAGACGTTTTGGCTGTGATTTCAGTGCATTTCTACAGTCCTTAAAATAAACTGTATGTCAGGACCTCGACACAAACTGACGAACCCAAACGCACGACCCAGAGACAAAGTCTTGAATGTCATTAAAAAGTGTATTTATTTTAACAGATCAGGTAATCCCTCTTAACAGAGTAGGTAGTGGAAATAACAAAAAGCGCTCACAAGGAGGAAAAAACTAGCGTAACAAAAAGAGGATTTAATAAAAACTTAACCCTAACAAAATAAACAAAACCTGACATGAGTGAAAAGCGATCCTTTCTGAGCAACAAACAAGACGAACTGACACGGGACAGGGGAGAGACAGGACTGTTTAAACATGAGGTGAGTGGGAACAGGTGGAAACACGTCAGGGGCCTGAAATGAAAGACAAGAGGTAAGTACAAAATAAAACAGGAAATGACAAAATACATACAAATAACTAACACATTTGACGAGACACAACACTGTAGGACTATCCTCATATATAAGGCCTCATATCAAATTAAAACACAAATTATAGATTTTTTTCCATATTTTGTTATGAACAAAACCTAAAATAAATTCATTATTTAAAGCAGGATTTGTACAGGAGTGATTCTATACCCAGATTATTGTTTAATAACTGTATTAATTACTGCCTTTTAAAGGTCCCCTATTATACTGTTTTTCATCCATATATCACAAGTCTCAGATATATACAGAACCTGTCTCTGATTGGCTGAAACACCAAACAGATCATTGCAGCATTACCCATAATCCCCTCTGTTTCAGCCCTGTTTCCAAAGTGCTGATTCTCTGTCTGTTACTTTAGATGAAAATAAGGAGCCCCTCCCCACGCCCCTCTAGAGAAACATTTGGTTACAAAGAACTCAATGGTGCTCTAGGAGGAGATTCAGGTGATAAGGGGGGGGGGGGGGGGGTTACCTTGGTTGCTGATTGGCTAATAGTTACACAAGACAAAACATCGTTATGACATCACAAAGTGGCCAAAATCTGATCAGCTCATTTTCAGACAGGTTTTTATAGAAATGGATCAAAAAGAGAGAGAATCTTTGTTCCTGAAACTTTCAGAGTCTCTTTCCACAGAGGGGACACATGTTGATGTAGAAGAGACATGAAGAAGAGGGGACACATGTTGATGTAGAAGAGACATGAAGAAGAGGGGACACATGTTGATGTAGAAGAGACATGAAGAAGAGGGGACACATGTTGATGTAGAAGAGACATGAAGAAGAGGGGACACATGTTGATGTAGAAGAGACATGAAGAAGAGGGGACACATGTTGATGTAGAAGAGACATGAAGAAGAGGGGACACATGTTGATGTAGAAGAGACATGGAGAAGAGGGGACACATGTTGATGTAGAAGAGACATGAAGAAGAGGGGACACATGTTGATGTAGAAGAGACATGAAGAAGAGGGGACACATGTTGATGTAGAAGAGACATGAAGAAGAGGGGACACATGTTGATGTAGAAGAGACATGAAGAAGAGGGGACACATGTTGATGAAGAAGAGACATGAAGAAGAGGGGACACATGTTGATGTAGAAGAGACATGAAGAAGAGGGGACACATGTTGGTGTAGAAGAGACATGAAGAAGAGGGGACACATGTTGATGTATAGGGGGCATGAAGAAGAGGGGACACATGTTGATGTAGAAGAGACATGAAGAAGAGGGGACACATGTTGATGTAGAAGAGACATGAAGAAGAGGGGACACATGTTGATGAAGAAGAGACATGAAGAAGAGGGGACACATGTTGATGTAGAAGAGACATGAAGAAGAGGGGACACATGTTGATGTAGAAGAGACATGAAGAAGAGGGGACACATGTTTATGTAGAAGAGACATGAAGAAGAGGGGACACATGTTGATGTAGAAGAGACATGAAGAAGAGGGGACACATGTTGATGTAGAAGAGACATGAAGAAGAGGGGACACATGATGTAGAAGAGACGTGAGGAAGAGGGGGACATATGTTGATGTAGAAGAGACATGAAGAAGAGGGGACACATGTTGATGTAGAAGAGACATGAAGAAGAGGGGACACATGTTGATGTAGAAGAGACATGAAGAAGAGGGGACACATGTTGATGAAGAAGAGACATGAAGAAGAGGGGACACATGTTGATGTAGAAGAGACATGAAGAAGAGGGGACACATGTTGATGTAGAAGAGACATGAAGAAGAGGGGACACATGATGTAGAAGAGACGTGAGGAAGAGGGGACACATGTTGATGAAGAAGAGACATGAAGAAGAGGGGACACATGTTGATGAAGAAGAGACATGAAGAAGAGGGGACACATGTTGATGTAGAAGAGACATGAAGAAGAGGGGACACATGTTGATGAAGAAGAGACATGAAGAAGAGGGGACACATGTTGATGTAGAAGAGACATGAAGAAGAGGGGACACATGTTGATGAAGAAGAGACATGAAGAAGAGGGGGACACATGTTGATGTAGAAGAGACATGAAGAAGAGGGGACACATGTTGATGTAGAAGAGACATGAAGAAGAGGGGACACATGATGTAGAAGAGACGTGAGGAAGAGGGGACACATGTTGATGAAGAAGAGACATGAAGAAGAGGGGACACATGTTGATGTAGAAGAGACATGAAGAAGAGGGGACACATGTTGATGTAGAAGAGACATGAAGAAGAGGGGACACATGTTTATGTAGAAGAGACATGAAGAAGAGGGGACACATGTTGATGTAGAAGAGACATGAAGAAGAGGGGACACATGTTGATGTAGAAGAGACATGAAGAAGAGGGGATACATGTTGATGTAGAAGAGACATGAAGAAGAGGGGACACATGTTGATGAAGAAGAGACATGAAGAAGAGGGGACACATGTTGATGTAGAAGAGACATGAAGAAGAGGGGACACATGTTGATGAAGAAGAGACATGAAGAAGAGGGGACACATGTTGATGTAGAGGAGACATGAAGAAGAGGGGACACATGTTGATGTAGAAGAGACATGAAGAAGAGGAGACACATGTTGATGTAGAAGAGACATGAAGAAGAGGGGACACATGTTGATGAAGAAGAGACATGAAGAAGAGGGGACACATGTTGATGTAGAAGAGACATGAAGAAGAGGGGACACATGTTGATGAAGAAGAGACATGAAGAAGAGGGGACACATGTTGATGTAGAAGAGACATGAAGAAGAGGGGACACATGTTGATGTAGAAGAGACATGAAGAAGAGGGGACACATGTTGATGTAGAAGAGACATGAAGAAGAGGGGACACATGTTGATGTAGAAGAGAAATGGAGAAGTGTATTTTGCATAATAGCTGACCTTTAAATGCATCCTTTAGTCGCATCATGGCGTTGGAGGAAGACAAGACGACGGGCAGCTGGAGGGAGAAGAGTGTTTGTATGGGAGAAACAAAAACCTGCTCGTTTCCAGGACTCATCAACCACCACCACAAGTTCATCATCTCCTTCGGCGAAGACGAAGCCGGTAACAACTATTCTCAACCCTATAAATCATGCATGAAGATCCATAGCTGAGTTAAAGTAGATCTACCATGGTCTAAGGATGCTTCTTTACATGTAAAATGTGAATTAAGTCGAAGTACAGAAGCACGGTACTGCAACATTACATTAAAGCATGTGTTTTTATATGGAAAAAGAATATGTTGTTCATTACTACACATATTTTATACCAATTCTACTTCAACCATATTCAATGTAAATACTGCTATATTTCACTATATTTTGTAATGTTATTATAATTTTCAGGAGGCGCCAGGGGGGTCACTCAAAGTTTGAGGGAAACAGGTTTTTTTTTTAATGTTATTAATAACTGCATATCTATCAATCTATGTGTCCTTTGATGCCAATCTTTTCGTATTTTTTGTTTTTGAATCACACGACCGCCCTTCAAGCCAATCAGAATCGAGCTGCCGCTACTGCGAGTGAAAATCTGCTCAGCTTTCGGAGCAAGTGAGAGCTAGTGAATGTTTCGCTCTGCAGCTGGATGAGAGCACGGATGTAGCAAATGTTGCAGAATTGCTTGCATACATCAGATTTATTTCAGAAGACAACTTTGTTGAGGAAATATTATTTTGCAAAGCACTGGAAGGTAGGACCACAGGAAGAGACATGTTCCAAGTTTTAGATGAGTACATCATCTCAAACGGACTTGACTGGTCTCGTTGTGTGGGTGTGTGTTCAGATGGGGCAGTGGGGCTATGGAGCTAGCGGAGTGACAGCTTCGATCAGGCAGAAGTGACAGCTTCGATCAGGCAGAAGTGACAGCTTCGATCAGGCAGAAGTGACAGCTTCGATCAGGCAGAAGTGACAGCTTCGATCAGGCAGAAGGCCCCAAATGTAGTGGCAACGCACTGCATGTTCCATTGGGAGGCACTTGTACACATCATTTAAAAAAAAGATTGCAACAGGGGGGTCCCCGCCAGAGGATAATGCTATATGGGGTCCTTGGCATGGCAAAGTTTGGGAACCCCTGTGTTAACCTACCTGGTGATAAACCTGTTTCTGATGCTGATGAGTGGTAAATGTAGAATGTGCTATACGTCTCTCCACAATGTAGTGGAAGTATATAGTACTCGAGTTAAATATCTATCACTATATCTACTTTGTTACACTCCACTTTAGTATGAAATCATGTACTAAGTAATACTCTCCATTTTTGTTTCAGGGGAGCTTTATTTCCTGGCCACAGCGTACCCGAGTGCCACGTCTCCGTATGGGACCGTTTTCAAATTTGTGGACCCCTCCAGGTGAAGCATCCATACAGCTCACAATAAAGAATGTGATTTTAATTAAAAACACGTTTGTTTTATGTTATTATTATACATGGTGACATTTGCTTTCTGTGAAAAAATTTCTTCCAACGCATGTGTACAATGTTGTGTTTCATTTCTGCAGGAGAGCTCCTCCGGGGAAATGTAAGCAGAAGCCGCTGCCGGTCAAAGTGAGAGGGAAGAAGATTCCCTTCGTGCCCCGAGAGCGTACGTCACCTTCAAATGTTATCACTTCTTCTTCTTATAAAACGTCTTTATGGTGTTTGCATACCAGACATGTTCAGAATGTCCATTCTGCTGATGTTCAGGTGTATATCAGTATGTAGTGTCTAGAGACACTACATACTGATATAGACCTGAACATCAGCAGGAGAGGACTCTTTAAAGTAGAGACACTACATACTGATATACACCTGAACATCAGCAGGAGAGGACTCTTTAAAGTAGAGACACTACATACTGATATACACCTGAACATCAGCAGGAGAGGACTCTTTAAAGTAGAGACACTACATACTGATATACACCTGAACATCAGCAGGAGAGGACTCTTTAAAGTAGAGACACTACATACTGATGTACACCTGAACATCAGCAGGAGAGGACTCTTTAAAGTAGAGACACTACATACTGATATACACCTGAACATCAGCAGGAGAGGACTCTTTAAAGTAGAGACACTACATACTGATATACTCCTGAACATCAGCAGGAGAGGACTCTTTAAAGTAGAGACACTACATACTGATATACACCTGAACATCAGCAGGAGAGGACTCTTTAAAGTAGAGACACTACATACTGATGTACACCTGAACATCAACAGGAGAGGACTCTTTAAAGTAGAGACACTACATACTGATATACACCTGAACATCAGCAGGAGAGGACTCTTTAAAGTAGAGACACTACATACTGATATACACCTGAACATCAGCAGGAGAGGACTCTTTAAAGTAGAGACACTACATACTGATATACACCTGAACATCAGCAGGAGAGGACTCTTTAAAGTAGAGACACTACATACTGATATACACCTGAACATCAGCAGGAGAGGACTCTTTAAAGTAGAGACACTACATACTGATATACACCTGAACATCAGCAGCAGAGGACTCTTTAAAGTAGAGAAACTACATACTGATCTACACCTGAACATCAGCAGGAGAGGACTCTTTAAAGTAGAGACACTACATACTGATATACACCTGGACATCAGCAGGAGAGGACTCTTTAAAGTAGAGACACTACATACTGATATACACCTGAACATCAGCAGGAGAGGACTCTTTAAAGTAGAGACACTACATACTGATATACACCTGAACATCAGCAGGAGAGGACTCTTTAAAGTAGAGACACTACATACTGATATACACCTGAACATCAGCAGCAGAGGACTCTTTAAAGTAGAGACACTACATACTGATCTACACCTGAACATCAGCAGGAGAGGACTCTTTAAAGTAGAGACACTACATACTGATATACACCTGAACATCAGCAGGAGAGGACTCTTTAAAGTAGAGACACTACATACTGATATACACCTGAACATCAGCAGGAGAGGACTCTTTAAAGTAGAGACACTACATACTGATATACACCTGAACATCAGCAGGAGAGGACTCTTTAAAGTAGAGACACTACATACTGATATACACCTGAACATCAGCAGGAGAGGACTCTTTAAAGTAGAGACACTACATACTGATATACACCTGAACATCAGCAGGAGAGGACTCTTTAAAGTAGAGACACTACATACTGATATACACCTGAACATCAGCAGGAGAGGACTCTTTAAAGTAGAGACACTACATACTGATATACACCTGGACATCAGCAGGAGAGGACTCTTTAAAGTAGAGACACTACATACTGATATACACCTGAACATCAGCAGGAGAGGACTCTTTAAAGTAGAGACACTACATACTGATATACTCCTGAACATCAGCAGGAGAGGACTCTTTAAAGTAGAGACACTACATACTGATATACACCTGAACATCAGCAGGAGAGGACTCTTTAAAGTAGAGACACTACATACTGATGTACACCTGAACATCAACAGGAGAGGACTCTTTAAAGTAGAGACACTACATACTGATATACACCTGAACATCAGCAGGAGAGGACTCTTTAAAGTAGAGACACTACATACTGATATACACCTGAACATCAGCAGGAGAGGACTCTTTAAAGTAGAGACACTACATACTGATATACACCTGAACATCAGCAGGAGAGGACTCTTTAAAGTAGAGACACTACATACTGATATACACCTGAACATCAGCAGCAGAGGACTCTTTAAAGTAGAGACACTACATACTGATCTACACCTGAACATCAGCAGGAGAGGACTCTTTAAAGTAGAGACACTACATACTGATATACACCTGGACATCAGCAGGAGAGGACTCTTTAAAGTAGAGACACTACATACTGATATACACCTGAACATCAGCAGGAGAGGACTCTTCAAAGTAGAGACACTACATACTGATATACACCTGAACATCAGCAGGAGAGGACTCTTTAAAGTAGAGACACTACATACTGATATACACCTGAACATCAGCAGGAGAGGACTCTTTAAAGTAGAGACACTACATACTGATATACACCTGAACATCAGCAGGAGAGGACTCTTTAAAGTAGAGACACTACATACTGATATACACCTGAACATCAGCAGGAGAGGACTCTTTAAAGTAGAGACACTACATACTGATATACACCTGGACATCAGCAGGAGAGGACTCTTTAAAGTAGAGACACTACATACTGATATACACCTGAACATCAGCAGGAGAGGACTCTTTAAAGTAGAGACACTACATACTGATATACACCTGAACATCAGCAGGAGAGGACTCTTTAAAGTAGAGACACTACATACTGATATACACCTGAACATCAGCAGGAGAGGACTCTTTAAAGTAGAGACACTACATACTGATATACACCTGAACATCAGCAGGAGAGGACTCTTTAAAGTAGAGACACTACATACCGATATACACCTGAACATCAACAGGAGAGGACTCTTTAAAGTAGAGACACTACATACTGATATACACCTGAACATCAGCAGGAGAGGACTCTTTAAGTAGAGACACTACATACTGATATACACCTGAACATCAGCAGGAGAGGACTCTTTAAAGTAGAGACACTACATACTGATATACACCTGAACATCAACAGGAGAGGACTCTTTAAAGTAGAGACACTACATACTGATATACACCTGAACATCAGCAGGAGAGGACTCTTTAAAGTAGAGACACTACATACTGATATACACCTGAACATCAGCAGGAGAGGACTCTTTAAAGTAGAGACACTACATACTGATAAACACCTGAACATCAGCAGGAGAGGACTCTTTAAAGTAGAGACACTACATACTGATATACACCTGAACATCAGCAGGAGACGACTCTTTAAAGTAGAGACACTACATACTGATATACACCTGAACATCAGCAGGAGAGGACTCTTTAAAGTAGAGACACTACATACTGATATACACCTGAACATCAGCAGGAGAGGACTCTTTAAAGTAGAGATACTACATACTGATATACACCTGAACATCAGCAGGAGAGGACCCTTTAACAAACACACTGAACTCAGGTAGAATAACACCCGGTCTGTTTTTTTAAATATTGAATCCAGGCTTAAGAAAATGCAACATGTGCATCTTTTAAACTGTGTAAATTGTACTTGTATTCCCTTTTCAGTGACTGTGTTGGACACAAACGAAAAACCAACGAGACCACCACCGAGAAAATTCAAACTCACCGCCAAACCGACGACAACGCCGAGCCTCGTCACGCCTGCAACGACGACAACATCGACCACAACAAAGAAGCTGCAGCCATGGAAGAAAAATAAGAAGCTGAACCAGCAGCAGAAGAAGAAGACTCTGAAGAAGATATCCAAGACGAGCGTCAGAGACAAACAACAACCAAAAGCAACGGATGATTTAAAAAGCAACGCTCTAAAAAACACAAACAGCCCGAAGAATCGCACAATCCTGCACGAGAAGAACAGCTTGAAGTGGAAGAAATCACAGAAGTTCACGAACAAAACTCAGACAGACTTGAATGTGAGAACAATCAGAACAATGCAAAATACACTCAAGGTGAAAAGGAAGCAAGCTAAAAATGCAAAAGCACTTTAAAATATTTATTCTGTTATTATTTTGGGTACATTTCTATTTGTTTTAAAGGAATTGTTTGAGATTTTTTCAGAAATGTGCTTCGCTTTTTCCCGAGAGATAGATTTATGGAAGGTTAAAAAGGCCAAACTTTAATATATCAGTACTTGTTATAATACACGTTATAATAAATGCTTTAATAAAGGAATACACTTGTATTTATGCTGCTTTTTTTGAGGAAGCAAGGTACACAGTGCTTCTCACCGTGTGGTCCGTGAGCGCCCCCTGGTGGTCCGTGAGTATATTGGTACAATTTCACATTTTAAATAAATAAATACATTTAAGTTTTCCGCACTATCGCGGGAATATCTCCGCAATGGAGTGAGCTTAAGTTTCACTTTCGATTGCATGATATAGCCCAGCACAACACCTTCGTCACACATGTTGCCACTTGTTTGTACAATATTCAGGCGATTTGTAATCTGTTCTAGAAAAACGATGTGTTTTTTTATATTTGTGGAGTTAGGTGGTCCGCGAGTGTTTTTTTAGTGGTTAAGTGGTCCTTGGTATGAAAAAGTTTGAGAAACACTGCTATAGATACATTTATTTGTATTTCACTAAATAAATAAATACAGTTATTGGATATAAAAAAAAATAAAGGAATAATGAGCAAATTGATGAATAAATACACACATAAATTCAACATTTCTGTATTTAATTAGAAATATATGTATCTATTGTGACAATAACTCAGCTGCCAGGGTTCTCACACGCACCGAGCCCTGGCAGCACATCACCCCCACTCTCTCCAACCTCCACTGGCTACCGGTCAAGTCCCGCATCACCTACAAACTCCTCCTCGTCACCTACAAGTCCCTCCATGCCCTCTCCCCTCAGTACCTCACAGATCTCCTCCACCCTTACATCCCGTCCCGCACCCTTCGATCCTCAGACTCCGGCCTGCTCTCCATTCCCCATTCATGCCACCGCACCTTCGGGGACCGTGCCTTCAGTGTCGCTGCCCCCCCCCCCCCCCCCCCCCCCCCCCCCCCCCCTCTGGAACTCCCTCCCTGCAGAAATCCACAACGCCCCTTCTCTCAACATCTTCAAATCAACCCTTAAAACTCATCTGTTCAACATCGCCTTCCAACAATAACTCACCCCCACTTACATTTCTGCCCCCTGTTTTATGTTTTGTCCTTATATGTCTCTTTGTTAAGTGACCTTGGGTTGATGAAAGGCGCTATATAAATTAAAGTTATTATTATTATTACTTATTTAAGCTTGTAAATTACACAATCAGGCATGTTTTTGATATTATCATACAGTACAATGTTACGTATTGTCCCTTTAAACTCTCCATTTAGATGAAACGTGAGCTGTATTAATCTTATTTAACACTGCACAATTTCTAAAATGTTAAAGTATTCCTTTAAAGTTCAAAGCACAGCTGTTGCACACTATCATGCATCTAATGACTCCTTACACTTTATTTTGTGATTTAACTACCACTCTTTCTGTATTTAAATCACTTAAATTAGTTAAAAATACGATCCAGATTTCTTTATTTTTAACCGCAGAGCTCCTATTTTACTGCAAATAAACGTGTGTGTGTAGCCTAGCATTACCATCCTTGTGGGGACCTACATCTGTTTACAGTCACGTGTGCCTCGCCTCCCTTATGGGGACATCATTTTAGTCTGAAGACTTGGTTAGGTTAAGGTTAGGATAAGTCTCCAGGAAATGCATGTAAGTCAATGTAATGTCCCCTGAAGTGATGTATACGTGTGTGTGTGTGTGTGTGTGTGTGTGTGTGTGTGTGTGTGTGTGTGTGTGTGTGTGTGTGTGTGTGTGTGTGTGTGTGTGTGTGTGTGTGTGTGTGTGTGTGTGTGTGTGTGTGTGTGTGTGTGTGTGTGTGTGTGTGTGTGTGTGTGTGTGTGTGTGTGTGTGTGTGTGTACAGTAGCTCTGTAATTGAGCTCCTCACCACTCATCATGACTTAAACCGCTGTGTCTCATATAATCACAGCTGGACATGCTGACCACTCTGAGGTTTCATAAATCTCTAAATGTAGTTTCCGTGCTGCCAATATTCAGATCTAAGTTGTTTTATATAAAGAAACAACTCTTTTGTAACTTGAGGTTTTGATTCTGGTGAAACTGATCTAGCCCAAGCTTCATGAACGCCTTCATAACGCTAACATAGGATGACATTACACAACATGGCGTGACATAATCTCACTACCAGGACATATTTAAAGGTTTTGGTTTGTTACTCATGTGAAACTGTTAACCTACATTATGTCATGATGACACATTTTACATCTTTTAAAGAACTTAAGTCGTACCATGTACTTTAACATCTACCATGACATGGCATACATTTACCATGCAAGTATAACATGGGTTTTAAAAAAGTATATTGTTTTGTTGTATTGTGTTTGTTTTAGTTCAAGTCGAGTGTGGTGTGAATGATTTATATCCTCTACGATTAAAATGAAAATACAATATACTGATAATAATGTACTATGAGAAAATATAGCATTAACTCAACCAGCCAGTGCATATCACACCATGGCAAAGGTTAACCTTATAGGCTCTAGAATTACATGGAAATCATGATATAAATGTACTATTCTATCAAACATGACCTACACGTATTCCTTACCATGATTCTCAGTACCATGACAAAAACGTACTTTTCCATAACTTGACATACAGTAAATGTACTCGTTTTCTATAACATGACATTCACTCACCACACAATACCATGGCATGATGTAAAAACATACCACAGTATTGTTAGGGAATAATTTGCTTAAGTATTCAACCTTCGACCCAGTTCATAGTTTTCTCTCTTCACTGTCTCCTTTCCCACGGCATAGGTCTACGGCCTTGGGTATTGCTGCTATCTCTCTTGAGGAGCAGCAGCTTGGGCGCATTGTTGTTGCCAGTCGATGTAAGAGCACAAGCCGCCATGAGGTAGTTTACTGTTCAGGGACGTAGGTTCCCTGGCGCACATTATTTCCTATAGACGAGAGCTCTAGTTAGATTCAGGGTCCATAATGTTTAGTCTCGCTGATGAAGAATGTTGATTATTACACTCTGAACTAGTTAAAACCTCGAGCTGCAGAAAGAGTTCTTCAGAATTGGTTTGGCAACCGCTGTGACACCTCGTGACACACCACCGGTTTTGTCAATTCTCCGGCCGAAGCTCCAAATAAACCGTCAGTGTTTGCCATCAAAGCTCCAGCTCTCCTCGTGCCTCTGAGTCCTGTTTCCAATTGCTTCAGAAGTTTCCCCCACAAGTATGACATAACATCTGCGGCTGCATTATAGAAATAGAAATAATGTTGTTTTATCATCAGGTCTTGTTCTTCTCGTTAGATTTCAGTGAAGCTTTGTCTCAAAACAAAGCAGAATGAAATTAAAGTATTTCTCTAAGGTGACGCTAGTGTGGAAACTTTCGGGGGTCTTCCCCACATCACTCCTCACATCTAGCACCTTTATTTAAAGTGGTGGAGGAGGTGTAAATATACAGGGTTGCACTCATATTAAATGTGCGTCTACATGTGTCCTCTATGCGTTCTTTTAACCAAGGACCCTGCAAATTACAGACCCCCGTAACTACTCATTTGTGCAGAAACGTCCCCGATTGGAATAAAAACACACGGCGAGGCATTTTGGATTTTCAACTTCGTGTTTCAACACATTTGTTTCCTCTTACGTTTGAGACACAACAGCTCGTTTTTGTCATTACCTGAGGCAGTTTGGACCCTTAGAGGGGGCACTTTACGTCTGAAGAAGCTCTTCACTGTCACGTGAAATCACACACAACATGAAGAGGGTGTGTTTCAGTGTCTTTTTTGTTGAATTCCTTGCAGTTAAGTTGACATGTAAGAGGCTGCTCTTAGAGGAAGTAGGTGACAGGATTTACATGTTAGATTTCAGCCCAAGGTAATGATTAGAACCCAAAATGAGCAGCCAGCTTTCTGTGTCGGGGACAAACGTACAATTTGTAGGGCCTCCGAGTCACGGCATGATTACTGATCAGGGATATTTGGCAGAGGACCAAGGGCTCCACAGGTTTGGGGGCCCTGGAGGAGAGGCTAGTATTTCTTGTTGGGAAGTCACAGAAGGGACAAAAAGAGCCGCAAAACTACCACAGAGATATAGGACTCAAAATGTCTGAAAAGATGCATCTTAAGAGACACAGAATTACTAAACAAAAATGCAAAAAGGCGATTATCTCCTCAGAAATATGCAAAAGAGACACAAAAAGGCCAACTAGGAGACACAATACACGGCAAGGAGACACAGGACTACAAAGAGACACAAGAGGGCAGGGCCGGCCCTGACTAATTTGCTGCCCGAAATTGTGTTGTTATGAAATAAGAAAAAATATTTATTTTTAATTTCTAACTTTTTTTTTTTTTCTCAATTTGTTGCCCCCCCCCATGGGACGATGCCCCCTTAGCATTCACCTATACTGCCTATGCCAAGGGCCGGCCCTGCAAGAGGGACTAACGGAGCAAAACACAGGCCCAAATCAACCAGAGACAAAAATAATCTAAAAGAGACACAAAAATCACCACCAACAATCAAAAAGAGGCACAGAGGAAGATGCAAATATCCACCAAATATGTAAATAAACCAAAAAAAGAGACACAAAACAAGCCAGGAGACACAAATGTTGGCGCATTTCCACTACAGCGCGGTTTAAGGGCACGTTTCCACTTGGCGTAGTTCCGGCTAGCGGGTACTTTTTCACAGTTTTCTGGCTCTCCAAAATCGAGGTTCTTTCCGGGCCAACAACCGGGCTGAGTATGCTAAACTAGTGAGAGAATCGCTGGCAAGGGGGCTACACAACTACAACAAGATGAACATATTTGACCGTGATTTAATTGTAATACACGTTTCAAAATGGTGCCGAAGTAACAACATACTGATACCGGTTATTAAAAACCATGAATTAATGCTTTGACGAGTCTGCGGACAGACGGCAGAGAAAAACCTTTTAAAATGCATGTTTTCTAAATGTAGCTTGGCTAAGCTAACGCAGTATATGCTCCGACCGTCCACACTCACAACAACGGCCTATACAGACATAAATAAACCAGCGACTGTATTCGCCATGACACAGACAGTCTGTGGTTTGTACTTGTTTAACTTCTGTCTAGTTTCTGAACAGATATGAGGAGCTGTGAGCTCTGAGTGCTAACAGCTAACGGCTGATGTTGTTTTTCTGTGGTTCACATTGAAGATAACGTCACGGCTCCGCCTACACTGCGTTACTATAGTTACTGCCCCAGTTCCTAAACTGTAATGGAAACGCAGCATAAAGTGAGCCGGGCCTAGCCATACCGTACTAAGCCGAGCGAGGCCCTGCAGTGGAAAAGCGCCGAAAGAGACAAAGAAGAAACTTACAATGTCTAAAGAGATGCATCTTTACGATAAAGAGACACAAAGATGCAAAACAACCAAAAAGAAACACAAAGCAACCTCGAGATGACAATTCAAGTATTCTTTAATTCAAGCACCGGTAGTGTTACAAAACTACTGATATCGCATATTCTTTCACACACAGTGACGTCACGAGCTACCCACAATGCAACACGTGCTATATATATATATATATATATATATATATATATATATATATATATAAATACGCCATTTTCCTGAAGGTGCTAATATCCTGGAGGTGCAAATATAAACAGCTAGCTAACGTAGCCAGGCAGAGCGCAGTAGGTTTTTTTTCTGAATTAACGACCGAAGAAATCGCTGCATGTCTTCGGATTACATCTCTGGACTTGAGGGGTGTGCTCTAGGTCGTTAGCAGCGTAAACTAGAGCTGTGTGGGTTGTTACAGACTGCCTGCAGATGTATGGAAAAACGACTCTCGAAAGTGGCCTTCGGTCGATTTTGGCAGCATCTACGTCTATCACACCAGGTGAATACCCCACTTGTCACAATAATATTATCATGCCAATGCATATATGTGGTATTTTAGAGTTGACTAGATATTGATTAAGGCAATAGACTATGATATTCTGCTTGCACCTCGTGTGAAATGGTGGATACCGGAAGTACGGTGTCGCCCTCGGCCCAAAACCCGTATGTGTGAAAGAATACAGTATGCAGTCAAATGGAACAACAACACATGTTTGTTACTGTACTTTCAACAGCTTTACCTCATGTGTGTGAATCACAGCACCATTAAAAGACAGTGAACATTTCTGTGGCTCATTTGCACACAGCATCTAAGTGCTTTCTTCAGTGTGGATTAGCACAGTGATTATACCGTGAAAGTGTTAATAGTTATCATGTTATCAGTGGCTGATCTTGTACACGACGTCTCCGACCTGCAGGATCCCCGCCTGCTTCACCACGAGCAGCTGCCCGAACAGAGGAGACTTTTGGTAGATGTGCTGGTCCGAGGGTTTGCACAGGCGATAGCTGTGAAAGAAATGAAAGCTTTAGCGCAAGTTAAATTAGGAAGACCTAACAATGAGTCACTTACATGTCACTCTATTGCTCCCTCCCCCTTCATTAAATGCGAGGGCATCACCCCTCAGCAGCCAATTGTCCCTGTCAGTTGTCATTTCAGGTGACAACCCGCCTCCACCCCTCTCGCCTCCCGTCTCCTCCAGGACAAAGCTAAACCTTCCTCCTTCAGACCGGTCCCACCTACTCATCACCACCACCAGTGTCTAGACCCCGGGGATTTCATCGGAGCGGTTCTTTCCCTCCTGAATGATTATCCTGCAAACCGGGGCCTAATCGCCAAACACCATTCCATTCTCCTGTTGTATTATCATGGCAATCATTTCATTCATATGACGTGTAACAATACATATGTATTCCTTACATCACGTCTCTCCGGTTTGAAATGCAATCAGGAAGAGTTTTAAGGCTTTTAGTGTGAAGTCAGACGGGAAAAAAGCCACTTTTAGTTTTTAGAAATACACTTCCTTGAGGGAAAGAGTCCACTTTGGTGCGTTTGACTGACCGAACTCATTAATGATAAAGAAACCACATTTAAATTAACTAAAGAGAGGAAAATAATACAAGATTAGATACATCGAAAATGACACAGAACTCAATGATGCTACATATAAATAATTAAATAAGAGTCGTTCAAGTCAGTACTGAGAAAAACAGCCAAATGTTAAGCTTTGAATTTGGATTACATGAAATCAGAGCTGCACAGATCAGCCAAGTAATTAATTAGAAAGTTGTCAGAAGAATAATCGGCAACTATATTTGTAATAAGTTAACTGTTATATTGTTCCTCCTCAATCTCAAACCTCAGATTGAAGAGGAACAATGCGGATTCCGTCCTGGTCGTGGAACGACGGAACAGCTTTTTACTCTCGCAAGGATCCTGGAGGGGGGGACTCGGAGTTGAGCCGCTCCTCCTTCGCGTCGAAAGGAGCCAGTTGAGGTGGTTCGGGCACCTAGTTAGGATGCGACCTGGGTGCCTCCCTAGGGAGGTGTTCCAGGCACGTCCAGCTGGGAAGAGACCAAGGGGTAGACCTAGGACCAGGTGGAGGGATTATATCTCTTCGCTGGCCTGGGAGCGCCTTGGGATCCCCCAGTCAGAGCTGGTTGATGTCACCAGGGAAAAGAAAGTTTGGGGCTCTCTGCTGGAACTGCTACCCCCGCGAACCGACCACGGATAAGCGGGAGAAGATGGATGGATAGATAATTGTTATATGCAAGAAAATGCTGTTTCCAGCGTCTGAAATATAGATAATTGCTGCTTTTCTCTGTTTTATATCAAATGATGTGAATATGGACGGACAAAACTTTGAGAACCTAGGATGGACGTTATTCACCATTTACTGATATTTTATATATTAAATGATTAATCAATAATGAAAACAATCCTAAATTGCAGCCATACATGAAATACAAATGTTCCCAATTTATGCTGAAGTGTGATAAACATTTGTGATTAGAAAAATACACTTCCTCTTATAATATTTGAGTCGAATTGTACCTTTTCAGTGTGTCCAGAGGCTCCTTCCTGGAGATCACTCCCGTTTCAGGATCAACGGTGGTGAAAACACACCTGGAAAACATCAGAAGTCAAATGTCATCCTGCAGCCACTCACAGAGGGTGGAGGGGTCTGTATTCATTGTTGTTGTGCAAGTAATGTACACAAAGCTGCTCGTGCTAAACCGGAAGAATGCCAGGGGTGTCCAAACTACGGCCTGGGAACCATTTTGAATCAGCCCTCACTCAGCAAATTAAAAAAGTATAAAGACTTAAGTATAATACACTTCTGCTTGTCTTATATTGTACTTCTTAAATATATTATGTTCAAATACAGTATTCATGTTGAAAAATGTACTCGTAAATATATTAATTGTCACATCTTACCACAAAGTCATTAAGTTTGGTGTTTTATAACTCACCCATTTTTCCTCAAGGACATGAACTTTAATTATTTTACTCGTTATCTTTAAATTAAAAAAAAGTATAATGGAATATGGCCCACAAATGAAACGTGTGCTTGTCTTATAATGTACTTGTTAAATATATATGTTCAAATATATTACACAGTAGTATTCATGTGTTAAGACAACTTTTCAAATAAATTCAGTCATTTAAAGGGGACCTATCACGCAAAATGCACTTGTTGATGTCTTTTCTACATCAACATGTGTCCCCGGTGTGTCGGGGAACTCACGCAGCGTCAGAAAATAAAACCCTCTCTCTTTTCCTCCGTACCCAAATCTCTAAAAACGGGGAACAACGGAGCTGATCCAGATTTGCGTCCGATATGACGTAATATCTGAAAAGTGGACCCACGGCCCAATCGGAAACGTTGCTATCAGAAACAATGCCCGACTGTTTTGGACGTAATATGGTCGGTGTTTACATTAGCATCGCTAACACTCAGAGCTAACCTGTACTGGAGAGCATGTGTGTGAAGAAGCAGGAAGTAAAAAGGAACTCGCCTTGTGGTATAACCGGCAAGAGAGAAAGCCTTTGAGCTCCAAACTGTTTCAGAGAGAATCCTTGATGATCCATGATATGGCGTTTCATCACGGCAGCATTTAGTTTAGACAGTAGCTGCCGGGTCCCGCATGAGCTCAGACCCCTCCTATTTATTTTGATCAATTTATTAAAGCTTTATCCCCAAATCAGCACTTTTGAAACAGGAAGTGAAATAGAGGGATATGAGGCATGGCTAGAATGAGAGATCTGTTTGGTATTTTGAGCAAAACACTTCATAGACATGTTTTTTATATATCTGAGACCTATGCTATTGCCTAAAAATAGCATGATAGGTGAACAAATCTAAGTTGATATGTAAATTTGTATTTGGGCTTTTTTCTTAACAACCTTGAAATAAACCCTTCATATTTCCTCGTATCATAAGCAATCTTCTGTTATAAGGGATGAGCTGCTAACTAAATAAAGTAAACCCTCTGGAGAGCTGTGATGCAGGCTGTTGTGTTTCTTAAAGCATTTTCAAGTATCAAGAATAATTTACCTACATGTGATTGATTTTGCTAACTTATAACTGAACTTATGAGGCAATATACCTCCAGTGAGCAGCCCAGCCCTTCGTATATTTTTGTGTATGTGGCCCTCGGTGAAAAAAGTTTGGACCCCCCTGATCTACGGACTAACACATGCATCTGAACCGGAAGTGGGAAAAAGGAACGGCTACATAAGGTGAAAGGATAACGTGATTCAAATCTGTGTGAAGCGTCCTCCGAGTTACCGTCCACATGACTTCACACGCTGAAGCCTCACGCTGCCGATCTGGATATCTACCCACGAGTCCTGAAAAAGAGAAACAGTTTGAGTTAAATTTAGTCCGCGCTGCTCACACTGAAAAGGGTGAGGGATTAGTCACGAGAGAAAAGGACCAAATGATCGTTTCTCCTTACACACGAGGGAAAACCTTCATCTGATCGGTTAGACGATGTTTAAGGTGATAAGGGATGGATTTGATTACAGTTTTGACTAAATAATTGGATGTTAATATCGTAGGGTTGACTGCTTTCATTACACGATGATGTTCATGATAAATAATCCATCTTATCTTCTAAAGTGGATATATAACGACTCAGGTAAGTAGCACTGGACTGTAATGCTGCCTCTTGCTAATACAACACATTTGTTTATTAACAAAGAAAGTACAGCATGCACAAGTTTACTCAGGTAAAAGTACACAAGTGTCGACTCCTTAGAGCGTGGTTCCCTTCCTCCATCCGTAACTCAAGCATCAATTTCACTCATTCCAAAGAAAAACAAAGATCCAGCAGAACGTAGCAGCTGGAGACTTGTTAGTTTGCTCAACTCTGACATAAAGCTATTAGCTAAGACCCTGGCTAGCCGTCTGGACCCCTGTCTACCAAACATTCTTTTAGGTAATCAAACTGGCTTCATAAGGGGTAGACAGTTGTCCTCAAATATTCGTCGCCTCCTTAATATTATAATGTCTAAGTCTAGCACACAAGAGGCTGAAATGGTAATCTCTATGGATGCGGAGAAGGCTTTTGACCGAGTGGAGTGGAGTTATTTATTTTCAGCTCTTGACAAGTTTGGTTTTGGTCAAAGATATATTTCATGGATTCAATTGTTGTATAGTGCTCCTACAGCTAGTGTGACTACCAACTCCACTCAATCCAAATTGTTTCCCTTACAACGCGGTTGCCGCCAAGGCTGTCCCCTGTCGCCTTTACTGTTTGCAATTGCAATCGAGCCACTTTCCATCGTTCTTAGAAACTCACCAGCTTTTACAGGTATCTATAGGAATGGGGTTGAACACAGGGTTTCGCTGTACGCGGATGATTTGCTGCTCTATGTCTCGAACCCTACGGCCAGTATTAATGGGATTCTTGACGTTTTGGTTCCTTTTCGGGATACAAGTTGAACATCAGTAAGAGCGAATGCTTCCCTCTTAATCTTGCGGCAAAAACAGATTCCGGCCCAGAGTCTGCCTTTTCATTTGGCCTCCTCTAGTTTCTGGTACCTGGGCATTAATATTTCGCATAGTCTCCCCTCACTTCATAAGCATAACGTTTTGAAGTTGGTGAAGGAGGTTAAATCTGACCTACAGCGCTGGAACTCTCTCCCTCTGTCGATTGTAGGTAGAATCAATTCAATCAAAATGAATGTGCTTCCCAGATTCTCATTCCTTTTTCAATGTTTACCATTATTCCTCCCCAAACCTTTTTTTAAGGACTGAGACAAGATTATTTCATCTTTTATTTGGGCAGGAAAGACCCCAAGGATAAAATATTCTGTCCTACAAAGGGCTAAAGAAGATGGTGGCCTTGCTCTACCTAACCTTCTGGCATACTATTGGGCGGCCAATATTCAAAAGATTCACACTTGGCACAACTCCCCCGTTACAGACTGGTGCCAGATGGAAGCGCGGTCTTGTGGCTCTATCTCTTTATCGTCGTTAATTTGTGCCCCCTTAAAATCATATCCTGCTAAATGCGTATCCAACACAATTGTACAATCTACTGTAAAGATTTGGAGGCAATTTAGACGCCACTTTAAAATGGTTTCCCTTTCCCTGCTAATGCTGATTTGTAATAATCATATTTTTCTTCCTTCATCTCTGGACCCAGTTTTCTCTTTGTGGAAGGAGAAAGGGTTGGTTTATTTCAAACAACTTTTTGTTGATAACATTTTTGTCTCCTTTGATATTCTCAAGACTACATTTGACCTTCCAAACTCTCAGTTATTTAGATATTTTCAAATCCGAGACTTTGCTCGTTGTAACTTCCCCAATTTCTCTCATCAACCGCCTAATTCTCTCGTTGATACAATTCTATTGTCCCCTGTAGTCCGTGGAGTCATTTCAGCCGTGGGGAAGTTAATCTTATCAGCATTATCATCTCCTTTAGCGACTAGGAACACCTGGGAGAAGTGCTTGGGGTTACCTTTTCAGATGAATGGTGGCAGGGGGCCCTAGACAGAGTCAACTCTACATCTTGCGCCAGACTGACACAGTTTAAGGTCCTACACAGATCACACCTGACCAAAGTTAGACTTAGCAAACTGTTTGACACAAGTGAGATGTGTGATAGATGCTCTCTCTCTCCAGCCAACCACACACACATGTTTTTCTCCTGTCCAAAGCTGGGTTCATTCTGGTCCTCTTTTTATGATACACTCTCGAAGGCCTTCAATAAGCCGGTGGCTCCTAGCCCTTCAATTTCTATTTTTGGTGTCCATGAGGAATTCTCTAGTTTCACTAACAAGGAGAGCAATGTTATTGCTTTTGCTTCACTTGTAAGCCGCAGACGTATTTTACTGCAGTGGAAGGACCAGAAACCTCCATCTTCTCAGTCGTGGTTGAAAGACTTAATGTCTTTCTTATACTTAGAGAAGATTAAGTATAGTATAAGGGGATGCTCTGATAAATTTAGCAAAACCTGGGATCCTATTCTCTCTTTTGCTAATTCTATTCCTTCTTTAGGGGATTAGATAATCCTATTACTCATTAATGTACGCCGTAGCTACTATTTTGAGACTGGACGGTTATAAGGCAATGATAAGTGATTGTCTCCTTTGGCGTGTGAATGGTCATGCAGCCCAATGTGCATTGTTTGTATTTCTGTGCTTTTATGATATCCTCTTGTATTTTTTATTTACTTATTTTTGCTCCTCTTTTATATCGTATTGTGACGCTTTTCGGTTTTGTTTTGTAGGGGGGTGGGGGGATGGTTACTATGCCATGTTTATTGTAAAAAAAATGTAAAATCGGGTGATCTTATGTCAACAGTTTGTATGTTTTAAGATTGATGGCCCAATAAAAATACTTGTGAAAAAAAAAGTACACAAGTGTCAGCGTCAAAGTATACACAAAGTACAAAAAGGTTAAATACTTTATACAATATGAATTATATTGCTTTATATTAATGATTGATGCCAGATTAAGGCTTTTTTTTTAACGTTATATACTGTGAAGTTTCTTTGGAATTTCACCAATTAAGTTTATTTTATAATAATGTAATTTGTTTTCTCAGATATTCTGTATTTCTTGAGCTTTTATGACGGAAAAAACCTGATATTTTAAGAAGGAAAACCCCCTAATCTTTGCAGGACTGCCTTGGTGTGTTTAGATTTATGTTCAGAGGGATCAGGGGCCTCATTTATAAAGCCGTGCGTAGGATTGGCGTGGGAAGGTTGCTTACGTGGGACAAAGCAAATTCACGTAACGCCCATATTTGCCTATAAATAGTCAAATAAACACCCATTCATTCATTAATTCTGACTGACTTCATGAAGAAGATCGCAGGAAATGACGACAGAACAGCTAAAAACAGACATCTCACACCGTGTCAGATTCTGGTTATTTTGGGGAGGTGGAGATAAATCATATTGTTTGGTGGATGCAGTTTGAACCAGAGCAGCAGCATGGAGGTCGGATCGTCACCAAAATAAATAAATAAGTGGTCCGAAAAAGGTTCATGACAAAATAAATACACATAGCTTTCCTCAGGCAGTGTGTTTGTACCGGGGACAGGAGACCCCCCCTTGATGAGAGACTGTAAGAAGTGATCGGGGAATCCCCCCGGAGTGGAGTCATGATGACTGGATCTGAATTATTTGTTTGTATTTGGTGGTTTGTGTTCCAGCTGTCGATCAGCTGTGCGCAGCGTCTCCACTGCAGCCTGTGCATCTCAACCACCCCCCCGCAGCAACCCTATATCCACCAGTTAAAGGAAACACAACTAATGTGTTGTGTTTATTTCTCCAAGTTATGTGTTTGTGTGCACTGAGGAGTCTCAAACAGGCGTTTGTTAAATCATTTTAAGATTGGCTTTAATCAATGTTTGAAAATGAATTCTTCATATATGATGAATGAGAGGTAACATTTTATTTATGGTATTATTTCCACATATTTCTCTCCATTCTTCCTTCTGCCAACGGTGTCGCAGTTTCTCGTCTCTCCCGGTTTTGTGCTTAGTGCGTACGCATGGGTCAGAGATTGCGTGGAGGACCGCACATTTTCCCGTGAAGTTAGTTTTTTATGAATCGCAAACATTGCGTAGAAACTTGCGTACGCTATTTTTTGTGCGTACGCACCGTTTATAAATGAGGCCCCAGAGCTTTATTCACAGATGTCGAAACCCACCTCAGCGAAGGCTTCACAGTCACTGATCACGATGTTTGGGCGGAAACGCTTCGTCGTGACGCCTTCCTCCAGCCGGCTGCTCAGATCCTGCACGGAGGCCTCGGAGAGGAGCATCACAGGAGCCTCGTCCGGGTACGCCACCTAGTGGAGAGAAATAAACTCTGTTCTTCTGCTTGGGACATTCTGGGAACACTCAAACTGTGAACAGCTTTAAAAAAGCAGAAAGAAAACCATTATTTTCTTTTTTTTCTCAAAACTTTTTACAAATATAGTTTTAATTTGATGGCAAGGCTGTTAAGAAACCACAAAGCCAGAGGAGGGGTTGATATTGAGTAAAAACTAAATATCTTAATCTTGGATTTTTCTACATTCTTTAATGACTTCATTATCTCTGGGGAAATTCAGGTAAGTTGTTTTAAAAATGTGGGATTTTTACTCCTAAATGTACCACTTTAATCGAGTTCTTTTTTTCTCTCAGAACATTTCACTCCTCTCCTGACTGTGTAATTGTTACTTTGTTTTACCTACGATGGCCTTAACATGCGGTCGCAAAGCTGATATCTATCTTAAATAGGAGTATTCAGTCTAAGCATCTTGGAATGTTCTTTGTTTTTGTTTGACTTTATTATCTCAGAGAAAATTCAATTAAGTTGTTTGTTAAAGGTCCCCTATTATACTGTTCTTCATCAATATATCCCAGGTCTCAGATATATCCAGAGCCTGTCTCTGATTGGCTGAAACACCAAACAGATCATTGCAGCATTACCCATAATCCCCTCTGTTTCAGCCCTGTTTCCAAAGTGCTGATTCTCTATCTGTTACTTTAGATGAAAATAAGAAGCCCCTCCCCACGCCCCTCTGAGAGAGATTTGGTTACAAAGAACTCAATGGTGCTCTAGGAGGAGATTCAGGTGATGCTTTTTACACGAGCCAAAAAATCGTTATGACATCACAAAGTGGCCAAAATCTGATCAGCTCATTTTCAGACAGGTTTTTATAGAAATGGATCAGGACAAAAAGAGAGAGAATCTTTGTTCCTGAAACTTTCAGAGTCTCTTTCCACAGAGGGGACACATTTTGATGAAGAAGAGACATGAAGAAGAGGGGACACATGTTGATGTAGAAGAGACATGAAGAAGAGGGGACACATGTTGATGTAGAAGAGACATGAAGAAGAGGGGACACATGTTGATGTAGGAGAGACATGAAGAAGAGGGGACACATGTTGATGTAGGAGAGACATGAAGAAGAGGGGACACATGTTGATGTAGGAGAGACATGAAGAAGAGGGGACACATGTTGATGTAGGAGAGACATGGAGAAGTGGATTTTGCACAATAGGTGAGCTCTAAGTTTGGGATTTTTGCTCCTAAAATTCCCCACTTGTCTTTAGGTAGGTTTTTATTTACCTACAATGGCCCTAACACGCGGTCGCAAAGCTGACATTAAGGTGAATATAAATGGATAATCTTAAATAAGGGTATTCAGTCAAAGCGTTAAAATCTGGGACTCAAAGCCACACTTCACCTCGAAGGGAGGGAGCAGCGGCTCAGACTGCCTCCCTCTCATCTGGGGTTCGAAGTGCACGAGGCGAAAGGTCTGCTCCTTCCCCAGGAACCGGATCAGCCAGCGGGACGTTTCTTCTCCGCAGTCCCGACCCTGGATGTCCGCTCCAAAAACTCTGCAGCACAACAACAACAACATAATGCATACATAGGAGACAAAATAACAAATATGGTACCAGTAACGTGGTATCTTTTATTATGGAAATAATAGGATCTAGAAATCCTAAAATGACAGAATTAACAGGTGTTTTGAGCTGAAACAACATGACAGCACTCAAATAACTCAACTCTCATCTTCTGTTACTTTCGCCTGCAGCTTTGCTATTAGAATCGGATATTTAAATTAAAAAACCTTATCATTTCTGTACGAAGAAAATGGTTTGGTTTATTGAAGCAAATGTACTTTAATGAGTTGTTATCCTCATGGCTGTTTGCACCTATTGTAAGTTGGTTTGAAATTGTAATGTATTGAGAGTCAGACTCGATTAGACCCTGATGTTGGACCAGCAGTCGATCACGTTGTTGTCCAACAAAAAAAGAAAAAAGTTCTCTTTTATTACGAAGCCCTCAAAATTGTTTGACTTTTGAAGCTAATGTACTTGAAGGATTTCTTGCTGTTCCGAGTTGGCTGATTCAGTTATTGTAAGGGGCTTTGTTTAAAAGCATCAGCTGAATGAACAGTTATGTATTGACAGTCAGACATGTTGTTGGACCTGCAGTCGATGACGCTGTTGTCGGGCTGGTTGACGGGGAATCTCAGCTCCTCCATGTCCGGGCCGCTCAAACAAGCATGGCCGTCCTCGCAGGTCAGAGAGAGGAGGACCAGGCGAGGCTGCTGTCGGCCCGTCACCATGTGACCTTCCTCCGTCACCACCAGCCAGTGTCTGCAGGGAAACATACATTAATAAAGGAATCATACATGAAACATGGTTCTGTAAGGAAGCCCTGCAGTTTTCTGGATGTTTATTTCACTCCATATGTCCGAGATCAGGGGGGTCGAAACTTTTGAGGGCCACATACAGAAAAATTAACGAAGGGCGGGGCCACTCACTAGAGGTATTTTGCCTCATAAGTTCAGTTATAAGTTAGCAAAATCAATCAAATGTAGGTACATGATGCTTGTGAGTGTTGGCAGCTCATCCCTTACAACAAAAGCCTCAGAGTGATTATAATAAGGAGAAATAGGAAGGGTGTATTTGAAGCTTGTTATGGAAACAAGTCATTGGGCTTTTTTCTTATCAACTAAGATATGACAATGTTACCAACTTTAATTGAATTTATTTGAAAAGTGGTCTTATTAACACATGAATACTACTGTGTAATATATGTTTACATGTATATTTATGAACTACAATATAAGACAAGCACAAGTTGCATTTGTCGGCCATATTCCATTATACTTTTTGAATTTGCTGAGGGCCGATTCAAAATGGTCCGCAGGCCGTAGTTTGGACACCCCTGTATAATATAGATGATTGGACAATGTAAAAAATCTGCAAGGGGAAGAAATAACGAGTAAAATAATTAAAGTTCATGTCCTTGAGGAAAAATGGGTGAGTTATAAAACACCAAACTTGTCTAATGACTTTGTGGTAAGATGTGATAATTAAAATATTTAGGAGTCAATTTATGATATATCCGTTATCTGTTAGCTATATCCTATCAGTTATTGTTTATCAGTTTTCTATTGTTTGTTTTTTTATGGTTTTGTATTTAATTATTTAATATTTTAGTTTTACCTGCATCTCATTTTGTTACGTTTGCCCTGTAACCTAATCATTTCTTAAAAGGCAACGTGATCTTTATTTTTTTAAGATCTGCAAGGATTGTAATTTAATCCAAATGTGCAACAAAATAAAAGCATTTCCATTGGTCCACTTTGTCCTACATTCATGGATTGCTGCATTTGAATATAGAAATTAAAGTTGGTCTATTTTATAATAATGTTGGACAGTTCAGAGAACAGCTCTACTGAAAACAATCACTATTTATACTTGTAGGAGCCATTTTATGGGTGTTGTTGGTGTCTCAGTTTACTTTATTTATATGTATAGTGCAATACTATTTTGAACACTTGGTGGCAAAAGACAAAAAACAGGTGACAGGAAAGGACGAGGACACAGGAAGAAGAGCACACCGATTCCACCAGCCCGGCAGATGCTCACCACAACTATTGACTGTAATTAAACCTTGGTATGTACAATGCTAAATAAAACATCATTCTAAACTGCAGCAATGGATCGGAAAATCATCTGTTTGTGTCTGCGTCTGGATCACTCTAAACCAGGGGTGTTAAACTCAATTTAATCACGGGCCACATAGGAATTATGGTTGCACTCAAAGGGCCGGTTGTAACTTTAAGACTACATCAAAATACATAAATATGTTATAGATAAAATAATGCATTATATTACATGATTGCCTCCGCATTGGATTATTATCTGATAGGGTAATAACTTCTCTAGGGCAAGTAATTGCAAGTCTCTTCAGTGAGAATGTCACAAAATGATTTTAAAAGTGACATTTGGAAGAAAAAAAAGTGACATTGTGTAGAAAAAAAAGTGACAAGCCGCTTTCACACCAAGTACTTTGTCGTACCAACTCCTCATCTCCACCGCTCCCATGTTGTTTTTTGTGTTGCCATAAGTTATTCTCTCTCCGTTGGTGCGCGGGGCTAATGCTAATAATGCTAATGCCACAAATACAATGGCAGCTTCACAAAACGTTCAGAGTTTTACGGGGCGTGGTTTGCTATTCGCCCAGCCAATAGAAATTGGTACTTTTTTGGTACCACCTCTCTAGCAGGCACTGAAAATGGGGGTAAAAGTTCCCGGCACTAAGTACTCTTTTTGGTGTGAACGCAACATAAGGGGTAGCCTACTAACGGAACTAAACGAGAAAAGTACGGGGAAAAGTACTCCGGTGTGAACGCGCCTAAAGTCAAATTCTGAATGAATTTGAGCAATGTGCTTCTGTAAATCGCCATGTAACCGTATAATAAACATGTTATATTCTTTCAGAGCTCTTGTGGGGCCACAGAAAATGAAGTCGCAGGCCGGATTTGGCCCCCGGGCCTTGAGTTTGACACCCCTGCTCTAAACCCTCCTGTGAAGTAATGGCAAAGGATATAGGACATTGGAGCATTACAATTTCCATTACAATACTTATTTACATGTTTATGTTGATTATTGACTGAGCCATGCAGAATCCAGACACCCTCGTGTGTTTAGGCAACATTTTTATTTTGTATTCTTAGTTTTCTTGTGCAGGGTGAACTCAAACTGTCCTCTCAGCTTTTCCCTCTCATCTCACTCACATTTGTATATCATATTACAGTAGTATTTATTCTACTGTGCAGTATGTAATTGAATGATTAACTTATCATATATGCATGTATTTTTTTAATTCTTGCACCATTATGTCTACTGCACTCATTTATTTTATGTCTTTTTCTTTGCATGGTAAGAATGTTGTACGTTGGAGGAGCCTGATACTTTTTCTTTGCCAAAACTCCATGGTTATTGTGCAGATGTCAAATAAAGTATTTCCATTAATGCTATGCCACCTGATTTTCCCTCCAAGGACAAATAAAGGTTTATCTTAACTCGAGTGCTAACTTTCCACTGCCCGGAAACAATTAACCTTTAAATCTCATTATCTCAGTGATCCTGCCGAAAGATATTGTTGAAATGTTTGTTTAACTTGATATAGTGATTTTTAAGTGGTGGAAGAAGTATTCAGATGCTTTACTTGAGTAACTGTACTTAAAGTATAAAAAGTAAATTATATTATATATATATTATAATTATATTTATGTATGTGACATTTCTAGATAATATTGTTGCATCAAGTAGCAGGTTACTGTTAAAATGTACTGACAAACACATTTCTGATTGACTTTTTGTAAAATATTTAAATAATTTGACTCCTTTGTGACATTTGACTTAAAGAGTTAGTCCTAGTTTAATGTAGTTAAATGTAGTGGAGTAAAATGACATTAGCTACCTTTTAAATGTAGTGGGTTGGAAGTATAAAGTAGCATAACATGAACATACTCAAGTACAAGAAAGTACAGAAACACTTTTTGTTATATTGTTGGAGGAGGGGCTCTGTAAGGAAGTGGATTTATTTCGGCTGCGTAGTTTCAAATTCTAGCGCACTCGAGCTGGTTTCTCCAAAATTACATAGCCTACTCCACCTTTAAGTACAGTAGTAGGCCTACTTGTAAATAAATGTACTTAGTTACTTTACACCTTGCAAATTCCTACATTAAATCAAAAGTGTGGCTCTCCTAAGCAATGATATGCACCAACAATAACAACATATCAACCTTTAACCTCACTGATCCTGCAGAAAACTAGTGTTGAAATGTTTGTTTAACTTGATAAGGCGAATTCATCTTTCATTTCAATGCCAACTTTTAAATTAGATCAAAGTGTGCTTCTCCACAGCACACTTGCATCCAGAATCCCACCATAAGATCCAACTTCTTAACTCTCACCGATCCTGCAGCTCTCCAAACTTCAGGCCGATTTGGAGGCACTCCGCCAGGGGAACAGACACGGCTCTGCCAGACTTCAGCGGGTGAATGAGGAGCTGAGACACTACGCCCACACGTACTAGTTTTTCTGGCTTTCGCAGGTATTTATAACCGAGGCCGAGTCCCAGAAAAGCGACGCCGGCTCCCCCGATGAGGAGGGCGGCTTGCTTGTTTTGTGCAAACGCCTTCAGGGCCAGGGTCTTCAGCTCCATGTTGCTGGGGAACACAGCTGCTTCTCCTCGGACTCTGAACTCACACTGTGGCCCAATCCCAAACCACTCCCTCGACCCTACCCCTCCGTGACGGAGTGACACTCCCCACCTCCCTCCTGTCAGATGGAGGTGGTGTAAATATATATACAGTCTATGTGTAAATACAGCGGCAAGCTTTGGGACAAACTCCCCTCTCTCTGGCAGAAACAGGAAATGCCGTAACTGTATGTAACAACTATTTCAAATCAGCATCTCTTTGGGACAACAAATTCAAATTAATAACTAAAATAAAACTTCAAACATCTTTAATTGTTTAGTTTTAAACCTGATGTTTATAAGCTTCTTAGTTTTTGCAACAGTCTGTAAATATACACAACTTTATAATTTGCATAGGTATGACCATGGCCGGCCCTATACTTTTGGGGGCCCTAAGCGAGCTTTGGCTTGGGGGCCCCCCTCACTCTAGCGTGGTCTCACTACACACAACACGGAACCAACTTTTGTCTTATGATGTTAGCATAAGCACACATATTGTATAAATAAGTATGTAAACACCGTGGACCTAACATCCTCTAGGGGGGTCCTCACCTCCTCTAGGGGGGTCCGGGGGCATGCTCCCCCGGGAAGATTTTTTTTTAAATATTGAAGTTAAAAGCATCAATCTGGTGCACTTTGAGAGCAATATTAAGAGATCTATGGATACATCTCTCAACACCCATATGAAACAGAACTGTAAACAGATTTTCTTTTTCTTTATGGATATTTTACAAATAACTCCCCATTTAAACTGTATTCTTGTTTTACTGTCATATAGTATTTCATAACTGTTTTTCATTTATTCTCTCTGGCTGTCCATCTCATAATGTTCACATAGAAACTAGCTGTCAATAGGAATATCATTCAGAAGAATTATAATTTCATGCAAAAATCTGTCACAAAAAGAGGTTGCACATTTAAATTCAGGTGTTGTTATGGCAACGTCAGTGGCCAGACAGCCACATTTACTGCTGCAAACATGCTGTCGATACGTAAAGCAGTGGCAACTATGCCACCATTTCAGCTGACTTTTTCTCAGAAATACTGTCACATAACATCCATATATTTCAGTGCTAGGTTGATGCTTAGCTAAGCTAACTATGAAACACTTTAACTGACAGGACTCAGGATCAACTGTAAGTTAGCTTCTAGCTTCATGTCGAACAGTAAGTCAACATTTCCCAGAGAGCTTTCTATGAAATCACCAGGTAACGCTAAAAAACATTACATTTAGAAGATTACATGACAAAGTGTTTATTTAATATATCTGGCTAGCTATAGCTACTTGCTAACGGTTTTGCTTACCCCCGCGATTCAAAGTAACGTCAACGTAGCTGTAATTTATGCTTTGCTTACATGTTCGCATAACTTGAAAGTTTACTGACATTTACATACCTTGTTTGCTTGGCTCAAGTGGTGGCTCTGGGGTTGTTGTGTGAGCCACCACTTGAGAATTGTCGTCATTTTTAAGAAAATGTTTTCTTATGTCCATCTTCAAAAGCTCTGAGTCCGAGTACCTGTCAGCCAATAAGACAGATGTTTATTTCCATTCAACTCTCTGGTTGGTCTGGTGTCTTGCCTCTGTTGCATTCACTGAACACGGGAAATTACAGTCCTGCCGTCCTCTCTAGTGTCATGATGAGGTTCAGGTAAAGCACGGTTAATGTATTATATTATTGACTCAATAATATAATACATGACTTTGAGAGTAGGCAATCTAGGATTATTAACTAAATTAATTAAACATACTTATCAGTTATACTGAGATTATCATTTTTTCCCCATTTTTTGTTTGCTAGGGGGCCCTTAGTGGCTGCGGGGCCCTAAGCGGCCGCTTACTGTATGTCGTTTAAAGGGTCGGGCCCATACTTGCCAACCCTCCCGATTTTCGCGGGAGACTCCCGATTTCATTGCCCTCTCCCGGTTTCCTCCCGGGGTCATATTTCTCCCGCATTTCTCCCGATTTCTGACAAAATCAGATTTACGCAGGACTGTTTCCACTCTGACTTTAATACAGGTACACCATTGTTTGGTTTCCATGGTAGCGCGTCTCTTTAGTAGCGCGCGCAACTCAAAGTCTGAGAGGGTGAGGAAGATTGTCACAGAAAACTGAACAAGAATCGACAACACGACCCTCTGCTCACTCCTTTCCTGTAAAATACAGGTCCAGCCCACACATATGCTCCATCAAGGATGGTGCTACAGGCCGCAAGGCAGTGCACTTACAACTACAATAAGCATGTTAATGTTAATCTAATACAGCTCCGGCGATGATCCACTAGCAACCCCCCTCGCAGCTCAACGAGGCTCCTTCCTGTCAGATGGAGGGTGTAAATACAGCGGCAAGCTTTGGGACAAACTCCCCTCTCTCCGGCAGAAACAGGAAATGCTGTAACTGTATCTAACAACGGTTTCAAATCAGCATCTCTTGGACAAAACATTTAAATTAATAACAAAAATAAAACTCCAGACATCTTTAATTGTGTTTTTTTAGTTTTAAACCTGATTTTTATAAGATTCTTAGTTTTTGCAACAGTCTGTAAATATACAAAACTTTTGAACTATTGCTCCTGTGGGGATTGCCCACAGTATTATGTAAGTCGCTTTGGATAAAAGCATCTAACAAGTGACATATAATGTAATGTTAACCCTATACAACCTAAAATGAACTGTTGTTTAGCTATAGCCTACTTTAAAAATCAATATGATGAATTTGATGTTGCCCAAGGCTTCATCGAAGAAACTTGCATTTGCAGAAACAGGGATACAAAAAAATTGTTATACTTATTTTAGTTGAAAACATGAAAAAGCGCACTTTTAAAGTGTCCAAACTGGCACATATATAAGTGACAGACACCTTTAGTTTTAACCTGCCCAGAAAGTGACGTAATGCCATTGCTGACCTTCTCCTTCTCTGTGAAACTATTTCTGTCGTTGACATAGATACCCAGGACTATGTCCAAATAAAAAAAACAGCAGATGCTCCTGCCACAGGGGGTCAATACAGGGACTTGTCGAATGGATACTCCTTCTGTTGCTTTTCTCCGCACTTCTAATGGCTGCGAGCCGATTCACACGCCGGCTCAGGGCCAGGCTTTACAATCTGGTCTGATGTTGCAGTGGCAAGCAAACAAATGTATCATATCTTAATTGTGGTGACTTTAAATGTGTGATTTCATCCATTTTTAGACTCATGAGGATAGTTTTGTACTGTATATTCCTGATTTTGTGCTCATTCACTGTATTCATGCCCTTTCCTGCATCATTGCCACATTATTTTCATATTGAGTCATATAAAGTTAATATATAACACAATATTTTGGGAATAATATAATTGTTAGGGCTATTTAAATGATGTGATGTGAAAAAATGAAGGAGTTTTCACCAGATGGTTTGATGAGCTCCATTTGGGAACACATAATGAACCTATAAATATCTTATAGTGGGCGCAGTCGCATAGAAAATAGAAAAATCACTTTAACTCTAGAGACATTTGGTTTTCTTGTACAAAAAAAATGGCATGTATGCACGTACTGCCTTTAAGCACTAAAGATCACACTAGAAATGAATTTGAACTAATTGAAATTTCATCTTAAATATACAACCAATTTACATTGTTCTTTTCAGGAAAGTTATTTAAGATTTTGAGGGAATTATTAAGTTATTATGTACCCCTAAGGTATTCCAAAAAGCCAAGCTGTATTAACAAACAAGAAACAACATTAGAGGTGTCCTAATTGAAAAGCATTATCAACAGTATTTAAGCCTAAATCTGAAGTATTTCCGTTGTATTCTCCGCCTAGTTCTCACATGATGATGAGTTGTATAATATACATAATGCCGCATACTATGACACAATAAATACCCGCCATACTTTGTGCTTGTCGTGACTAACCTGCTGTAGGTTGTCCAGAGCTGGACTTCAGTCAGGATTCACAGGGGGAAACCATCTGGACCCAACGGTCATTTCTATACATTCAGCAGGCTTTTCTCACACCGCACAGGCTGAGGAACAGCTTGAAGACGCTAAAACCACATGACTACATCTTATACTTGTATTGTGTACAGTCATGCAAAAATCTTCTCTTTAAAATAATGATTCATCAGGACAGCCACGACAAACAACAAAACTAAAAGACAGAGTTATTGGATACAATATCCATCTTTTTAATATTTTATATGGATGTTCTAATCTAGAGCAAAATAGTATAATATTGTTCTGAAATCGATTTGAAGAGTGTGATTAATCTTGACGAACAAATTATAAGTCTCAACTGTGCACACATCTCTTGGCAAGTTAAGATTTAAAAAAAAGTACAACTACTTCAAGTACGTAGGTGTTCAAGTACTTTGCCCCCTGTCATATTTTAACAGAGAAACCTGTTAATTATTGTGCAGCAAGGTTTAAAACTAATACAGTACTTGCATAACATATACAGTAGGGTGCTGCTGTCAGAAGCATAAAACAACCTTGTCCATTATCACATGCAAACAGTACTTTTGTGTTTCAGAAGTCCATCACAACAGTCTGTTTCCATAAATTCCTTAATTGGCATCACAGCCAGATTAAATAGTACGTTTTTATGTTAATTTGGCGTCAAATCGCTGTTATTTCCACCCACAATGCAAAGCAATACATGTCTTAAAACTACAAGAAATAATCCATCTTCCCCCATTCCTATCTTTTCTGACTCTGACTTCTGCTTGAGTACAAATGTAAAAGTATTTAACTTAAGTATTTGTATCTCATGCGTTTCATAATATTGGGAATATTGTACTTTTTTCACAGCAACCCTTTTTCTGCAGAATGAGTTTCTTTGTACTTCTACTGAAATACGTTTTTTAAATGCAGGACTTATACTTGTAATAAAGTACATTATTGCACTTCCTTTTTTTAGTATGGTGAAGAAGCAGAGTTCTCTTGGTTGAACATTTCCCAAAATGCCTTTAAGAAAAACAGGTTAAAATGTGATACTCTCTGTTGTTAGTATATCATCTGTGGACAAACATTTAAGAAAGCCCTTTTTCCCTAAATTAAATTAAGGTTTGATCCCGAAATGTGTCAGTTATCTCATTTGCAGCTGCCATAAATAAACGTCAAATCATGCCAACACCAAAATAACCCCAGAAATGCAAGGAACTGTATCTAAGGGTGGGTATTTTTTGTCTAACATGGCATATTTATGTGTGATTGACAACCAGTTTATTATCCATTGTACAAACACACAAAACCTCGTCCCATCTGCCACTCCAAACTGCTCCTAAAATTACTTTGCATCAACTGTCTGAAATATATGTGATTTAGACAGACAAACAACAAGAATATCTGATGGGTTTTGTTTGATTGCATCTGATTTTATGTAAGGTAATTTAATGAATTAAACACCCAATATATAACATGTTAATAAGTTACTTTTAGAGGTTCTAGTAAGATTACTTTTATAAACCTTGACAGAGCCAGTTAAGACGTTTCCAGTATGTATGCTATAGGCTAAGCTAACAGGAGGCTTTTTGGGCCTAATTAAATAGCTAACAAGTAACATATTTAAAAAGTGAGAGTGATATCAGTCTCTCATCAATAGCTTCATCTTTAGCTTCATCATAGCCCTATATTTAGCTTCATCATAGCCCTATATTTAGCTTAATCATAGCCCTATCTTTAGCTTCATCTTTAGCTTCATCATAGCCCTATATTTAGCTTCATCATAGCCCTATCTTTAGCTTCACCTTGGCTTTAGCTTAATCTTTAGCTTAATTGTTAGCTTCACCTTTAGCTTAATCTTTAGCTTCCCCGGTGCTGGCTTCCCCTTTAGCTTAATCTTTAGCTTAATTGTTAGCTTCCCCTTTAGCTTCATCTTTTGCTTAATTGTTAGCTTCATCTTTAGCTTAATCTTCAATGTAATCTTTAGCTTGATCTTTAGCTTTACCTTTAGCTTAATCTTTAGCTTCACCTTTAGCTTAATATTTAGCTTAATCTTTAGCTTCACCTTTACATTAATGTTTAGCTTCACCTTTAGCTTCATCTTTATCCTTTTCTTTTGCTTAATCTGTGTCTTTAGGATACAGGCATACAAGTTTATTGTCTCATTTAGCAGTTAAACCAAAAACCTTTTCCCCCTAAACAAACAATAAACAGCGTGTTAGCAGTGAAGTGTTGTTGGAGCTATTTGTATCTGAACTTTTGACAGAGCCCGGCTGTTTCCTCTGCTTCCAGTTGTTATTCGAAGCTAAGCTAACCTCCTCATATCTCCAGCTCATTATTTCCCAAACTGTTCGCTTAAAGTGCACTTCACAAACTTCTGGATTACAGTTCCTGAAAACACTGTGAAGCCAAGGCTAGATTAATATCAACAACTGGGGGAAACAGGGCTGGACAAATGAACAGAAACCCCTCACACTGCAGCCAACCGTCTTTGTTAATGTTGGTCTTTTTAAAAGCTTTTTTCAGTCGGTGCCGCTGAGTGTCTACTTGTGATCAACCTGCTTCTGTGTTAATGCAGTTTTACTGTGTTCGGGGTATGTCATCGTGTTTTTTCTGAACTTTTCCCACTTGTGTAGTTACATAATGCAGCGTTTGTGACTGATGCACCAGAATTTTGGACAGAGAGCTCTGAAAAGTCACAATAACAGAGGCAGCTACACAGAAATATGAGTCACGTTGAGCTATCAGAGTGTCAGCTTTAATATAGTTCTGAGAATCACGATTTCTTATGGTTTTGTCTTGTATTAAACCACAACGTCTAAACTGGTGCTGCATCAATCTATAACCTCTGAGTTAAACCAGCATGAGATCATTAACAAAAAAACACTAAATGGGAATTTACTGCAGAGCTGAAGTCTTGTACCCTTTCCTTCCAAAATTAGCGCAAGCATGCAGTTTTTCTTAAACACCAGAAAACCTGCTAAAAATAGGCGATAAACTCCTTTTCCATTCCCCGTAGACAAGTGTGTCTTTCTGTGTTTTTCAGGTTTGACAAATGCAACATAAAGCAGAGATAATGAACAGTAATTGTTTATATATCTATGACTTAGTCAGTCTCTCTTTCAAACTCTCCAACCATGTGATTCTTTGTCAATGTATTGGGTAAATTAGTCGTCTTTCTAAGCTGAAGGATTTATCTTCAAAAACCTATGAGCCCATAATGTGCTAAACGCAAGATACATTGATACTTTTGCATGACTCTTGAGAAACTCATCCGTCAATCAAATCCCCTAATCGAGTGTTGGTTGACTAAGAATATCCTAAGTCTTTTTGCAAACAGCAGAAGGACTGCACGAGGCACATTTGTGTTTGAATAAAGTTTGTTTGACGACAATCGGCAATCTAAAATGATTGTTTCTGCCAATGGAGTCTGGTTGCTTTGAGAAGAGCATTTAAAACATGTTCCTTTCCACATTTAACTCTATGAATTAAGGGGTATATATATATAAATAAAGATGGATTTATCTTGTCATTCTAGTGTGTTTAACGACAATCATGGAGGTTTAATGACTGTTTCTGTCAATTGACTGGTTGTATTGAGTAGAGCATGCTAATTGTATGTTTTGTACGTTAATACAATATAATAATTATCCAAATCCCTGTTGATTTCATAGCATATCGTCAGGAAATAGGCGAAATTTAGCATGTCCATTGTGTTGTCTTTTTCCCACAGACTCTGATCGGAGCCCTACAAATTGTCCCAGAAAAATAACGAATGCAAACTAGACTTTTCCCGTTTAAGACAAATGCCAGATGTTTTGAAGTCCAGTAGGTGAGGTAAAATGATGTTATCTCTCCATTTCTTATTGTGCAGTTCCTCAACTGACTCCGCCTGTAGTTCCTGGAGCAGCACCTGTTCAGCTGTCACCTGTTTACCCTGAACACCTCGTGGTCTGCAGTGTGTGCGCACAGGTAGATGTCTAATTTCACGACTTGTTAACACCCACAGGTTACATCTACCTTCAAAGAAGTAATGTGCAAACAGACTCAGAGAATCCTTTGAGTAGTTACCTGCAAATGTGTAAACTTAACATGACTTTTAAACGTTAATAGTTGACTTTTACGTTGGCATTTTGGTCTATTTTATTGTCTTTTTTCTTTTTAAGTCTTCAGTATATTGTATGCTGCACTCTAAGCGGGGTCTGGGACTTCAGATTTCCATTGCCAACAACAACGCTGTGGCTATTGTGCATAATATCCTTTGACATTAAAAGTATTGAACGTTTCAAACCCTTTCAAGTTTTGAACGTTTTCGCATAACATGCCGTCGGTTTCTCCATGAAACTCATATATAGTACATGGCACGTTCAACCTGTGAAACATTTCTACAAATACCTTCCTGGTTTGTTTCTTTCGTTGTTCGCACTAAGAAATATTCTTTCATTTTTGCACATCATTGCTTCCAAACATAGCGAGCCACCCTTCCTCAAACTGATATTTGAGTTGTCTTGTCCTACTGTTTACTGGGATTATAGCACCACAAACATCTAGCAGTCTTGTCTCTGCTGTGAGGCCGGCTCTCTGGCAGTCTAGACACATTGTTCTGTGCTGAAATCTGCGGTATCGAGAGTTTTAAACGGAGCTGCGTCTCTTAAACATCCTGAATGGAGATAAGAGGTGCAGGCCTGTAGTTATGGAGCTGATGCTCGAGCATTGACGTGGACTACAAACACATCCCGTGGACCCCGGCTCCACGTAGTGAGGACAGTTCCTGCTCTGCAGCATGTAGGGGTTCGATAACATCAGCTCCTGAGGGATGGAGCCCCGCAGCTTCTCCTTGCTCCTGTACCACAAGCAGGAGCATATTGTCTGGAAGTGCAGCACCTCGGTGTAGACGCCTTTCAAATCCTTCGCTTTGGTGGCGTCTTCTGCTAAAGAGGTGGAGGCCGAGAGGGGGAGCAGTCGAGCCACCTCTCCTCGGGGTTTACCGACGGGAACGAGCGCGCGTTGCCTGGCGTCCCGTCGCTCGTCCTCCGTGTTCATGGTGAGGAAGCGAAGCACCACCAGGTTCAGGAAGGCTCCGATCACCGTGAGCCCCGTGAGGATGTAGACGAAGCAGAAGGCCACGTAGCGAGGGTCGTTCTGCAGCGCGTCGTCCCTCTGCAGCGCCACGTAGTCCCCGAAGCCGATGGTGGTGAGCGTGATGAAGCAGAAGTAGAAGGCGTGAAGGAAGCTCCATCCCTCGCAGTGGGAGAAGGCCACGGCTCCGACACACAGCGTGCTGAGGCAGGAGAAGAAGCCCACCGTCACCATGTTGGCCATGGACACGGCCGTTTGACGCAGGCCCAGGCACTTCTTGGCCTGGTGCAGCAGGTACCTGACGAAGGTGTTGATCCGCTCCCCCAGGCTCTGGAACATCACCAGAGTGAGCGGGATCCCCAGGAGGGCATAGAACATGCAGAACACTTTCCCCGAGTCGCTGCTCGGAGCCGCGTGGCCGTAACCTGAGGAGACATCGCAGGAGACACGTCAGACTGAGAGTTACAAGATGCTATCTGACGTAGTGTGGCAAGGACTGGAGATTAAGCTCTGGCTGGTTGAAATGATATCAGAAAAGCAGTTTTGAAATGCTACAAATGTACTTTTACAAGTAGAAATTACACTTTGAGTAAGTAAAAATGTGATTAATTAGGGCACATAATATGTAAACTATTGAAAAGATTTAAGAATAAAAAAGGAGGATAGATCGCAGGTTACACGTCAGACTGAGAGTTACAAGCTGATATCTGACGAGGATGAGGCAAGGACTGGACATTTAGATTTTGAAAGTTGGAATGATAGCAAAAAAGCAGTTTTGAAATGCTACAAATGTACTTTTACATGTAGAATTGACACTTTGATGAGTACAAACATAATATTTAAACTATTGAAAAAAATCTAAGAATAAAAAGAAAACTGATTTTTCCATTAAAATATTTATATAAAATAGAAAAAGCCCTTTAAAAAGAGGTCTATCGTCCAGTGAAGATGTATTCATTATTATTAATTATTTGGTCACAGGACATAGAAGTCATTGAAAAAAATCCAGTATCTTAAAAATATAATAAAATATGAAAAACAAGGACATGAAAAAAAAATTCTATTCAGATTTTTTGATACAAATATGTAACATCACCAAAATAAATATTATATTAAAAATAAATAATAACATTTAATTCAGCAAGGAGGCACTGTTACTGACTTTACGCACTTTGTATCGTCTGTAGGCTTTTAGGATTCCCTCCATCACTTTAACAATGCCTATGTATTTATGATATCATCCCACAAAGTTTCTCCATCTTGTTTTGTACTTGTTTACTGTCTTTGCCTCTGAATCGCTGAATTACACCTCAGCGCAGCCCCCCCCCCCCCCCCTCATGCTCTTAATGTGTAAATAAATGAACTTCCGCTCACCTATGGTTGTGATCACAGTGATGGCGAAGTAAAAAGACCCCGCAAACTTCCACTGCACGCCGGCTTTGTGCGGTTTGAGCTGCACGACGACGTGCTCCAGCTCCTCGAAGTCCCCTTTGGATAAGTTGTATTTACGCATGAGTTCGTGCTTCCTGGCGTCCAGCTTCCTCTTGTGGCTTTTCTCCTGCTTCGACTCCAGGGTCTCAAACACGGCCGCCCCCACCACCAGGTAAGTGAGGATGCTGATGATGAGGGCGAGGGTCCGGGCGTTTTGTCTCTTCATGGTAAGAAAAGAAAAATGGAGAGACACTTCTTTTTTGTTTCCCCTGCGTCCTTCCTGCTCCTCCTCGCGTATCCAACAGAGGGGTTTGTGACTTTTGGAGCCGGAGCTGTTCTCAGCACCACCCCCACATCACAGTTGGGCTGATTCTGTATTTGGAGTATTTGTCACAGACTTATATTTAGATCTGCCAGTGGTGAAAGAAGTACTCAGATATATAACTTCAGAAAAAAAGTATGCAAAATGGTTCAAATATTGAATGATGCAGAGAAACTAGTCTATGCATTTGTTACTTGAAGGCTGGATTATTGTAACTCTTTATTATCAGGGTGTACCAAGAAGTCAGTCAAGTGGCTTCAGCTGATTCAAAATGCTGCAGCTCGTGTACTAACCAGAGTTAGGAAAAGGGACCACATTACTCCTGTTCTGGCTGCCTTACACTGGCTCCCTATAGAACACAGGATAGAATTTAAAATTCTTCTTCTCGCCTACAAAGCCCTTAATGGGCAGGCGCCATCTTACCTTAAAGAACTCATTATACCCTACTGTCCTACTAGGGCATTGCGTTCCAAGAATGCAGGGTTGTTGGTTGTTCCTAGAGTCTCTAAAAGTACAATGGGAGCCAGAGCCTTTTCTTATCAAGCTCCACATTTGTGGAATCAGCTTCCAGTTTGTGTTCGGGCGGAAGACACCCTATCCGTTTTTAAGAGTGCGTTTAAGACCTTCCTTTTTGATAAAGCATAGTGATAAAATAAAATAATCTAATAAGAGTGCATTGACGTAGATACGTTGTGCCTCTTCACCTACACATTTGAGTTCTTACTCTTTCACTTAAATCCTAAAAACTTAGATCTTATACTTAAAACTTTATCCAAACCTTTCCCCTCTATGACCTCTCGAGGTTTATTAGAGGGTAACAGGTTGCAGAGAAGGCCTAGCCTGGCCGGGGAGTGTGGAACGTAGTCACTGACCCACTCCTACCTCTGACAAATTCAGGTTCCAGTGGGGACTCTCCCTGCGTGTGCCTCTCCACCTTTGTTTCCTACTTCTTACTTGCTACCCTTTTCCCTCAACCTATCCTAAGGGAGTGCATGTATGTAGACACGTTAGTTTAGCTGCTATAGGCTTGGACTGTTGGGGGGGGCACCTTACTCCGTCTTTCTGGCTGTTTGTACCTGTGTACTCTCATGTTCCGATTAACCCAGTTTCCCCCAAATCTCTTTTTTGTGTCCATATATACGCCGGGATCACTGAGACATATGTAACATTTGTGATATTGGGCTATATAAATAAACATTGATTGATTGATTGACTTAAATTACCAAAAGTGAAAGTAGTAATTATGCAGTTTGACAGTGGACAAAGGAGATATTTGACTTGAGAAAAAGTATGAAAAATGGCTTTAAATATATACTTAAATCACAGAAGGTAAAAGTCGTCATGCATATTGGCAGTGGTGGAAGAAGTATTCAGATGATTTACCTTTAAAAAAGAGTAAAAAATCATACAAATATTCACATAAAATGGTAAAAAAAACTTAAAATAAAACAATGCTGCATTGACTTTGGATCACTGGGTCACATGATATGGCAGCTATTGAAACAATCCAAGAGTTCTCTAAAATATTCATATATATCTGTTCAAAATATATATAAGTGAAAGTAGTCAGTATGCATAATGGCAGTGGTGGTACTCAGATTCTTTACTAAAGTAAAAGTACATATCATATGGTCTTTTAAAGTAGGGGAGTATTTGTCAAATTAGACAGTATTATGAGCCCAAGTACGGTGGCTGACAGATGCAAACGTGTTCGAAACACTTCCATTATGAGAAACATCGACAGCAACTTGAGGAAACATCCAACATTTAGAAATCTTTCACTACCTTGAGGAAACATGCACAGCGTTTACTAAAAGCTGCACAAACCAAACGCTGCAAGAAGCGGAAAACACAACGAAAACAAGGGGACACTAAAAAGTGACGCACACTTCACATAGTGTGATATTTTATTTGTCTGCTTCATTTATGACCTGTGAACAAGAAGGCACTCATCTCGTTTCTTTCTCCCATGTGACTTTTAAACAAATATTACACTGATTTTTTGTCCTTTATTGACAATTTAATTTTGCAAAGTAGTTCGAACGACATGTTCTTAAACTAGTTTCCTCTCTCGGTAGCTTTGTTTAATTTACCTTCCTCCAGTGTGAAATCATTTCCACATCCTAACACTGAAGTACTTCTACTGTAATTAAAACATCTGAGTACTTCCAACACAAACACACATCTTTCCTACCTGCGGCTTTCCATCCGTAGGAGCTGTCACTCCTCAGCAGCATTAAGGGCTCTCTGAGGTTGTTAAATATATCTGTGTGTATACGATAACATATTTGCCCAGTGGTTATTTAAACAGACCAGCTCCACTGGCTGCACCGGTCGTCTAGCAACCTGCTGACAACCATCTCTACTTTAAAGAGTCCTCTCCTGCGGATGTTCAGGTGTATATCAGTAGGTAGTGTCTCTTCTTTAAAGAGTCCTCTCCTGCGGATGTTCAGGTGTATATCAGTAGGTACTGTCTCTACTTTAAAGAGTCCTCTCCTGCTGATGTTCAGGTGTATATCAGTATGTAGTGTCTCTACTTTAAAGAGTCCTCTCCTGCTGATGTTCAGGTGTATATCAGTATGTAGTGTTTCTACTTTAAAGAGTCCTCTCCTGCTGATGTTCAGGTTTATATCAGTATGTAGTGTCTCTACTTTAAAGAGTCCTCTCCTGCTGATGTTCAGGTGTATATCAGTATGTAGTGTCTCTACTTTAAAGAGTCCTCTCCTGCTGATGTTCAGGTGTATATCAGTATGTAGTGTCTCTACTTTAAAGAGTCCTCTCCTGCTGATGTGCAGGTGTATATCAGTATGTAGTGTCTCTACTTTAAAGAGTCCTCTCCTGCTGATGTTCAGCTGTATATCAGTATGCAGTGTCTCTACTTTAAAGAGTCCTCTCCTGCTGATGTTCAGGTGTATATCAGTATGTAGTGTCTCTACTTTAAAGAGTCCTCTCCTGCTGATGTTCAGGTGTATATCAGTATGTAGTGTTTCTACTTTAAAGAGTCCTCTCCTGCTGATGTTCAGGTGTAGATCAGTATGTAGTGTTTCTACTTTAAAGAGTCCTCTCCTGCTGATGTTCAGGTTTATATCAGTATGTAGTGTCTCTACTTTAAAGAGTCCTCTCCTGCTGATGTTCAGGTGTATATCAGTATGTAGTGTCTCTACTTTAAAGAGTCCTCTCCTGCTGATGTTCAGGTGTATATCAGTATGTAGTGTCTCTACTTTAAAGAGTCCTCTCCTGCTGATGTTCAGGTGTATATCAGTATGTAGTGTCTCTACTTTAAGAGTCCTCTCCTGCTGATGTTCAGGTGTATATCAGTATGTAGTGTCTCTACTTTAAAGAGTCCTCTCCTGCTGATGTTCAGGTGTATATCAGTATGTAGTGTCTCTACTTTAAAGAGTCCTCTCCTGCTGATGTTCAGGTGTATATCAGCATGTAGTGTCTCTACTTTAAAGAGTCCTCTCCTGCTGATGTTCAGGTGTATATCAGTATGTAGTGTCTCTACTTTAAAGAGTCCTCTCCTGCTGATGTTCAGGTGTATATCAGTATGTAGTGTCTCTACTTTAAAGAGTCCTCTCCTGCTGATGTTCAGGTGTATATCAGTATGTAGTGTCTCTACTTTAAAGAGTCCTCTCCTGCTGATGTTCAGGTGTATATCAGTGAAAAATGGCTTTAAATATATACTTAAATCACAGAAGGTAAAAGTCGTCATGCATATTGGCAGTGGTGGAAGAAGTATTCAGATGATTTACCTTTAAAAAAGAGTAAAAAATCATACAAATATTCACATAAAATGGTAAAAAAAACTTAAAATAAAACAATGCTGCATTGACTTTGGATCACTGGGTCACATGATATGGCAGCTATTGAAACAATCCAAGAGTTCTCTAAAATATTCATATATATCTGTTCAAAATATATATAAGTGAAAGTAGTCAGTATGCATAATGGCAGTGGTGGTACTCACATTCTTTACTAAAGTAAAAGTACATATCATATGGTCTTTTAAAGTAGGGGAGTATTTGTCAAATTAGACAGTATTATGAGCCCAAGTACGGTGGCTGACAGATGCAAACGTGTTCGAAACACTTCCATTATGAGAAACATCGACAGCAACTTGAGGAAACATCCAACATTTAGAAATCTTTCACTACCTTGAGGAAACATGCGCAGCGTTTACTAAAAGCTGCACAAACCAAACGCTGCAAGAAGCGGAAAACACAACAAAAACAAGGGGACACTCAAAAGTGACGCACACTTCACATAGTGTGATATTTTATTTGTCTGCTTCATTTATGACCTGTGAACAAGAAGGCACTCATCTCGTTTCTTTCTCCCATGTGACTTTTAAACAAATATTACACTGATTTTTTGTCCTTTATTGACAATTTAATTTTGCAAAGTAGTTCGAACGACATGTTCTTAAACTAGTTTCCTCTCTCGGTAGCTTTGTTTAATTTACCTTCCTCCAGTGTGAAATCATTTCCACATCCTAACACTGAAGTACTTCTACTGTAATTAAAACATCTGAGTACTTCCAACACAAACACACATCTTTCCTACCTGCGGCTTTCCATCCGTAGGAGCTGTCACTCCTCAGCAGCATTAAGGGCTCTCTGAGGTTGTTAAATATATCTGTGTGTATACGATAACATATTTGCCCAGTGGTTATTTAAACAGACCAGCTCCACTGGCTGCACCGGTCGTCTAGCAACCTGCTGACAACCATCTCTACTTTAAAGAGTCCTCTCCTGCGGATGTTCAGGTGTATATCAGTAGGTAGTGTCTCTTCTTTAAAGAGTCCTCTCCTGCGGATGTTCAGGTGTATATCAGTAGGTACTGTCTCTACTTTAAAGAGTCCTCTCCTGCTGATGTTCAGGTGTATATCAGTATGTAGTGTTTCTACTTTAAAGAGTCCTCTCCTGCTGATGTTCAGGTTTATATCAGTATGTAGTGTCTCTACTTTAAAGAGTCCTCTCCTGCTGATGTTCAGGTGTATATCAGTATGTAGTGTCTCTACTTTAAAGAGTCCTCTCCTGCTGATGTTCAGGTGTATATCAGTATGTAGTGTCTCTACTTTAAAGAGTCCTCTCCTGCTGATGTGCAGGTGTATATCAGTATGTAGTGTCTCTACTTTAAAGAGTCCTCTCCTGCTGATGTTCAGCTGTATATCAGTATGCAGTGTCTCTACTTTAAAGAGTCCTCTCCTGCTGATGTTCAGGTGTATATCAGTATGTAGTGTCTCTACTTTAAAGAGTCCTCTCCTGCTGATGTTCAGGTGTATATCAGTATGTAGTGTTTCTACTTTAAAGAGTCCTCTCCTGCTGATGTTCAGGTGTAGATCAGTATGTAGTGTTTCTACTTTAAAGAGTCCTCTCCTGCTGATGTTCAGGTGTAGATCAGTATGTAGTGTCTCTACTTTAAAGAGTCCTCTCCTGCTGATGTTCAGGTGTATATCAGTATGTAGTGTCTCTACTTTAAAGAGTCCTCTCCTGCTGATGTTCAGGTGTATATCAGTATGTAGTGTCTCTACTTTAAAGAGTCCTCTCCTGCTGATGTTCAGGTGTATATCAGTATGTAGTGTCTCTACTTTAAAGAGTCCTCTCCTGCTGATGTTCAGGTGTATATCAGTATGTAGTGTCTCTACTTTAAAGAGTCCTCTCCTGCTGATGTTCAGGTGTATATCAGTATGTAGTGTCTCTACTTTAAAGAGTCCTCTCCTGCTGATGTTCAGGTGTATATCAGCATGTAGTGTCTCTACTTTAAAGAGTCCTCTCCTGCTGATGTTCAGGTGTATATCAGTATGTAGTGTCTCTACTTTAAAGAGTCCTCTCCTGCTGATGTTCAGGTGTATATCAGTATGTAGTGTCTCTACTTTAAAGAGTCCTCTCCTGCTGATGTTCTGGTGTATATCAGTGAAAATGGCTTTAAATATATACTTAAATCACAGAAGGTAAAAGTCGTCATGCATATTGGCAGTGGTGGAAGAAGTATTCAGATGATTTACCTTTAAAAAAGAGTAAAAAATCATACAAATATTCACATAAAATGGTAAAAAAAACTTAAAATAAAACAATGCTGCATTGACTTTGGATCACTGGGTCACATGATATGGCAGCTATTGAAACAATCCAAGAGTTCTCTAAAATATTCATATATATCTGTTCAAAATATATATAAGTGAAAGTAGTCAGTATGCATAATGGCAGTGGTGGTACTCAGATTCTTTACTAAAGTAAAAGTACATATCATATGGTCTTTTAAAGTAGGGGAGTATTTGTCAAATTAGACAGTATTATGAGCCCAAGTACGGTGGCTGACAGATGCAAACGTGTTCGAAACACTTCCATTATGAGAAACATCGACAGCAACTTGAGGAAACATCCAACATTTAGAAATCTTTCACTACCTTGAGGAAACATGCGCAGCGTTTACTAAAAGCTGCACAAACCAAACGCTGCAAGAAGCGGAAAACACAACGAAAACAAGGGGACACTAAAAAGTGACGCACACTTCACATAGTGTGATATTTTATTTGTCTGCTTCATTTATGACCTGTGAACAAGAAGGCACTCATCTCGTTTCTTTCTCCCATGTGACTTTTAAACAAATATTACACTGATTTTTTGTCCTTTATTGACAATTTAATTTTGCAAAGTAGTTCGAACGACATGTTCTTAAACTAGTTTCCTCTCTCGGTAGCTTTGTTTAATTTACCTTCCTCCAGTGTGAAATCATTTCCACATCCTAACACTGAAGTACTTCTACTGTAATTAAAACATCTGAGTACTTCCAACACAAACACACATCTTTCCGACCTGCGGCTTTCCATCCGTAGGAGCTGTCACTCCTCAGCAGCATTAAGGGCTCTCTGAGGTTGTTAAATATATCTGTTTGTATACGATAACATATTTGCCCAGTGGTTATTTAAACAGACCGGCTCCACTGGCTGCACCGGTCGTCTAGCAACCTGCTGACAACCATCTCTACTTTAAAGAGTCCTCTCCTGCGGATGTTCAGGTGTATATCAGTAGGTAGTGTCTCTTCTTTAAAGAGTCCTCTCCTGCGGATGTTCAGGTGTATATCAGTATGTAGTGTTTCTACTTTAAAGAGTCCTCTCCTGCTGATGTTCAGGTGTATATCAGTATGTAGTGTCTCTACTTTAAAGAGTCCTCTCCTGCTGATGTTCAGGTGTATATCAGTATGTAGTGTCTCTACTTTAAAGAGTCCTCTCCTGCTGATGTTCAGGTGTATATCAGTATGTAGTGTCTCTACTTTAAAGAGTCCTCTCCTGCTGATGTTCAGGTGTATATCAGTATGTAGTGTCTCTACTTTAAAGAGTCCTCTCCTGCTGATGTTCAGGTATATATCAGTAGGTAGTGTCTCTACTTTAAAGAGTCCTCTCCTGCTGATGTTCAGGTGTATATCAGTATGTAGTGTCTCTACTTTAAAGAGTCCTCTCCTGCTGATGTTCAGGTGTATATCAGTATGTAGTGTCTCTACTTTAAAGAGTCCTCTCCTGCTGATGTTCAGGTATATATCAGTAGGTAGTGTCTCTACTTTAAAGAGTCCTCTCCTGCTGATGTTCAGGTGTATATCAGTATGTAGTGTCTCTACTTTAAAGAGTCCTCTCCTGCTGATGTTCAGGTGTATATCAGTATGTAGTGTCTCTACTTTAAAGAGTCCTCTCCTGCTGATGTTCAGGTGTATATCAGTATGTAGTGTCTCTACTTTAAAGAGTCCTCTCCTGCTGATGTTCAGGTGTATATCAGTATGTAGTGTCTCTACTTTAAAGAGTCCTCTCCTGCTGATGTTCAGGTGTATATCAGTATGTAGTGTCTCTACTTTAAAGAGTCCTCTCCTGCTGATGTTCAGGTGTATCAGAGGATTATGACTTTAAAAAAAAGAATGAAAATTACTCAAAATACTTTTTTAATTTAAATTTAATAGTTGACAACAATTTGATTAATCTTTACAGTTTCTTTTTTCGACTTTGGTTTGGACAACACAACTTAGAAACATTACGTATCAATCCAAAAATCATCAATACATGAACACAAATAATTGTTAGCTGCAAAATCACTGATTGCGTTAATGGAAAATTCATTAAATAAATCTAAATGAACCACATCAGTTTATTATATAACAGGAAATTACAAAGCTAATTTGATCGTTTATGATAACGGAAGTAATTTGTTCGTACAGTATATCAGGAACACATTAGATTAATGCCAATGTTTTAATGACTAAAGCACGTTGGAGATGTTTGAGTGCTAAAAAAAACATTTTATCAAAGTTAAACCAATAAAATAAAACTCATCTTACACGGATCAGCTATTGACTTCCTGTTTCTTAATCAGGTGAGTGCATACAGAGGTGGACGAAGTACTAGTGCCACAAACATGAAGGAAAAGTATTACTGCATTAAAAAAAATAGGTATACTTATTTAAATCTTACTTTAGTATGTATTGACATAAAAATATACTAATGTGCTTAATGGCCTATTTCAAAATCATATATATATTAAATGAGTGGAACATGATTAGTGATGCATTAACGTGATCATCACAGCTAGTGAAAGTGAGCCAATTTGAATTACTTCATAAACTGCTGATGGATATCTTAACCTATAATTATGAGTCAATATGTATTTACCTATTACCAGTAAATGCAGGGTTGCAAGATAAATATTGAAATGTTTTGTAATCATAAATTACAACAACTTAATATTGTGTGCAATTCACCCTAAAAAATAGAACACAAGTACTCAAGTAAAGTACCTCTTAATTGTACTTTACTCGAGTACTTGTACTTTTCCACCCCTGTGTGCAGATGTGTTCACACTCTGATTAGAAGCTGAACCTTTGTGAGGTATTTCTGAGATGTTTTCGGGTCTCTGAGGTTTTCTACAAGGACTCGAACTCGTCGATCCTCTGCTTGGTGTTTCCCAGGCGGATCTGACGCAGCGTCTTGTATTTGTCGCGGCCGACTCTCATGTTCTCGGCGTGAAGAAGATCGTTCTGAGACTTCTTGTTGTCGTCCCGGGCTTCTGCCAGCTCGGAGCTCAGGGCCTGAGGAGGGAAACACAGATGGTTACAGCAAATACACTTCAGTTATATTCTTAGAGTTGTTGTTGTAGAGTGGAGCAGGGATTATGTTTGTAGGACGATACTGAAGCTAGCATCACACAAAAGGTCAATGGGATTTTTCCATGTGATTTTGGATTATTGCAGAAAATAATTTCAACGTTTAACACGTTTTGTTCAGCAGGATAATCTCCACATATAAACACCACTTTATGTTTTTTGAAGCGTTAATGAAACAACCACAAGTAATAAGCTAACTTTAGGCTATAGAGTTGTGCAGAAATGAGTCCTAAAACCCGGAAATGAGTCAGCATTTTACTACTTCCGGTTCTCTCATCTGGAAGTCAATGGTTTTTTAACGTACTTTTGGTTGGATGTCTGAACTAAGGTCTGTGTTTAACACAAGCTGAAGAGATTTTAACGTTTTGTTTTACGACATAAAATGGCGGTTGCTAACAAGTGTCGAAATGAGACGACTAAGCGTCATCACGCCCAACATTAGCCGCCTTTAGGTTAGCGGTGGTGACGTGAAGTCATGTGACCGTGCTGTAGTTCCTTTATAGCCCAACATTAGCCGCCTTTAGCTTAGCGGTGGTGACGTGAAGTCATGTGACCGTGCTGTAGTTCCTTTATAGCCCAACATTAGCCGCCTTTAGCTTAGCGGTGGTGACGTGAAGTCATGTGACCGTGCTGTAGTTCCTTTATAGCCCAACATTAGCCGCCTTTAGCTTAGCGGTGGTGACGTGAAGTCATGTGACCGTGCTGTAGTTCCTTTATAGCCCAACATTAGCCGCCTTTAGCTTAGCGGTGGTGACGTGAAGTCATGTGACCGTGCTGTAGTTCCTTTATAGCCCAACGTTAGCTTTTTACTTCAAAAATCAAAAAGTGGTGTTGATATATAAATATAATATATATATCCGGCGTGATAAAAATAATAGATTACATTTGTATAGCGCCTTTCAAGGGAACCAAGGCCACTTTACATGGTGAACAAACAAACAAACAAGAGGGGCAAATAATAAAGTAAATGAAGGATCCGAAGCACTGACCTGCAGCTGTTTCTGCAGCCGCTTGTTCTTCTCGGCCTCGGTGAGCCTCTCCTCCTCCTCCCGGTGGTTGGAGATCTCCTGCGTCTGCAGCTCGGCGCTGTAGGTGCTGTTCTCCTCGCTGTTGTTCTCCTCGTGGTCGCTCTCACTGTCCGAGGAGGAGGAGGATGAAGAGGAGGAAGCAGGAGCCTCAGCAGGAGCCTCAGCTTCAGGAGAGGATGAGTGAGAGGAGCTCATCACGTTGTGCAGCTCCTCCTTCGTCTTCTCCAGATTCTCCTCCATATCCCGAGCCTACGACCAGGAGGAGAGGGTTAGTTTCATCTGCATGATTTATTATTAGTACTGGTATGACTGTGTGTGACCAGTTTATGGACCAATAACAGTCGCAGGCAGAGCTAGATATCAGGTCTTACCATGACAACTTGGCTTTGTGTCTTTGAATAGACGTGTGTTTAAAATGTGTTACATTACTTTGTTACCGAGGGTTATCAAGGCATTGCAATCAGCAATACAGTCGAAAGATATACAGATACACAATATAAAGACACACTTTAGAGTACTATTACTAACTGTAAACATATATAATATACTCTATACCAGTGATTCTCAAATGGGGGTACGTGGACCCCTGGGGGTACGTTGGGGTACTGCAGGGGGTACGTGAGATTTTTTAAAAAACAAAAAAAAAGTTAATTAAAAAAATACCATGCATGATTACAAAAATAATCTTAGTACAATAAGTTAAATAGAAAACACCATTTTATTTCAAATATTCCTTGAACCTGAATGTCAAATTGATGTATTGTATTTTATAGTTTTGCATAATATATCATTTTGTTCATTGGTTTGTTAAACAGATATTACTTCAGTTGAAAAAGTCCTTTGAAAGTTTAATTTGTTTTTCTTTTTTCATGCATAAAATGAAAATATCCTTAGTTTGTTATAATGCATGAAGGAGTTAATAAATCACACACTGAGGGAACATCACTATATTGGAATTATTTGTATAGGCTTTTCCGATCAAACATTTTCGGGGTCGGTCAGGGGGTACATGACTGAAAAAAGTTTGAGAAGCCCTGCTCTATACAAGTGTACAAAGTAATATGTTTTAAAGTGTAATGTATTGGAAACAAGTAACATAAGTGGTGAAATGCAAAGTAGTGGGCAAAATAAATAATGCAATAAACTAAGAAAAAACAATCTGCATACAAAAACATAATTGTGTATTACGTTATTTGTAAGTGCTTATATCCTACTGTAAATACTGCATATGGTGCTGATTGCTCATTTGCCTTGGTGTTGAATAAAACACACATGGAAAAGAAAATACTGTTAAAAAAACAGGCTTGTTAATAATAAAACACGAGCAGGAAACGCCTCTGACATTTCGAGGTACCCCTGAGTCTTGGTGGAGCCGCTGATCCTCACCTTGCTGTGCCAGGACTCGGCCTCCTCCTCCTTCTCCTTCTGCATCTCCTCCAGGAGGGCGATCTTGGCGCTGTACTCGGCCAGATCTGCAGCCTGAAGGAGGAGCACAACATAAAGAAATAGATCAAAATACTTAGACTTAATCAACATGATGGACACGGTGTCATGAGCAATTAAAGAACGGCATTCAATGTTTATCTCGAGTAAAATTGTGCGACATCCTCTTTTAATCTTTATTATTTATTTTATAGGTTTTTATTTATTTGTATTTATTTCATAGTTTTATTATCTTTGTGAGACATTCCCTTTTAAATTGTGTTTTAATCTTTATCATTATTCCTTTTTTGTATTTCATGTCTTATGTCTTCCTTTATTTTAGTGTTTATTTTATTGTAGTTTTATTCATTATTATCAAACCTTTTACCTCCAATTGTTATATTTTGTTTTTAAGCTGATTAAGAGACTTTTCTCACGCTTTAAGAGAAAGGTAATCCTGATAAATCAGAGTACTCTGCATTAAAAACAGTGTGTGTGTTGATCCTGTGTGTGTCTATCCTATGTATTTGTGTGTGTGTGTGTGTGTGTGTTTTTCCAGTGTGTGTGTGTGTTTGTCCTGTGTGTGTGTTCCTCCTGTGTGTGTGTTTCTCCAGTGTGTGTGTGTTTGTCCTGTGTGTGTGTTCCTCCTGTGTGTGTGTGTGTGTGTGTGTGTGTGTGTGTGTGTTTCTCCTGTATGTGTGTGGGTGTTCCTCCTGTGTGTGTGTGTGTGTGTGTGTTTCTCCTGTGTGTGTGTGTGTGTGTGTGTGTGTGTGTGTGTGTGTATGTGTGTGTTATCCAGTGTGTGTGTTTATCCAGTGTGTGTGTGTTTCTCCTGTATGTGTATGTGTGTGTTATCCAGTGTGTGTGTTTATCTAGTGTGTGTGTGTTTCTCCTGTATGTGTATGTGTGTGTTATCCAGTGTGTGTGTTTATCTAGTGTGTGTGTGTGTGTTTCTCCTGTGTGTGTGTGTGTTTCTCCTGTGTGTGTGTGTATGTGTTTGTCCTGTATGTGTGTGTGTTTGTCCTGTATTTGTGTGTGTGTGTTTCTCCAGTGTGTGTGTGTGTGTTTGTCCTGAGTGTGTGTGTTTGTCCTGTGTGTGTGTTTCTCCTGTGTGTGTGTGTTTCTCCTGTATGTGTGTGTGTGTATGTGTGTGTTTCTCCTGTATGTGTGTGTGTTTGTCCTGTGTGTGTGTGTGTGTTCCTCCTGAATGTGTGTGTTTGTCCTGTGTGTGTGTTCCTCCTGTGTGTGTGTGTTTGTCCTGTGTGTGTGTTCCTCCTGAATGTGTGTGTTTGTCCTGTGTGTGTGTGTTCCTCCTGAATGTGTGTGTTTGTCCTGTGTGTGTGTTCCTCCTGAGTGTGGGATGTGCTCCTGGTGTTTTCCTCTCCTCTCTCCTCACGCCTCTCTCCTCCACTCACCAGCTGCTCCTGGTTCCTCATCTGATCCTCCGCCTGCCTGGCCAGCTCCTCCTTGGCGATGATGGCCTCCATCCTCTCCGCCTCCAGCCGGGCGGCCTCCTGCTCCACCCTCCTCCTCTCCTCCTCCAGCCGAACAGCCCTCTCCAGCTGCTCCTGGAGCTCTGAGGGACAACGGCACTCATCAAACAAATAATAAAATCTCTGCTCGGATTCTCGCCGCATGCTGGTGCTGTTATAAATCTGTGAAATATAGATTTATACGACTACAAGTGATCATTTGAAGAGGAGGCACTTCTACACAGTCAGCAGGAAGGGAAGCAATGTGATAATGTGGACTTGTTTTAGACACCTTAAAAGCCAATATCAGGCCAAGTGTACGCTATGGAATATGTTCACCTCTTTGCCTTGAAGGGAACTGAAGCCGTTTTCTATCAACCAGACTCCATTGCAAAAAAAGCAGGAATTTTTGTTTGTAGAACAAGTGAGCTTCTAGTCAACAGAGGCCTCAGTCGGTTTGTTTATGTGTGCTATTGTGTGCCTTTAGAGTGGTAAAAGTTCACACAATGACACAAACTAAGTAACTAATGGAGTCAGAAGTAGAGCAGTGTTGTTTGAGGTTATCAATGGAGTCTGGTGGTTTTGTAAAAGGTGAATGGACTGTACTTATATAGCGCTTTATCCAGTCTTTTAAGACCCCTCAAAGCGCTTTACATACTACATGTTGAACTTGTTCACCCATTCATACAGAGCCGTGTAACCTTACTCTACAGCAGGGGGGTCAAACTCAAAAAAAAATTGAAATGAACTTATTGCACATATTGAAATGAACTTATTGCACATATTAAACCTGGAACTAACAAAGCTTCAATTATTGCCTATAAAAACAACATTAAACATTAAATAATCAGTTGCATTCATTTCTTATGGCTCTATCTGCAGCTTTTCCAGAGACATTTCTTATGAGTACATTTTCCCACAGGCCAACAACAGCTTCAACAAAACTATTCCCTCAAAGAGAAAACCAAACATGCCCTGTTGTCGTGAGAGAAAAAGTGCAGAAGGAAGCATCCATTAAACTCAGGTTGCTGCTCTGTGATGCTAGTTCAGATACTTGGCATCTCATCTTGGGTGCAAGGTCATCAATGTTTGGGCTCAGGCTCTGAGCTGAGGAGACCCTCAGGATGGAGTGAAGGTGTGCGTGCAATATACCGGAGGGCCAGATCTAATAGGAATTACAAATTATCCTGCGGGCCGAAATTAAATCCACCAAGGGCCTGATTTGGCCCCCGGGCCTTGAGTTTGACACATGTGCTGTAGGACCTAACATTCATACACCGTTGGCCATCGGGAGCAACTCAGGGTTAAGTATCTTGCCCAAGGATACATCGACATGTTGACTGCACGGGCTGGGATCGAACCCACAACCTTTTGGCTAGCAGCCACAGTCGCCCCAAAAGAGCATTTAAGCCTTTTTTAGACACACACATATAAAAAGTGAAGGGGCTCACTTGGTTCGAGTGTCCAAGGCTCCATTGACATAAACAATACTTTTAATTTACAGAACACAAGCGTTTCTGGTTTCTGATCCACGATTTGGGAAGTGTGTTTGTGTTATTGTGAGACCTTAGTGAATCCAAATCAACCATTTACTAACTCACTGATCGAGGCAGCAGCCGACCTGAAACTCCTGTGTTCTTTGAGGTTAAATCACAGTTTCTGTCAGGGGAGTCTGGTGGTTTTGAAGAGAGCATACACGTATTTATTTCACACCCCTCAAAAAAAATAAGAAAAAGGCCATAGCACAGAGAAAGCGACTGTTTTAGGAGTCTAAAATAACTACGTCTATGTGTTCTTCAAAACCACCAGACTCCATTAAAACGACAGACATCTTTCTTTGCCGGACTCAGGAGTTTCTGATCTACAATTAGTTTGTGAATCCGAATTAAACCCATAATACACCAGTCACACAATAACACAAACTAACCTACATATTCAGGCTTCTTTAGACCAATAACCGCCACAAACTCACTTATTCCATTTAATAAGTGGAGTCTGGTTGCTACGCTCCAGATAATAGATGTCTGACAGTGAGGTAACCAGTGAAAATATTCAAAATATAGCGCACACTTAAAACTGTTTTAGGTGTCTGAAAGACGTCCACAGCCGTACATTGCTTTACTTCCTGCCGGTCTGTTTCTACAAACGGCAGATTTGACTGTCTTCCAGAGCCATAGGGAGGTCAAATATGCTGTATTTCACAAGAACAAAAGCAAGACATTTAGCAAATAGTCCTAAAAAGTTCATTATACTATCATTTTTAATCATATGGGGACCCTTATATATATATTTATGGGACTTCTTTGGGATACATTGGCTGGGAACCACTGATTTAACCCTCCTATTGTCTTTGTGCAAATTTGACCGGTCCTGTTTAAACTGCTATTACATTAACACAAAAACCATTAATCATCACCAAATTTCATTTAACACCCTTTCAAACTGTACATATTGTATCAGACTACTGGTATACATGAAAAACTGCAGTAAATATACAAAGAACAGACACTGAACATGTATTGCTTGTGCCAGGTGTGATCCATGTGGGGGGATGGGCACATAAGAGCGGGAAATGTGTCAAATTGTTCTGTGTGTGTGTGTGTGTGTTTGTGTGTGTGTGTGTGTGAGTGTGTGAGTGTGTGTTTGTGTGTGCCAGGTGTGATTCACGTGGGGGGATGGGCACATAAGGGGGGGGACACATCTAGAGTATGTGTGTGTGTGTGTGTGTGTGTGTGGTGTGTGGTGTGTGTTGTGTGTGTGTGTGTGTGTGTGTGTGTGTGTGTGTGTGTGTGTGTGTGGTGTGTGTGTGTGTGTGTGTGTGTGTGTGTGTGTGTGTGTGTGTGTGTTTGTGTGTGTGTTTTATCTGATCCGGATGGTTACTAATTCCTTTTCTTTATGGCGGTCATGTTTGAGCGGGAACACCATGGGTGTTACAAAGTTGACTAAATCATCCAAAACTCAATGAAAGTGGTGATCAGCAATTGTATATGTTCACATGTCTACTGTGAAGGATATCATGAAGCCTTGATGCAATCGAATGTAAAACAAAAAAGTTCTGATCGATGAAAGTAGTAAATCGGTCAGATTTGACCCGAAGACAACAGGAGGGTTAAAGCATACGTGCAAAAGTGATTCCCAAATCAGACCATCATGCAGCCTGGGACATTTCTTTCTAAGCATTTACTATGAAGCTGAATTCATGTCGCTACTGATTTCTAGTTCAGAAGTCTGCGTTCTGTTATCAAACAGTCACACAGCTGTTATCATTCTTCAAAATAAGAAGTTGTTCAGAAAGCTAAGACATGACTGTTAGACATGAGGGCCCAGTTATTCTCTGACTCTGGCAAGAAAGTGTTCAAACTGAGATGTAGTTCAAGCAGATGACCAGAGGAGGGCAGTGCTGTGTGTTTCTGCAGGATATTATGAGCGGTTTGTGTCTGAAATGTTAGCTTTGTGTCTCTCTCACCTTTCTCTGCTTTCTTGGTGGTCTCCTCGAACGCGTGCAGCTTCAGCATCAGCTCCTGCTTCTCCTTCTCCATCTCCTCCTTCTCTTTCTCGATGGCCTCCCTCTTCTTCTTCTCGCTCTCCAGCTGCTCCCTGCAGAGCACAGGAACAAAACACTGATTATACATTTTAATCCCAGCATGGAAATATAGAAATCACTAGAGCAGTTATTCTCAAAGTGGGATCTACGGTAATCTGCCGCGCGAAAAGTTTAAATGTATTTATATTATCATGATATAAAATGTATTTTCAAATGTTTCTTTTTTACAAATGCATTACAACTGAATGAATATGAAACACTTAAGTTCTCACTGCTCTTGATGTATTGTCACTGCAGGCAGTTTAATAAATACATCATCAGATTATTGTATTTTTCCAGGAGGAAATTGGGTTTTGTGACAATTTTAGAATTCAAAATAATTAAATAAAAACAATTAAGAAAAACAATATAAACAAAGCCAATTAAAGTAAAACATGTGAAATACATTTTTAATATTTATAGAAATGTATCAAAATATCCAATAAAATATAAAAAAAACTAATATTTACTTATATAAAAATAAGAAATTACAGTAAAAATGTGCACATTGAACTACAATATATAACATGTACAGTATATACAGAGGTGTATTAGTATTAATGAGATAATAATGCTGATCTGCACACTTTAAAAAAGGTTTGGTTGTGTTTTAAGCTTCTTATAGATGTCTAATATCTTTCTAATACATTTATTTAATCCAAAGGACATTTGTGAGAATATGTTTGTATATGCCAGAGGCTCTTTGCAGCAGAACCTCTGTCTTAGAGATCATTACAGAACATTACAGACCCCCCCCTTTTACCTCTCCATCCTTTTGCTCATGCGCTCCTCTTTGGCCTGCGCCTTCATCTGCTGCACCTCGATGGTGTCGGTCTTGCGGCGGCGCATGTACAGGTCGTGGTTCCCCATGCACAGCTGCAGGATGCGCTTGTTGACCCTCAGGCGGGGGGCGTAGAAAATAAAATCCTTAAAGAAAAAGAAAAGTCACCATGTCAGGGTCTGGTTTCAAACGTTCTTTTAAAAGGTCCCCTATTATACTGCTTTTCATTCATATATCACAGGTCTCAGATATATACAGAGCCTGTCTCTGATTGGCTGAAACACCAAACAGATCATTGCAGCATTACCCATAATCCCCTCTGTTTCAGCCCTGTTTCCAAAGTGCTGATTCTCTGTCTGTTACTTTAGATGAAAATAAGGAGCCCCTCCCCACGCCCCTCTGAGAGACATTTGGTTACAAAGAACTCAATGGTGCTCTAGGAGGAGATTCAGGTGATAAGGGGGGGGGGGGGTTACCTTGGCTGCTGATTGGCTAATGGTTGCACAAGACAAAACATCGTTATGACATCATAAAGTGGCCAAAATCTGATCAGCTCATTTTCAGACAGGTTTTTATAGAAATGGATCAAAAAGAGAGAGAATCTTTGTTCCTGAAACTTTCAGAGTCTCTTTCCACAGAGGGGACACATGTTGATGTAGAAGAGACATGAAGAAGAGAGGACACATGTTGATGTAGAAGAGACATGAAGAAGAGGGGACACATGTTGATGTAGAAGAGACATGAGAAGAGGGGACACATGTTGATGTAGAAGAGACATGAAGAAGAGGGGACACATGTTGATGTAGAAGAGACATGAAGAAGAGGGGACACATGTTGATGTAGAAGAGACATGAAGAAGAGGGGACACATGTTGATGTAGAAGAGACATGGAGAAGAGGGGACACATGTTGATGTAGAAGAGACATGAAGAAGAGGGGACACATGTTGATGTAGAAGAGACATGAAGAAGAGGGGACACATGTTGATGTAGAAGAGACATGAAGAAGAGGGGACACATGTTGATGTAGAAGAGACATGAAGAAGTGGATTTTGCAGAATAGGTGACCTTTAAAAAGCATTGAGCTGCTTAGGCCAATCTAAACTTAGTCTGGATGGTTGTACTTCCTAAGAAGGAAAGTCTGTGTACTTGTTTGATTCTCATAATGTGTATTAATCTCTTTTAGGATCTTAAGGTTTATGAAATACTTACAGGAGCTTTCTTATCGATGGGCTTGATGATGAACTTCTTGTCGTTGAAAGAGATGTTTCTGATTTCGCTCCAGGGGAACCCGATCTTTGGAGTGAGTCTGCAGGAGGAGACAGAGTTTGTTTACATCACATGTTCTCAGTCAGAAGACTCTTAGCTCTGACACATGTGATATCAGAGCTTCACGTTGTAGCAGAATCAGGAGAAGTCGGTCAATGGCCTCTCAAAACATCAGCCACGCGGTCAAACGTGATATTTATAACTCCACAGACTGAAAGACAGGCAGCAGAGGTCGATGACTGGGAGTTTGTTGGCTCTTAAACTGGATGTCATCAAATCAATAAAAAAACATCTGGTATTTTAGGAGATACATTATAACGCCAATGGGAGGAATACTTATTAAATACTTATGTATACAAAACAAGCATTTCTTGTTTGTGAATATATAAAGACAATGTTTCTTATGTGCTGCTACTGTGAACATTAAAATAATATATAATATATTTTAATATATAAAAAACATGTCTATGAAGTGTTTTGCTCAAAATACCAAACAGCTCTCCCATTCTAGCCATGCCTCATATCCCTCTATTTCACTTCCTGTTTCTAAAGAGCTGATTTGGGGATAAAGCTTTAAAATAAAAAGCAGGGGTCTGAGCTCATGCGGGACCCGGCAGCTACTGTCTAAACTAAATGCTGCCGTGATGAAACACCATATCATGGATCATCAAGGATTCTCTCTGAAACAGTCTGGAGCTCAAAGGCTTTCTCTCTTGCCGGTTATACCACAAGGTGAGTTCCTTTTTACTTCCTGCTTCTTCACACACATGCTCTCCAGTACAGGTTAGCTCTGAGTGTTAGCGATGCTAATGTAAACACCGACCATATTACGTCCAAAACAGTCGGGCATTGTTTCTGATAGCAACGTTTCTGATTGGACCGTGGGTCCACATTTCAGATATTACATCATATCGGACGCAAATCTGGATCAGCTCCGTTGTAGCCCCGTTTTTAGAGATTTGGGTACGGAGGAAAAGAGAGAGGGTTTTATTTTCTGACGCTTCGTGAGTTCCCCGACACACCGGGGACACATCTTTATACAAGACATCACAAGTGCATTTTGCATGATAGGTCCCCTTTAAACAATTTCTAAGAATTGAAGTCAATGAGGACATTTTAGACATCTGTTTAATTCACTATTTTACTATTTAGTAATTGTATTTATATTTTGTTTTTTTGCTTTTCTTTCTTTATTAATTGTTTTTCATGCTTACCATTGAATTTATGTTTTTATTTTACAACAGGGCAGGGTTACTTGGTGTTGGGATTTTGTTAAAATATTAAACTATAAGTTAAAGTGTATAATGGAAAATGACAACGTTTCTTTAGTTCGTTCTGGCTGTTGTTAAATGGGGCCAACATCTACTTCAATTCATCCAGACATTTCTCTGTTTCAACAAAGGTTTTCTCCAACAATTCCCTGATCTATGGTCTTACTTGTCGTCCTTCTCGTAGATGTTGAGCCCCAGAGCGTCCACTCCGAGCCACAGGTCGGATCCCTTCTTGTTCTTGATCTCAAAGTAGTTCACGCCGAACATCTCCAGGTCCTGAGCGATCTTCAGGTACTCGATCATCGCCTCCTCCCTGTCCGGGTCAAACACACAGGTCATCAGGTTAGGAGATCTTTTTACAATTATGAATTAGACTTTTATTAAGTAGGGGCGACTTCAGATAACCAATTAAATTAAGATTTTACCAAGCTGGTAAAAAAAGAGAGACATGTATAACTCATGCAGTGATTTAGTTAAATAACAATAATTATACAATAACAATAATACTTAATACCGGAAGATTTCGCTTTAAAAAAATGTTTAATAGCGTGCCAGTCTGTGAATTTGTTTTGCTAAATATGATGGCAGATGAATATTAATAATAATCCATATCTGGTTTTAAGCAACAATATAGATGTGTTTACTTTTTGTGTAGTTTTTCATCAAATAAGATCAAATAAGAGCTTATCGTGGTGTAATATTAAGGTTTCATTTCTTTATTACTTTAAAATATATATATATATATATTTTTTTTTTTTTAAAGTAATAAAGAAATGAAATGTTTTGTTGAGGTGAAATGTACCCTAAATTATAGAATGACTCATAGATAGCACACAGAGTTACAAAGTGCTTTCTCATAAAACATTTTTAAGACCAGTCTGTATTCTTCCCCTTTCATTTGATAGCAATACAAAATTATATTTCTGCAGTATCCTGAGGTTGCGGTTAGATATAACATCAGGGTTATTCATGACTCACTTGAGCATGGAGCGGTGCTCCTGGTGCCAGACCTGGATCCTCTCCTCCCACTGCTGCTTCGTCAGCTTGTGTTGCTCCAGAACTCTGAGATATCACAGAGGTAAACATCAATATATATCATGCAGAACATTTACCATTTACTATAGTGTTGCTCCAGCACTCTGAGGGGGGAGAAGTGATCAGAAACACACTGAAGACCACTTCTTAGGTCAGGTACTCTTTAAAGCAGCTGCTAGCTATGGGTACTTTTTACTGAAGTACATTTCAAAGTTCTTTACTTTGACTTGAGTAAAGAAGTTTAGTCAGTACTTCTACTTTTACCACAGTATTTTTAAACACGAGTATCTGTACTTCTACTTGAGTAAAGGATGTGTGTACTTTACTAACCCCCCCTCTCACCTCCGGGCCAGCAGCTTCTCGTTGGACAGGTATCCGGGCTGAAAGGCAGATTTATCCTGCTCTCCGTACTTGGCCTGCACGGCGTAGGAGGCCAGCAGCACGGCGGACTCGGGGGGGCAGTACACCTCCTCCCCCAGGACGTCATCCTTCCCCTGCAGGAAGAACAGCCTGCGCGTCACGTCCTGGATCAGCTCCTCAGACACGTCCTCGGGGTAAAACTTCACCCGCAGCTTGAACTGCAGCGGGGTCTCCTTCTTCACATCCTGGGACATCACCTGGGGGAGAGGAGGGGAGGAAGGGGATTAAATACATAAGTGTAGAGCAGAGGTGTCAAACTCAAATACACAGTGGGCCAAAATAAAGAAAATGGGTACTAGTGGAGGGCCGGACTGGTTCAATGTTTATTGCAGAACTTATTGAAATGAACTTATTGCACATATTAAACCTGGAACTAACAAAGCTTAAATTATTGCCTATAAAAACAACATTAAACATTAAATAATCAGTTGCATTCATTTCTTATGGCTCTATCTGCAGCTTTTCCAGAGTCATGTCTTATGAGTACATTTTCCCACAGGCCAACAACAGCTTCAACAAAACTATTCCCCTCAAAGAGCAAACCAAACATGCCCTGTTGTCCTGAGAGAAAGTGCAGAAGGAAGCATCCATTGAACTCAGTGTGCTGCTCTGTGATGCTAGCTCAGATACTTGGCATCTCATCTTGGGTGCAAGGTCATCAATGTTTGGGCTCAGGCTCTGAGCGGAGGAGACCCTCAGGATGGAGTGAAGGTGTGCGTGCAATATACCGGCGGGCCAGATCTAATAGTCATTAGAAATGATCCTGCGGGCCGAAATTAAATCCACCAAGGGCCTGATTTGGCCCCCGGGCCTCGAGTTTGACACATGTGCTGTAGAGGATAAATAGAAAGTGTGATAGATGACAGTAGAACGTGCTAGGGCTGCACAATTTGGAAAATAGCAAATACGGTTCTTTAAATCTGTAGATAACAATCCATATGCCGGTTTTAACTCATATTTAGCCTTTAACAAATACTTTGCTTCCCGCGATATGAATAAAGTGCACATTACAGTTTTGATCAAATGTAGATGAATTGTGCAGCTTTAGCCCAGCAGGATGTGTACTTTCTTTGGCACCAGGTGTTCCTTAGTCAAAAATAATAACGTAAGATCCAGACTAAAATCCATCATCAACCCTAACAAGGAACATAAGAAATATATGAAAAGTAAAATATAGTTAATTAGAGTATGGTGTATTTAGGAAGAGCAGGATAGAGCTTAATGAACAAGAACTAAACCGTATATCAGATTTCTTCTCGCTCCTTCAGGGAAAACATTCGTTTACCTTCTTGTCGTAGTTCAGCCAGGTCATGAATCCTTTAGCGTCGACAAACTGCAGCCCGAAGTACCAGATCTCCCTCAGACCGATGGTCCGAGCAACCTGTCACACACACACACACACACACACACACACACACACACACACACACACACACACACACACACACACACAACACACACACACACACACACACACACACACACACACACACACACACACACACACACACACACACACACACACACACACACACACACACACACACACACACACACACACACACACACACACACACACACACACACACACACACACACACACACACACAGGACATGTTAAAGGCCTGTCTCAATGTTTTTTTCTGTGTGTGTGTGTGTGTGTGTGTGTGTGTGTGTGTGTGTGTGTGTGTGTGACTGTTATGTGTGTGTGACTCTGTTATGTGTGTGTGTGTGTGTGTGTGTGTGTGTGTGTGTGACTGTTATGTGTGTGTGTGACTCTGTTATATATGTATGTATGTGTGTGTGTGTGTGTGTGTGTGTGTGTGTGTGTGTGACTGTTATGTGTGTGTGTGACTCTGTTATATATGTATGTATGTGTGTGTGTGTGTGTGTGTGTGTGTGTGTGTGTGTGTGTGTGTGTGTGTGCGTGTGTGTGTGTGTGCGTGTGTGTGTGTGACTGTTATGTGTGTGTGACTCTGTTATGTGTGTGTGACTCTGTTATATATGTATATATGTATGTATGTGTGTGTGTGTGTGTGTGTGTGTGTGTGTGTGTGTGTGAAGAAGCAGATAGACAGGACACATCTCTGAGTTCTTTTTGGTTTCCCCTGCTTGCTTTTTATGGTTGTAAATAGAGATGTTGGCCCTCTTTCTGTTTCGCCTGATTGTTTTATGTTCCTATGCTAATGCTCTGATAGACCGTAGACTTATGTGGTCATTTAGCACGTCTTAGTCACATCGTCCTGGCTGCTGCCTGCTTCTGTACACTGTCACATTTAGCAATGTAGTGAATTGAAATCCAAGTATATGTAAAAGCTGTTATGCTTTTGTTACAGAGGTCATAAAGTACAGCAATGTGAAAAACAGTGGGCAGCTGATGCCTCATTTCTCATTTCTCTAAATGCCTGTTTCCTCGACTTCTCTCTCCTCGAGTCTCTTCCTCGCCTCCTCTGCTCAGGGAGTCAAGTGGAGGAATCAAGGAGGTGCGAGAGGCTGAATTAAACCACCTTTGGATGTGATACAGCACAGATACAGTTTAATGCATCAGTCTGACTTATGATAAGGTTTCTGTGACAGTAGCTGAGCTTCAGGAGGACCCCTTTAAGACGGTGCTGCGTTCATGTTCAGTACAAAGGTTTAGTGCTTCAGTAAACTCTGAGGAAAGAGGGCGTTCTTCTGTCTGCAGGTGATTCACCTTCAGTGGAAGTTAGTGGGGATTAGGCTTTTGGGTGTGTTTCAATGAGTCAACTATTCAGGGAGGAAACAGTCTCGTTGGGGGTGCATTTCACATTTTGTATCAGTTTTGATGTGTATCATAAGACAGACAGGGACCTTAAAACTACAGCTGCAGCAACCAGTCAATCAAAAGAAAAATGTGAATAGAAAATAAGGAATGTTTTATAAAAATACACAGTTTTCATAAAAAATTGAAATGCATTTTTATCTAAAAAAAACAAACCCACAAGAATAAAAAATGATAAATTAAAATAATTTTATCTAATAAGATCTTACCTAATAAAATGTGTTTCTATCTTAAAAAACAAACATCTAATTAGATTTATATTATCCATCTGATATAACAATACAACACTTTTATTACCCAATAGAATACATTTAAATAATTATAAAAATAGTGTGGTTTCATTGCTCTATAATACCAATATTATTTACTAAAATATATTTTGGAGGTGGTTATTGCTGTTTGATATACAACCACTATTGTTGGAAGTAAGCTATCTTTTTGGAGGTATACTTCAAATGTATTTCATGGCTTTCATTTTACGTTAATTTCTTCTTGCATTCCAGTGCATTTCATAGGATAGCAAAGCATAACTTTAATGTATGTGCAAGAAAACTGAAAGCAATGAGAGCGAAGTCCCAAACGACAGAAAACTATAATAAATCCTACATATGAGTGCATATTTTTCTGGTGTTTTCCCACAGACCTGGTCGAACAGCTGCTTCCCGGTGGTGTTCGGGTGGAAGGAGAACTCCAGCTCTGCGTCCATGGTGGTGACGCGCACGTTGACCTGCAGAAAAAAGGCTGTTCAGTGACGATAAAACAGGGATTTCTGCTTGTAAACGCAAAAAAAAACCCTCTCTATTAAACCAAAGCATGTATGTACCAATATATATACATCTGAATCCACCAATCATGCATTTAACCACATTTTTCTACCTTAAGTTGCAGAAAATGTGCTTGTTAATTCTGCCACCTTTGCTTTTCACTGCTTCATTACGAAACAGCTTTTCTTTGAAGTTAAACTCATGCATAATAAAGTAATGTGTGTGTGTGTGTGTGTGTGTGTGTGTGTGTGTGTGTGTGTGTGTGTGTGTGTGTGTGTGTGGCCTAGCATTACTATACTTGTGGGGACCTAAATCTGTTTACACAGTCACGTGTGGGGACTCGCCTCCCTTATGGGTACAAAATGGAGGTCCTCATGAGGGGAGTCGTTAATTTTAGGGTGAAGACTTGGTTAGGCATGTGTTGGTTATGGTTAAGGCAAGGCAAGGCAAGGCAAGGCAAGGCAAGGCAAGGCAAGGCAAGGCAAGGCAAGGCAAGGCAAGGCAAGGCAAGGCAAGGCAAGGCAAGGCAAGGCAAGGCAAGGCAAGGCAAGGCAAGGCAAGGCAAGGCAAGTTTATTTATATAGCACCTTTCAACACAAGGCAATTCAAAGTGCTTTACAAAAAATGAAAGACATTAAGAAAAGGGCATTTAAAATCAGTCATTAAAAAGAAAAGCTAATAAAATAAACATTAAAAGAAAAAATACATGGATAAAAGTTACAGTGCAGTCTAAGATATGAATAGTTCAATTAAAAGCAGCGACAAAAAGAAAAGTCTTCCGTTAAGGTTAGGATAAGTTAGGATAAGTCTTCATGAAATGCATAAGTCAATGTAATGTCCCCTGAACTGATGTATACATAGTATGTGTGTGTGTGTGTGTGTGTGTGTGTGTGTGTGTGTGTGTGTGTGTGTGTGTGTGTGTGTGTGTGTGTGCATGCGTGCGTGCGTGATGCCTTTAATGTGGAGCTGTTGGTCGTTCATAAACCCTAATTGCTCTGTATCTCGTCAGACTTTGGACTATCCTTGCAGAGGTGCCACAAGGTTGCCCCTACACAGATTAAATTATCAAAATATGAGCGGAGACAAATCGCCTTTAGACCTGTCAGGCGTTAGAAAAATCGACATTTTTTTATTAATTACCACAGCGATTCAACTGACACGTACATCTGAGGGTTTCAGCATGAAAATCGTAAAGTACATTTACTCAACATCTGCTAAAACTTGAGGTACTTTAGTTCTTTGCTTTCATGCTACTATTACTAACCTTACATAACGTACTTTATATGAGATTATAAAATATCATGTTTTGTTATAAACCAAATGACCTAAGAGTGTAAGTAAGTACAGCTGAAATAAAAGATTAACAATCGTCTGAAATTTGAGGTTTTGTTGCTTTTCCTGCTATTTAAAAAAAACGTGTTAATTTGTGTTCATCGTTGAGCGCTTTTACTTCATACTTTAAGTGTATTTTGCTGTTAATACTTCATTAAAGTAAGGTTTTGAATGCAGGGCTTGGACTTTTACTTAGTAGTGAAGTATTTTCTAGTAGTAGAGGAGGTATTAAGATCATTTACTTAAGTACAATTTGCAAAACTACAGTGTACAAATACTCAATTACAAGTTAGATATTAGCATCACAGTGTACCACAATTAAAAGTACTGATTTTAAGGCAGTGTGTGTATTATTGCATTAATGTGTTCATTACTACTATGTTGGTGAGTGTGGGGTTTATTTGAAATACTTGATATACTGTAGTACTGGGTGGCTTAACCTATACTATTATAGAATAATGTATATCATATTTAATTATATTTGCTATTGTTATTCTAAATCTGCAAAGTACTTAGTAACTACATCTGTACAATACATGTAGTGGAGTAAAAAGTACAACATTTGCCAAAGAAATGTAGTAAAAGTATAAAGTATTTGAGGTACTTTACTTGAGTATCTTCACATTCAATGTTTTACTCAAGAACAGTACTTGAGTAAATGTACTGTACTGTAATGTATGTATTTATTTTACAGATATAGTTACTAGGTACTTTCTACATAAATAACATATTATATTTATATAATATATCTACCAGAAGTACACAAAGTATTCAAAGTGTTCCCGGCAACGACAAATAACAGCATTAAAATACTCTAATATGTAGTTTCACAGAATAATATAATATTGTATAATAATTAGTGCTGTCAAAATTATCGCGTTAACGGCGGTAATTAATTTTTTTAATTAATTGCGTTAAAATATTTAACGCATTTAACGCATGTGCAGAATGGCCCGCCCCATACGTGCCACCAGTGGCAGCGCCAGGGTATGGCTGGGGTAGGCTACACCAGAAATGGCTAAGCCCCACCATGAAAAATGATGTTAAAGTAAGCAAAATAAAGTCTGCCAACTCGCGCGTAGTAAATTGCACAGACAGCAGTTAGTAAGATTGATTTCAGTAGCCACGGTTTTGAAAACTTTTGTCACGTAGTGATCGTCTTCTCAATAGAACATCTTTGATAACGGCGTGGTGTTGTTGCAGGAAGTCCCGACGGAGAATACTTTTGCTGTAGTACAGGGGTGCACATAACTGGTACGCAGGTTATGTGCGTAATCTCTCTGAAATGCGTACCGTCACTTGTGTCACAAAGCGCACCGTCACTTGTGTCACAAAGCGCATTTGCGTACCGACGTACTTGAAGCTTTTCCAGAAGACGGTTAGATCACCGGACGACAGAGTCGGTCTCCGTGTGCACAGGCAGGGCTGCTGTTAACGCCGGTCTGTACAACGGAATTGTGCCAAAACTACGCCAACCGGCTGCGGAGGGAGACTCCCCCCCTTCACTGGAGCACTGCGCTAAAACAGCTGATCACAACGTTCACACTGTGGTCACGAAGTACTCCACTAGCCGCCGCCCCCCCCCCCTCTGTCGACTTTCCTGAAGTACTCCCCCGTTGATAGAAATGTACTGAATTAAGACCCCACAGTTTGATGATTGATAGGTGTGTGGGTTGTCTTTCATTTTGACACGCAGAAAAATGTTATAATAAACATAGATACTGTATGTTAAATGGATATATCCGCCTTCTTTCATTTATCTTTCCATTCCCACAACAATATACATAAATAAATGGCATATTTTGGACATAGTTCGAATGGTGATTAATCATGATTAATTAATTTTTAAGCTGTGATTAATCTGATTACAAATTTTAATCGTTTGACAGCCCTAATAATAATAAAACCATCATAAAGCCAAACCGCGCGGAAACCCCTCACAGCTGAGACCTCAACAACAACAATGGCCGATTGTGCTCCAGCTTCCTCTGTACCTCTTCGGAAGACTGATGAAACTTTGTGGGAAAAGTACTGCGGTGTGAATGCGCCTATTGAGTACTTTTAGCTGATATGTACTTTTACTTAAGGAACACTCTTACCTGAAGACTTTTACTTGTAATGGAGTATTTTCAAAGTGTGGTATTAGTACTTTTACTTAATTAAATGATCTGAATACTTCCTCTACCGCTAGAAAATACTTTACTACAAGTAAAACTCCAAGCCCTGCATTCACAACTTCACTTAAAGGTCACCTATCATGCTATTTTTATTGGTCTCAGATATATAAAAATATATAAAAAACATGTCTATGAAGTGCTTTGCAGATCACCCATTCTAGCAGTACCTCATATCCCTCTATTTCACTTCCTGTTTCAAAAGTGCTGATTTTGGGTATAAAGCTTTAAAGAGGAGGGGTCTGAGCTCATGCGGGACCCGGCAGCTACTGTCTAAACTAAATGCTACCGTGATGAAACGCCATATCATGGATTATCATGGATTCTCTCTGAAACAGTTTGGAGCTCAAAGGCTTTCTCTCTTGCCGGTTATACCACAAGGTGAGTTCCTTTTTACTTCCTGCTTCTTCACACACATGCTCTCCAGTACAGGTTAGCTCTGAGTTTTAGCGATGCTAATGTAAACACCGACCATATTACGTCCAAAACAGTCGGGCATTGTTTCAAATCTGGATCAGCTCCGTTGTTCCCCGTTTTCAGAGATTTGGGTACAGAGGAAAAGAGAGAGGGTTTTATTTTCTGACGCTGCGTGAGTTCCCTCACACACCGGGGACACATCTTTATGTATAAAATACATCAAAAAGTGCATTTTGCATGATAGGTCCTCTTTAAATGAAGTATTATCAGCAAAAAGTACCTGAAGTATAACGTAAAAGTATTACATTTTGAAAATACTGTAAACTAGAACTTTTTTTAAGTAAAACCTCCCATTTGAGACGATAATATTTGCACAAGAAATTACATTAAATGTTCTAAAAACAGATATTTCAGCGTGACTTGGATAAACTCTTAGGTAATTTGATGTATAACAAAACATCATATGTTATAAACGTATGTAAAGTTTGTTATGTAAGGTAAATACAACTGCAGTGGGAAAAAAGCACATTTCCAGTCCTGTATGGATGTTACAAAGACTATGTTGACAGTGTGATATCAGTATTTTAAAGTAAAGGCTCTGAAATCAGCTGCAGGACACTTTGAGTTGGTCGAGGTTACACAATCCTTTTATGAAGTTACACTGGAGCACACCCTGAGTGTCATAAAGATAAACACTCTGAGACTTAGGCAACACAAATCCATTTATGAAACCGGCACCAGTTTCTCCATTTACCCAGAAAACCTTAACTCCACCTGATGCTGCCGACCTTTCCTCCGATCATTGACGGTTAAAAGCAACATTACTGGAGCAGGAATACATTTAAATCTTTCTATTGTCTAACATCGTGTTCTTTTTGGTATCTTTGATTAAGAATGTTCCTGATTAACACTTTTAAACCTGCTGCCATGACTTTAAAATGTGGAGTTTAACGCGAGTAAAATGGAGGTAAATGTCAGAATGACCTCCTTGGGAAAGGCTTTCTCCTTGGGAAAGTCAATATACGCTGCGATCTGATGTCGTAATGCAACCTTCTTATCAGTTCTCCTACAGACTGATGCTGAAACTTAGCTAAGGACATTTAGGACTCTTTTTAACGGAACATTGATTATTGTTGCCGAATCACAGAGGGAGAAAACAGTTATTAAAGCATACAGTCATGATATGTTGGTGAAAGTCACTCATGACGATTACAAAATCACTTCAAAGCTGGTTAACGTGATTATAATCAGTTTTGCTCGACCACACTCTGTCTAGCTGTGGTGATAAAGGAGTGTTTAAGTAGCATTGTTTCTGACAGGAATGTGTGCAGCATGGGTCAAACTCTACATTTGGTTAATGAGTAAAGACCAAGAAGCAGAAGAAGAAGGGAAGGTGGCTCATATAGAAACAACTCACAAGCTTAAACATAGAGAGACAAATGTGTTTAAAACTATAAAAACACACTTATTGAGCTTCAAATCTGCTTTTCGTCACTTTAACATATAAACCCACGTTCTTTCTTTCACACGTGAACCAGGAAGAGACTTTGAAGTGACGTATTTAACGAACTTAATCACAGATTCTTACTGTTTTGGGCATCTTGGCGGATGTTTTTGAGGGGGATCCAGCAGAAGAAATTGTTTCCCAGGCGGACCGAGGCTGCAGTGGGTGACTGGCAGCAGAATCTCCACCTGATAAAGAAAAAAGGCAGCTCCGCTCCGCTGGCAGACTCAAGGGCAGGGCTGATGTCCTTTGAACTCGGCTGCAGATCGCTCTCAGTGACGTGGGAGGCGCAGCGATCACACACACTTTCCAGAGAGAGGACTTACCTGCAGCAGCGAGGCCACGAACAGCTCCACCTAAAGACAATCTCCTGCCTCAGCACAGGAAGTGGTGACCTTTGGTCGGCGCGTGCACGGCTGTAAAAGGCCCGGACGAGCTAATCATGCTGCCTGCCTGGAGGTGACATGAGTGAGTCATGAGCGGCCATAAAGACATCAAGATAACGTCTGCTGGTGGTGAGACTCAGGGGACAGAAAGGTCTCGAGCAGGTTCAGATGTACACACTTTAATGACAGGAACAACAAAATCAGGATTCACAGAGATGTGGAAATATACAAGTTTTTATCTTTAAAGAGGACATATAATGCTCATGTTCAGGGTCAAATCGTTTATCGTTACATAGTGATGTCATGGAACTTTGGGATTTTAGCCTCTGCAGACCATTTACATGCACACAAACCAATAGAGCACACTACAGGAGAGGGGAAACCCCTAAAAGCAGAAAACTAAATGCAGGGCAGTGGTATCAACTCTTTTTCAATTAAAGTCGTCGCTAAAAGTGGCTCATGTTGTACTCACATGTGCCAAGAGGAGGGGAGGGAACATCAGTTTACTTCAATGACTCTGAGCAGCATTAGAACGACTTAAAAAGTTGCCTATTGCCTCCTTAATTATATATATATATATATATATATATATATATATATATATATATTAGAGGGCAGTGCATTTTAATGACACCACTGGGTAGGAAAATCTAACGACAATTCAAAAATTGGAAGACTCAATCGACAGAAACATTATTTGGTTTTTTGGACAAAGTCATACATTTGAAAGACACAATAACCATGAGTTCTGAAAGACTTTTGAACATTTTCTGAATTTGTATAGCCTAAAGATTAAACTCTTCGCTATCAATGATGAATACAAAATGATAAAACATACTTAAATCAAATATGAGTTTTATTAAATATGTCTACTCAGTATTTCCTAATCTTAACAGAAAAAGGGTTAAAGTGTTGAAATGGTTTGAAAGGCACTGTGCAATTAAAGCTCTCAGACATAATAAAGCATAATGTAAACATTTAGTTCAAGTAAATATCAATAAAACACGTTTCTATATGTATTTGTTCTTCTCTTGTTCACGTAATGCACTCAGCATTCGAGGGATTTAAAAAAAAACCTTCTTCACGATTATAGCTTCCATAAAACAACAACATGAGGTTAGAACTCATCTTTGCTTTGGAAGAGAGGCTGGTCCTCAGGTCTGAAGTCTTTGTTGGGACTCCCGTCCTCCGTGAGGATTCGAGACGCGGTGTAACCCACGATGGGATACTTGGTTTTATACGTTCCCTCAAACACACTCTCCAGAGACTCCAGCTGGTCCTCGCTGAGGCCCGTCTATAGGGGGGGGGGGGAAACAAGACCTTTAATTAACACGTTTTTATCTGGGACTTTTAAAGGTCACCTATTATTCAAAATCCACTACTTCATGTCTCTTCTACATCAACATGTGTCCCCTCTTCTTCATGTCTCTTCTACATCAACATGTGTCCCCTCTTCTTCATGTCTCTTCTACATCAACATGTGTCCCCTCTCTTCATGTCTCTTCTACATCAACATGTGTCCCCTCTTCTTCATGTCTCTTCTACATCAACATGTGTCCCCTCTTCTTCATGTCTCTTCTACATCAACATGTGTCCCCTCTTCTTCATGTCTCTTCTACATCACATGAGTCCCCTCTTCTTCATGTCTCTTCTACATCAACATGTGTCCCCTCTTCTTCATGTCTCTTCTACATCAACATGTGTCCCCTCTTCTTCATGTCTCTTCTACATCAACATGTGTCCCCTCTTCTTCATGTCTCTTCTACATCAACATGTTGCCCCCTCTTCTTCATGTCTCTTCTACATCAACATGTGTCCCCTCTTCTTCATGTCTCTTCACATCAACATGTGTCCCTCTTCCTCTACATCACATGTGTCCCCTCTTCTTCATGTCTCTTCTACATCAACATGAGTCCCCTCTTCTTCATGTCTCTTCTACATCAACATGTGTCCCCTCTTCTTCATGTCTCTTCTACATCAACATGTGTCCCCTCTTCTTCATGTCTCTTCTACATCAACATGTGTCCCCTCTTCTTCATGTCTCTTCTACATCAACATGTGTCCCCCTCTTCTTCATGTCTCTTCTACATCAACATGTGTCCCCTCTTCTTCATGTCTCTTCTACATCAACATGTGTCCCCTCTTCTTCATGTCTCTTCTACATCAACATGAGTCCCCTCTTCTTCATGTCTCTTCTACATCAACATGTGTCCCCTCTTCTTCATGTCTCTTCTACATCAACATGTGTCCCCTCTTCTTCATGTCTCTTCTACATCACATGTGTCCCCTCTTCTTCATGTCTCTTCTACATCAACATGTGTACCCTCTTCTTCATGTCTCTTCTACATCAACATGTGTCCCCTCTTCTTCATGTCTCTTCTACATTAACATGTGTCCCCTCTTCTTCATGTCTCTTCTACATCAACAATGTGTCCCCTCTTCTTCATGTCTCTTCTACATCAACATGTGTCCCCTCTTAATCGTCTCTCAATCACATGTGTCCCTCTTCTTCATGTCTCTTCTACATCAACATGTATCCCCTCTTCTTCATGTCTCTTCTACATCAACATGTGTCCCCTCTTCTTCATGTCTCTTCTACATCAACATGTGTCCCCTCTTCTTCATGTCTCTTCTACATCAACATTGTCCCCTCTTCTTCATGTCTCTTCTACATCAACATGTGTCCCCTCTTCTTCATGTCTCTTCTACATCAACATGTGTCCCCCTCTTCTTCATGTCTCTTCTACAATCAACATGTGTCCCCTCTTCTTCATGTCTCCTTCTACATGCAACATTGGTCCCCTCTTCTTCATGTCTCTTCTACATCAACATGTGTCCCCTCTTCTTCATGTCTCTTCTACATCAACATGTGTCCCCTCTTCTTCATGTCTCTTCTACATCAACATGTGTCCCCTCTTCTTCATGTCTCTTCTACATCAACATGTGTCCCCTCTTCTCATGTCTCTTCTACATCAACATGTGTCCCCTCTTCTTCATGTCTCTTCTACATCAACATGTGTCCTCGTACTTCTTCATGTCTCTTCTACAATCAACATGTGTCCCCTTCTTCTTCATGTCTCTTCTACAATCAACATGTGTCCCCCGTCTTCTTCATGTCTCTTCTACATCAACATGTGTCCCCTCCCCTCTTCTTCATGTCTCTTCTACATCAACATGTGTCCCCCTCTTCTCCATGTCTCTTCTACATCAACATGTGTCCCCTCTTCTTCTTCATGTCTCTTCTACATCAACATGTGTCCCCTCTTCTTCATGTCTCTTCTACATCAACATGTGTCCCCTCTTCTTCATGTCTCTTCTACAATCAACATGTGTCCCCTCTTCTTCAGTCTCTTCTACTCTAACAATCAACATGTGTCTCCTTCTTAAACTTCATGTCTCGTCTACAATACAACATGTGTCCCCTCTTCTTCATGTCTCTTCTACATCAACATGTGTACCCTCTTCTTCTGTCTCTTCAACATGTGTCCCCCTCTTCTTCATGTCTCTTCTACATTAACATGTGTCCCCTCTTCTTCATGTCTCTTCTACATCAACATGTGTCCCCTCTTCTTCATGTCTCTTCTACATCAACATGTGTCCCCTCTTCTTCATGTCTCTTCTACATCAACATGTATCCCCTCTTCTTTCATGTCTCTTCTACATCAACATGTGTCCTCTCTTCTTCATGTCTCTTCTACATCAACATGTGTCCCCTCTTCTTCATGTCTCTTCTACATCAACATGTGTCCCCTCTTCTTCATGTCTCTTCTACATCAACATGTGTCACCTCTTCTCCATGTCTCGTCTACATCAACATGTGTCCCCTCTTCTTCATGTCTCTTCTACATCAACATGTGTCCCCTCTTCTTCATGTCTCTTCTACATCAACATGTGTCCCCTCTTCTTCATGTCTCTTCTACATCAACATGTGTCCCCTCTTCTTCATGTCTCTTCTACATCAACATGTGTCCCCTCTTCTTCATGTCTCTTCTACATCAACATGTATCAGCTGATCAGATTTTGGCCACTTGATGATGTCATAAGTAACATGTTTTGGCTTGTGTAACCATTAGCCAATCACCAACCAAGGTGTTTCAGCCAATCAGAGACAGGCTCTGTATATATCTGAGACCTGTGATATATTGATGAAAAACAGTATAACAGGGGACCTAAATAAAATAGACTTGACTATTATATTAGTATCATGTCATTATTATAGATATGGAAAATAAAGAACAGGAAGAAGCTTTTGAACATTTGGTGCATTGACACTTAATTAAGTATTCAAATAATATTGATTCGGTTGACGGGTAATCTGATCAGCTTCTCTTACTGTTGTACCACCCTGTACGATGTGCTTTGGTCCTGCAAATAAAGCTTTTCTGAATTTGACAAAGTGTGTAAGTACTGTATAATTACATGAATGCTTTTCTGTTCGTAGCCTCACACTCAGGTGTCAGATGTCGCTGCTCCTCCCCCATGGGAGTCAGCAAATACATTGTGACTATGGGAAACGCTGCAGTCGAACAATGGGTGGATGTATTGTGATAAACTAAGGAAGCTGTTGGTACCTGCTCATGTGGATAGTTATGTAAAGTATAAATCCCTGTAATGATGCTGTATGATGTCCTTTTGTTTATGTGTTTATGTTTCATGTGGAACCTACTTGAGCAGGTCTCCCTTGAAAAAGAGATCAATGATCTCAATGGGATACACCTGGGTAAATAAAGGTTTGAAATGAAATGAAACTCACAGTATCTGATGTCAGGGTCTGCAGGGTCCAGAGACATCTTAGCCACCGCCCGAGTGCAGTCCTTACCCACCAGAGCGTTGTAGGGAGCGTCTCTTCCATAAAACTCTGCAGCGGGAAAAATAACACATCAGGAATTGTTAGTGGATACATGTGTAGTCTGAGTGTAGATTCACATTAAGGCTGGACACTTTCAAACGGGAGACAATGTGTCTATGATCGAAAGCAGGGTTCGAGTTATAATCTGAGCTTCATGGGGGTCTTTAAAACTAACGTTAGGAGCGGAGATAAATATATCAATAACAGCCGGGTAATAACGTAAATAACGGGTGAAGAATCTTCTTCGGGCTCGCGCAGCACGCTCACAGGTATGGATTGCACACGTTGGAGCTGAAGTGCAGACATATTGTCTCTCAAGAGAGAATACGATGCGTAGTTCTTTTGGAAAACATGTGTTACCTCGTTAACGTAAAGAATACATTGTTACATAGAAAAATGCACTATTTGTGATTAAAATAATGGTTGTTGGTAATGTATTAGCGACCCCCACAGATGTATGATTTCACTGCTTTCATAGGAGCTCAGACCCTCCCATTGGCTCCCACATAACTCCAACCCTGATAGAAAGAAATGGATGAAAGGAATATAAAAAGGTTAGAAAAGTGTCAAAAGAACTATCATTTCACGAGAAGACTAGGGGTAGAGGAATGTGAGACTTTGGTCAAATATCTGGAACAAACTCCGCTGCAACTCTGACTACTTTTGAATCCAGGCTGAAGACTTTTCTTTTTGCCGCTGCTTTTAATTGAACTCTTCACATCTCACACTGCACTGTAACTTTCATTCATGTACCTTCAATTCAATTCAATTCAAAACCTTTATTTATCCAGGTAAAATCCCATTGAGATCAATGATCTCTTTTTCAAGGGAGACCTGCAGCAGTAGGTTCCACAAGAAGACATAAACAAACAGAACAACAAAAGGACATCATACAGCAAAATGTACAGGGATTACAATTTACATATCTAACCACAAGTACAGGTACCAACAGCATCTGATTGTGTAGCATCCAACCGAGCTTTAAAAACATGTAGTGGTACTAGCTTGGTAATTTTCCATTCTTTTTGCAGACTGTTCCATGTTAGTGGAGCTGCACATCTAAAAGCTTTCTTCCCTAAGACAGTCCTAGCACTTGGCACATTTAATAAAACCACAGCATGCGATCTCAGGCAATAAGTACTTTCAATTCGCAGAGAGATCCGGGAGCAGATATAAGATGGTAGTTTATCCAACATGGCTTTGTAAATGAAAAAGTACCAGTGACTGAGCCTCCGTACAGTAAGTGATGGCATAACCGCCTTGGTATACAGGGTACAGTGATGCGTAAGTGCTTTACAATTTGTCAAAAATCTCAGTGCACTGTGATACGCAGCATCTAACTTGCTCAGGTAATTGGCAGGTGCATTCATATATAACAAATCACCATAGTCCAGCACAGGTAAAAAGGTCACAGAGCCTTTTCCTGGCTTCAAAAGAGAAACAGGACTTATTTCTGTAAAAGAAACCTAGCCTAACCCTCAGCTTTTTAAGCAGGTTATTGACATGAAGTTTAAAAGTGAGACAGTCATCAAGCCAGATACTCAAGTATTTGTAACAGGTAACCACTTCAAGTTGTATTCCTTGCGTAGTTACAATATCCAAAGCAGTCTCTGGTGTATTTTTAGCTTTAGCTTTAGAAAAGAGCATTACCTTGGTTTTATCCACATTTAAAAGAAGCTTAAGTTCAGAGAGCTGAGCCTGAATAATGTTAAAAACAGCCTGTAATTTAACAACAGCCTCGTTAATCGAGGGACCTGCACAGTACATAACGGTATCGTCCGCATAAAAATGTAAGGTTGCTCCTTCGACATTTTCACCTAAACTATTAATATAGATGGAGAATAAAAGTGGACCTAAAACTGAACCTTGTGGTACACCATTAGTGATGTTTAACCACTCAGAAGACAGACCATCAAACTGAACACATTGGGACCTTTCAGAGAGGTAGTTCACAAACCACCCACTGCATGGCTGGATATGCCGATACTGACCAGCCTCTGCTTTAAGATGCGATGATCGACGGTATCAAAAGCTTTGGATAGGTCAACAAATAGAGCTGCACAACTCTGCTTATTGTCTAAAATACTCGTAATATCATTCACCACTTTCATTGTGGCAGTGATGGTGCTATGTTGCTTTCTGAAGCCTGACTGATGTTTAGACAGGATGTCATTGTTACATAAAAACACCTTTACCTGTTCACTCACTAAGCGTTCAATAACCTTGGCCAGAACTGACAATTTAGAGATGGGTCTATTATTGTTTAATAAGCTGGCCTCCCCTCCTTTTAGTAGTGGCAGGACATACGCTGACTTCCATACTTTTGGGATTTTGTTCGTGCTGAGAGAGAGGTTAAAAAGAGTAGTAAGAGGAAGAGCAATAACATCTGCAGCTATCTTTAAAAAGAAAGGTTCTACGTTGTTATTCATGTTTTATTATCTTTGCTTTTATAATGTTTCTAATGTGTTTTACGCTCTTAATGTCTTTCATTTTTGTGAAGGACTTTGAATTGCCTTGTGTTGAAAAGTGCTTTATAAATAAACTTGCCTTGCCTATTGTACTTTCTTTTGAGGTTTTGTTGAATGGAAAAAACACATTTAAGTTATCAGACGTTTGTTTTTTTATCTAGTAGATCATGATATCTTGATTTCCCTCAGGTTTGTTGGAGGGGTTTGTTTACCTTTCCCCTTGGTGACATCAAACACAACTCCTTTTATCGCCATGTAGATCGGCTGACCCTCCTAAACAGGGCGGCAAGAACACAACGGAGAAGATACACATGTTGATAAATCCAGATACAAACCGTTATCATGAACCATATACTATATATATATCCATGTTATGCTACTTAGTACTTCTACACTACAATTCAGAGGTAAAGGTTAATTCCTCCACTACATGTATTTTAATACCTTTAGTTACTTTACAGATGTGGATGAATGATGGTAAATCTAATCAAGTGTTAAATCAGACTTTAGTTCCACCTGGAGTAAATCCACCAGCTACCCTGCAGTATACAAAGTCATTCAGACTAGCTGCACCTTCACCAGCTTTGAGAACACTTTCATGATCAATCATTATAAAACATATCATATATATTATTCTGAAATGGCCCAATCTGCACAACGACTACTTTTACTGTCGCTACTTTCACTATATTTAGATGCTGATACTTTTCTACTTTCACTTGAGGAACATTTTGAATGCAGGACTTTTACTGTAACAGAGTATTCCTACACTCTGGTACTTCTACTTTTACTCAAGTACAAGATCTGACTACTTCTACTTTTACTCAAGTACAACAGCTGAGTACTTCTACTCTTACTCAAGTACAAGATCTGAGTACTTCTACTCTTACTCAAGTACAAGATCTGAGTACTTCTACTCTTACTCAAGTACAAGATCTGAGTACTTCTACTTTTAGTCAAGTACAAGATCTGAGTACTTTTACTCAAGTACAAGATCTGAGTACTTCTACTTTTACTCAAGTACAAGATCTGAGTACTTCTACTTTTACTCAAGTACAAGATCTGAGTACTTCTACTTTTACTCAAGTACACGATCTGAATACTTCTACTTTTACTCAAGTACAATATCTGAGTACTTCTACTTTTACTGAAGTACAAGATCTGAGTACTTCTACTTTGACTCAAGTACAAGATCTGAGTACTTCTACTTTTACTCAAGTACACGATCTGAATACTTCTACTTTTACTCAAGTACAATATCTGAGTACTTCTACTTTTACTGAAGTACAATATCTGAGTACTTCTACTTTTACTGAAGTACAAGATCTGAGTACTGCTACTTTTAGTCAAGTACAAGATCTGACTACTTCTACTTTTACTCAAGTACAAGATCTGAATACTTCTACTTTTACTCAAGTACAAGATCTGAGTAGGCCTACTTCTACTTTTACTCAAGTACAAAGTCTGAGTACTTCTCCCACCTCTGTACATCATTCATCCAAATCTGCCTAGTAACTAAATGTACTAATAAATGTAGTGGAGTAAAAGTACATAATCGACCTCTGATTGGTAGTGGGGTAGAGTGCAAAGTAGAAAAAACGTAAAGAAATAAATTAAAACATGCAACTAAAGTACAAGTAGCAGTACTTGAGAAAACGTACTTAGTCACTTTCGACCACTGATCATAAACACATGCATTTACACACACACGCACGCGCACACGCACGCACACACACACACACACACAGACACACCTCTCCGCCGTCGTATCTGCTCAGCTCCTCCTCGGTGAAAAGTCTCACAGGTTCTCTGGAGGTTTTGTGTTTTAGTTTTAAATCTTCCGCTAAAGTCGCAGAAAGGACGAGCAGCAGGACGCAGATTCTCGCTGTTGCCATGGCAGAAACTTCATCCACTTCCGTGTTGCTGCTGGAGGGAAGCGGTGATGCATTCAATGTCGTCGGAATATTTAGGGATACCTCTCGACCTCGACCGATTCCATCTTTATATGAAGGACGGAACATGACATAAGTATAAATAATTAAATAAATATATACATGTAAGAATAAATAAAGGAATAAATGAATGAAAACGGAAATACATATATTCATAAATAAATTAAATAATGAATACACGTGGAAACAAATACAGGACTAAATAAATACAATAATACATATGGAAATAAATAAATAATTGTATAAACGCCTAGCTGGCCAATTTTTCTAAGAGATGATTTTTAAATTACATTTTGTTTACTTTTTTAATGCTTTTATTTCATTTTTTGGTTAACTGGTTTAATCAGGGCCGTCCCTGGCCAACTTGGGGCCCCAAGCGATTAGCCGCTTTCACACCAAGTAGGCTTCTTTGCTGTACTTTTAGTGCCGGCACTTAGTGCCCCCCCCAAGAGAGGGAGGAAAAAGAGAGGCTCCGTGTATTTTATTATTATATTATATAGAGTCGTTATTCATTTGTTTTAAAGCTCAATAAATAACAAAGAAGACCTTTGACCGGCACTTTTATAATTTTGTCCGGAAGATTTAAACTTTAATAAATACACGTTGACTGGCGAAAAACTCTGCCCGCTTCCCTCAGCCCCCACTGCGGAGAATAGAAGGGCAACCATGACAACCATGCTTCTTCGCTGCTTTTGTGGAGGAAGTTACAGCGCCACGTACAGGCTCCTGCATATGTACTGCAGCTTCTCCAGCGGTTGGAGCTAAACGGAGCGGTCTCGTGTGGACAGACACTATCCGGTGAATATTGCGTGTGGACGGAAGCTTTTTTGCGATTGCGTTAATCCTATGCGTTTAGCCGTTTTCGTGTGGCCGGGGCCTAAATTCCCTGAGGGAAGATTACGCAATTGAAGCCGCTGACGTCTTCTTCTGCTTTTGGGTTTACTGGCAGGCCGCAAACAACTTCACGTCATTCTTATTATACATCCATGCCTATACTGCCACCCGAAGTCCCCGGCCGGAAGTCCCCGGAGTTGGGGACTGGCTTCAGTAGAAGACTGGCTTCAGTAGAAGCTACTGAAACCTTCTGAGTAAATCGCCAGAACGCCGACACCTCATCACTCCACCGCTTCCATGTTTTTTTTGTGTTGCCATAAGTTATTCTCTCTCCGTTGGTGCTTGGGGCTAATGCTAATAATGCTAATGCCAGCAAATACAATGGCGGCTTCACAAAACTTTTCAGTTTTACGGGACGTGGTTTGCAATTCGCCCAGCCAATTGGTACTTTTTTCTCCCCAGGACAGTCCCACCTCTCTAGCAGGCACTAAAAATGGGGGTTAAAGTTCCCGCCCGGCACTAAGTACTCTTTTTGGTGTGAACGAAAAATAAGAGGTACCAATGGAACTAAACGGGAAAAAGTACTCCGGTGTGAACGCGCCTATTGTGAGATGAGGGATGAGCCCCCCCCCAACCGACAGGAGTGAAACAATTATTTTTGGAAACAAAGTACTTTGCAAATATAATTCCTGTTTATTATTATTATTATTATTATTATTATCAACAGTTACTTTTTTATACAGTGAGGTAAATGGTAAATGTGCATGTATGTCGTTCATATATTCATTAAAAAATATAATTAATGCAAATAAACTATTTCTACTAATAATCATAATCAATTCGATAATATAAATACTATATTATTTTATTATAGTATAGTTGTAATATAGTCAAGACAAAACGTGCTTATTACATGCTCAAAAACTGATACTTCTTAAATCTGTATTCAAATGTAGTTCCCTCTGTCAGCAATGTATCAACAACTACACACACATTTCTATCAGTATTTCTCTGTGTTGTGGTTGACATGATGATGACTGTTAGGAGTTAAGGGGAGAGGCTGAGCAAAATGTGCAAATTGACATAAAAAAGGGGAAAAATGCTCCCTGTTTTTTAGGCTGTAAACTTTAACTGTTATGTAAGCCAACTAGACAGACAGTGTATCTCTCTTCCTCCTGTACATTAGCAGATAAAAGGCATAACATACTGAATGAATGGTAACTAAAGAATCCTGGAAATAACTGCATCATTAGCCTGGATGCTCTGCAGAGACTGCCTTCTTCATGTCGTGAATTGCAGCTGATGTTTTAATATGGCAATTGGAAAAAGTTTGACATTTGACTCATACAATAACCCACCTTCGAGTGATGCTCTAGTTTCTTCATGTTTTGTTTTTCCCCCCTCTTGCTTGCTCCGGACTGAAACTGTCTTTTCGCCGACATCTCTTCTCCTGCACGAGTGGCCGTATCAAAGCCGTGATTGGTCACATGTTGATTCATTGCAACCGTGTCGGGTTACAGACGTGCTCCCCAATGGTGCTCCCCTTGTCACCTCTCGCGTGTCAGCGAGGGGGGGGGGGGGGCTAACTTTTTACGAGTTCCACCTAAAGGCAGCACTAGGTTTCAACCTTAGGGGGAAGGAAACAAGGAAACGTCAAGGACACTGATGTTTACTATTGGATCGTGGTCTGTAGGTGCTTCATTATCATGGGAGGAGAATTTAACGTTTACGCAAAACCTCCCATGGGTGTTGTTGTCTCTCTTTATAGCGGTAAACAGGGACCTTAGAAGGAGGGAATTACATTTAATCTAAAATGTATTTCTTATTTATTAAAACTACTTTTCACACTTCGCACAAGTAGCCAGGAGTTTCTCTTTGAAGAGCAGAGTAGTGTTTGTAAAGGAAGTGCAGAGGAATGGGCCGGAAAGAAAGATCCCGGTCATACGAAGAGGTAGGAAGTTTGTTTACAGTCTGATGTTTGTTTGGATAAATAGAAAACATAAGTGTGTAATCTCCTGTTGATATGAAGGGTCCTTAAAGTGTCCCTCGGGTCGCTGCACGTCATGTGACTTTACAGCTGAGGCTGCTGTTTTCATGCTTCTTCCTTTCATGTGAAGAGCTAACCTCATTCTGACTAAAGTTATTAAGTGGAAGTTGAATCCTTTTCTGAATTAAAGACAGGCATGAGGTCTGTGTTCATGTATGTATGTATGTACTAGTAAAAAGTCTTAAATTACAATTACATTAAAGTACAAGTAGGCTATCTCAAAATTGTACTTAAGTCCAGTACTAGAGTAAATGTAGCCTATTTAGTAACTTTACACCACTGGCTGTGTGTAGCAACAGGGGCGGACTGGGACTACAAATCAGCCCGGGACTCTCGACCGGCCCACTTCGGTACCGCAAGTAAATACTGCTTGTAAATTGTCGGGGAGGGCGGTGCCAGTGTCTTATCCGACCGGCCCACATCGTCCGACCCGGCCACTTCAGTACCGGCCCATAGGGATTCCGTCCCGATGGCCAGTCCGCCACTGTGTAGCAATATAGCCTACTATATATAATATCTCACAAGTAGGCCTACTTTCATTTAAATACTTAGCTTCATTTGCTGCTAATACCTTGTACTTTTTTTATTACTTTGCTTAAAAATAAATAGCTTAAATGTCATCTGATCTTAATAATATAATATTTATTGATTGTTTGTGTATTTTTTTATCAGAATCTGCAGATTAACTGGTAACTAAAGGTATGAAATATATGTAGTGCAGTAAAAAGTCATTGGAAGAAAACAACAACACGTAAACAGGAACAACAACACAATCAATAACATTAACAATTAACTTAAAACAAACTTAAAAACGTATACATTTTCTAAATAACAATATAAATGAACGATGTAAAATCTCCACTGCTGCACATCCTTAATTTAGATGATGTTTCTTCGTTAACTTGTGCTTTAACTCCTCCTTCACCTCACAGTTTAATGATGACGATGACGAAGGAAACAAACAGTCGGCAGGATTCTTCGACGATGCGATCGACCTGGACCGCGAGGAGACCAACGACAGCGTGTCGCCGGGTAAAAAACAACGTTTATCTAAAACAGCTACAGGCGTCTTTAATACTTTACTCTGCCCTAAAAGGAAGCTTCATGTAAAATATTTTGGACATTTTAAACATTTTGTTTACCAAAATGTTGCTCCTGAAAAATTCATTCTGCACAAAGTAATTATTACAAAAGTACTAGATTCGCAAACATAAGACTCAAATTGAAATAGTGGTTTAAAGACTTTACAGCAGAGATCTTCAACAGGGGGTCCGCGACCCTCAGGGGGTCCGCGGAGGTACTGCAGGGGGGTCGCAACATCTTTGGTTGATTAGACCATTTTTATATTTCTTAAAATAAAACAAAATTCCAAACATTTTTTTTTCCACAAATTGAATGTCTTTAAATGCACATTAACATGAATCCGACATATCGTAGCGAACGGAGAAATGGAAGCAGAAGACGTTATCTTTCAGTCAGCAATGCACGCATTCAGCTACACACAGCTATCTCAAGCTAGGCGCCGGTTCACTCACAGCAGGAGACTACCCCGGACCTGTCCCACCAGGGCTGCTTCTCAGGTCGATTAAATGAAATCCTTGCTTCCCTCACTTGCGTCGTTTCCCTGCGTTTAGTCCCTCCCACCAGGGAAGCATGGAGAGACGCAAGGAAACCACGAGAAGCAGGGGAATGAGTTTTAAGAGCAATGGGATGTCCTTTCCTCCGGAGCGTCACGTGAAGCGACGTCCGTTTGTGATGACGCTGCACAGCTGATCGTCTGACAGCAGCTCTGTCCACGTTATTTCCACACACCCCCCGCCTCTGTTAGTACACATAGTACACCAATAAATAAAATAAAATAAGAACTAATTCTCAAAAAAGATAAACGCCATTCTTAAAATTTATAAACGAACAATAGTTTGATTAATATTGATTAGAGTGCACAATAGAAATAAAATAATTGAGAGAAGAAAAAGAGATATGTTATCTATCAAAACCCAGTTAGATTAACATTCATTGGATTGCACACTTTGTTTGTTTGTTTGGATATGTAGTAAATTAACATTTCAATAGCACTTAATGACTGACTGAATGGAAATGACAATAAATGAAAATGTAAAACGAAAAAAAGCGATCATGAACATTTTTCCAAAAAATGAATTAAATGATTTTTGACCACTTTGTTGTTCAGATATATCACATATTTGTAACTAAATGAAACATGAATTGAAACAAAACACGGTATAAACTGAGGAGTGACTCCCGTGAGGTTCATGTATTTTCTTCACTCTGCTCTCATGTCAAGAAGCATCAGATCAGTGCATGCACTGCCTCGTCCAATCAGTGAGCGATACACAGTAAGGGGGCGGGGTGAGTATCTGAGGATTTCATCGGAGGATGGTCTGGTGGTTCCTCGGTTATCGCTCCTCCATGATCGCTCCTCGCTCCTCGATCCTCGGTCCTCCGGCAGAAATAAGAGCCATGGGACGGTACTCAAGATGGCGCAGGCAAATCAACTTCCGGTGAGACCGAGGACCGAGGAGCGAGGAAATGAAAATAGTCGACCTGAGAAGCAGCCCTGGCCTCCTGTACACAAAGGGGAGGACCCGCCCCTATCGCTGCTGTGCCAATTACGAGGCTGCATGACACACGCTGGCTCTGTCAGGTTCCCCGTGATTGGCCGAGAGCCTATTCAGTCCCCAGTTTACTAAGGACCCAGACAAGGACGCACGCTGCGATATTATTGAGAAGACCATACCTTTATATAGCCTATATATAAAAATGGATCGTTTTGTAACTCGACCAAAAAAATCCACAAGCACAAGAGAGATACCACCCACCTCAGAAACCACCAGTGAACATGCAAGTGGCGAGGCGGAACCTGCTGCTGATGTAGCAGCTAATAAGGGTAAGCGCAAACGAGAGAAGACCCGAAAATATGCAGATAATTATCTGAAGTTTGGTTTTACCTTTAAGGAAACAGATGGCATTGAATTTCCAATGTGTGTCATTTGCTCTACTGTTCTTTCAAATGAATCTATGAAGCCATCAAAGCTGCAGCATCACTTGGAGACAACACACAGCCACTTAAAAGACAAACCTGTTGAATACTTCCAAGCTAGCCTCAAATCCCTCCAAGGTCAACAGATATTGATCAGAAAATCAGCCAAAGTTGCTGAGCTAGCTTTGAAATGCTCTTATCAAATTGCTCTTCGGATTGCCCAGAAGAAACAGCCATACACACTTGCAGAGGATTTAATATTGCCTTCAGCAACCGATATGTGTAAAACAATGTATGGGAATGATATTGACATTAACAAACTGAAAACCATTCCAGTGTCGGACACAACCATAGCTCGCCGTATACGAGATGGCATCTGATGTGAGGGTGCAACTGATAAACTGAGGCAGATGCATTTGCATTACAATTAGACGAGTCAATAGATGTGTCTAAGGACGCCCAGCTTCTGGCGTTTGTGCGCTTTGTAGATGATAAGGAAATGCAGGAGGAATTTTTGTTTTGTAAGTGCTTCCCTCAACGCACAACTAGTTCTGAAATCTTCAAAGTGATTGATATTTTTTTCAGAGAAAATGACATTCCGTGGACAAAATGTATTGCGCTGTGCACTGACGGTGCAAGAGCCATGGCTGGTTTAAAAAGTGGACTAATCGCGTCTACTAATGTGTCTCCGCAAGTGATTTGGACGCACTGCATGCTACACAGGAGTCACTTGTTGCCAAAGATATGAGCGCTGAATTGGCATATGTCATGGACTCGGTAGTGAAAGTAGTCAATAGTCAAGAAGAGCGCATTGCAAACAGGTTAATATATTAACCTGTAGTGCCGTGAAAAGAGAGTCGGAGGCGGTGTATTAAGAATGGAGTTCCAATCTTTATTATCCATTACTTTCAGAGAGGTTAACACATGCACTGCTCTGCCTGATGAGCTAGCAGGAATGGCAGCTAAAGCTACAGGTGTTCCCCACTAAAGGGTCCGTGTGGCAACACAATAAGCAAGGTGAATTATGTCCAATAACGTGTCACCACACAAGCCCCCCCAGAATTCACACATAAACAAAATCAGCATGGCGGGGAGGAACGACACGCCGACCCCCACGACTCCTGAGCACGGGAGTCGGAAAAGTGACTCCCGCCTGTGCGGCCCCCGGAAGGGGAGGGACCGGAACAACAGGTCTTAAATCCGTGACAGGGGACGAGGCCGGGGGGCGGCCCCGTCGCGGAGGTCGAGCCAGCACCACAGGCTGGTCCAAGTCCAGGTGAGCAGCCTTCACCCGGTCCACCGAGACGTGCTCGGCCTTGCCACCCAGGTCGACCACCAGGTGCTTGTCCCCGTGCTCCAAGACCCGGAAAGGCCCATCATAAGGGGGCTGCAGGGGGCCTCTGTGCGCATCGTGCCGGATGAACACGTGCTCCGCCGAGCGGAGCTCTGCGGGAACCTGGGACACCTGAGTACCGTGCTGAGTAGTAGGGATCGGAACAAAGGCCTCAGCGGCGTCACGCAGGAAAACCCGCTGGGCCGACGCCGACCAGGGAGCTGATGCATTTGGGAGGAAATCCCCCGGAACTCTCAGCGGCTGACCGTAGACCATCTCCGCTGTAGAACACTGCAGATCTTCCTTAGGTGCGGTCCTCAGGCCCAGCATCACCCAGGGCAGCTTGTCGACCCAGTTACCGTCCGTAAGGCCGGCCTTGAGGGCCGCCTTCATGGAGCGATGAAAGCGCTCGCAGAGACCGTTAGCCTGAGGGTGGTAAGCGGTAGTCCTGTGCAGCTTAACCCCCAAACCGCCTGCCACAGCGTTCCAGAGCTCGGACGTGAACTGAGAGCCCCTGTCTGAGGAAATGTCTGACGGGGTGCCAAAACGACACACCCACGTTGCAATGAAGGCCCGGGCAACGTCTGCGGCTGATGTCGAAACGAGCGGAACCGCCTCCGGCCAACGGGTCGTCCTGTCCACCATGGTGAGGAGGTAGGAAAACCCCTGAGAGGAAGGCAACGGACCAACCAGGTCAATGTTGACGTGATCAAACCTCCTCTCAGGCACCAGGAAACGCTCCAACGGGGCCTTCGTGTGGCGGTGCACCTTAGCGCGTTGACAAGCCACGCCCTCCCTGGCCCAAGTCCTCACGTCCCTTTTCAGTCCTTGCCAAACGAACTTCGCCGCTACCAAACGGACCGAAGGTTTAACGCCGGGGTGTGACAGGCCGTGCACAGCCTCGAACACAGGACGCCTCCAGCTGGCAGGGACGACAGGCCGCGCCAGGCCCGTAGAGACGTCACACAGGAGAGTAATGCCCGCGTCGCCGAACACCACGTCCTCCAAGCGCAGCCCCGCGCTCTCCACCTTCAGGGCCTGGACGCCGGGATCTGTGACCTGGTCTGCCGCCATGCGAGTATAGTCCAGGCCCAACTGGACGGCACCGATGACGACCCTGGAGAGGCAATCAGCAACCAGGTTCGACTTGCCAGCCACGTGCTTAATGTCCGTAGTGAACTCCGATATGTAGGACAGCTGCCGCTGCTGACGTGCCGACCAAGGCTCCGCCACTTTTGACATGGCAAAGGTGAGCGGCTTGTGGTCGACAAACGCCGTAAATTCACGGCCTTCCAGCATGAAACGGAAGTGCCGCACGGCCAAATAAAGTCCGAGGAGCTCCCGGTCAAAGGCGCTGTATTTGCGTTCTCTAGGCGTCAGCTGGCGGCTGAAAAAGGCGAGCAGCTGCCAAGCGCCCTCCACCCACTGCTCGTGCACTGCGCCGACCGCGTAGTCTGACGCGTCCGTGGTGATGGAGATGGGAGCCGTAGATGATGGGTGTGCCAGCAAAGCCGCCTGAGCCAACGCGGTCTTGACCTCAGCAAAAGCGCCGTCCGCCTCTGCTGTCCAGTCGATCTCCTGGACGGGGGTCTTGCCTTTCAACGCTTCATACAGCGGCCGCATGATGTGTGCGGCCCGGGCGATGAAACGGTGGTAGAAAGTCACCATCCCCAGAAACTCACGGAGAGACCGGAGTGTGAGGGGGCGAGGAAAAGCCGCAACAGCCTCCACCTTCGCTGGCAGAGGTGTCGCACCGCCCTTGGTGACGCGGTGCCCCAGGAAATCGATGTCCGACACCCCGAACTGGCACTTTGCAGGATTGATGATTAATCCGTGTTCGTTGAGCCGTGTGAAAAGGGCTCGGAGGTGGGACAGGTGCTCCTGCACTGAAGCGCTGGCGACGAGTATGTCGTCGAGGTAAACAAACACAAACGGCAGGTCCCGCAGCACCGAATCCATCAGGCGCTGGAACGTCTGAGCGGCATTCTTGAGTCCAAAAGGCATCCGCAGGAACTCAAAAAGTCCAAAAGGCGTTATCACTGCTGTCTTGGAATGTCCAGGGGGTGCATGGGCACCTGGTGGTATCCACGCACCAGGTCCACCTTGGAAAACACCCCCGTACCGGCCAGATGCGCCGAAAAGTCCTGAATGTGCGGCACCGGATAGCGGTCAGGCGTAGTGGCGTCGTTGAGTCGGCGGTAATCCCCGCACGGGCGGAACCCGCCGTTCGATTTGGGAACGACGTGCAGGGGGGAAGCCCAAGGACTGTCGGAGCGGCGGACAATGCCCAGGCGCTCCATGGTTGCGAACTCCGCCCTCGCTACAGCCAGCTTAGAAGGGTTCAACCGCCGGGCCCTGGCGTAGACAGGAGGCCCTCCGGTAGTGACGTGGTGTTCCACGCCATGCTTAGTGGTAAGCGCAGAGAAGGTGGGTAGCGACAGGTCTGGAAACTCGGCCAACAGTCTGAGAAACGTGTCTGCACCTGACAGCGAGCCTGACAGCCCGTCGTACGCTGCGCTGCCAAGTGTGCACACGAGGGAAGAAAACGTTAAGGCATCAACCAAACGCCTATTCTTAACGTCCACTAAGAGTCCATGAGCACACAAAAAATCCGCTCCGAGGAGGGGAAAAGAAATGTCCGCTGTCACAAAATCCCAGCTGAAACGCTGTCCTCCGATGCACAAACACATAGGCCTCACGCCGTACGTGCGAATGGGACTGCCGTTAGCCGTCGTCAATCGCGGTCCGTGCCCCCCACGGGCGACGTCTTCACTCGACGCTGGAACTACGCTCCGTTGAGCGCCCGTGTCACACAGAAACAGGCTCCCCGAAACGCTGTCGCTGACGAAGAGGAGCCTGCACGTGCCGCCGACGCTCAGAGCCACTACTGAGCGCCGGCCCCTCCGTTTCCCGGGGGTTTGTAGCTGCACGGAGCGATGCATCTCTTCGCCCTTGTCCCGAAACGTGCGTGGTAAACGCACTCTCCGGCGTCTCCACGCCGGCTAGCCACAGCCGTGTCCGGCCTCCGCCACGCTTTCTTGACTGCCGGTGGGCCGCTGAGCGTCGCGGCTAACGTCTCTGCCCCGGGCTGTTGCGTAGCCAGGAAAAAACGATCCGCTTCCTCAGCCAAAGCACGGGGCTCCGTGACAGGCGTGTTGGCCAGCGCCGTCTGTACCCGGGGAGGCAAGTGACGCAGGAAAATCTCCGTGAATAAAATACGGGGATCTTCCCCCCCTAGCAGATTTAGCATTTTCTCCATTAGCTGGGATGGCTTGCTGTCTCCTAGGCCTTGAATGTCAAGTATCTGGCGGGCCCTCTCCTTAGCAGATAAGCTAAATGTGTTAAGGAGAAGGGCCTTAATCGCCTCATATTTGCCATGATGTGGGGGGGCTGCGATGAATCCCACCAACCTGGACGACGTGGAGCTCCCCAGCGCTGCTACCACATGGTAGTATTTTAGGTCCCCGTCACGGACCTGTCGGCAGGCGAAATGTGCCTCCACGTGTGCGAACCATGCCTCCGCGGTGTGCTCCCAGAATTCCGGCAGCTTTATGAAAACATCGCGCTCAGCCATGTTCGTTGATTTTCCGGAAACTTTCTCGGAAAAGTCAGGGTCACCAGTGTAGTGCCGTGAAAAGAGAGTCGGAGGCGGTGTATTAAGAATGGAGTTCCAATCTTTATTATCCATTACTTTCAGAGAGGTTAACACATGCACTGCTCTGCCTGATGAGCTAGCAGGAATGGCAGCTAAAGCTACAGGTGTTCCCCACTAAAGGGTCCGTGTGGCAACACAATAAGCAAGGTGAATTATGTCCAATAACGTGTCACCACAAACCTGTGTATTATTTGAATAGCTTAGTATTGAATGTACAATAACAGAGTAGCTATGTTTATACGGCACGAGGCCCCGTTTAATATAAAACACAATTGTATGCCATACATATAGTAGGGGGGTCCCTGCTCCAGCTCTCCATCAGTTTGGGGGTCCCTGGCCTGAAAAACGTTGAAGACCCCTGCTTTACAGCATGCACTTTTACGAGTTGCACCTTAAGGCAGCACTAAGTTTCAACCCTTCTTAGGGGAAGGAAACAAGGAGATGTGAACTACAAACAAAATTACCATGCAGCGAAGGCATAAATCATAAAATACAATATACAAGACATATTAATGAAGCTTAAATATTCCCGGTGACTTTATACCTTTTGTTACGAATACAACGGCATAGTGGCGAGCCGTCAGGGCCCTCTAGGTCCTCTCTGAGGGCCTTAGATATTCTACAATATATAATATTTAAAAACATAAAAAAACAAAACAATTAATATTTTTTTTTTAAATATTTTTTTAGTTATATTTTTCATTAGTTTTATTTTTCATTAGTTTTACCAAAAATAACTTGATTTAATTGTATTTAAAATAACATATCCAAATAAATAAATCCTTCGAATCTGCCTATTCAGTTTCTGTTTGAATGTGAAGGGTTAATCAGGGGTGGGGAACCTCCGGCCCCCGGGCCGTATACGGCCCGCGAGACCATTTGGTGTGGCCCTCGAGGTAATTTATAAACACACGCAAAAAAGAAAAAAATTAAAGAAATCTAGACCGCAAAATAATTAAACAAGTGAATGCCTGTTTTTCCTGGCCAAGGTCAGGGTCCTTGAACACAACACAAGCCTAACATGTCATCACGTGGTATCTCTGATAGGGGTGTGGTTCTGACGGGGAGCACCAGAACGCAGCTCCGTTTCGGCACTTCCAAAAATGGCAGTATCCATAAGGAGCCGTACACATGCTGCAGTTTTTGCGTGGCTGTGTTTTAGTTGTAAGCCCAGTGGCGATCTGTTCATCTGTCACACTGATCATACAGTCAATAACTTTGTTGTTATTAGCATCTGGTTAGCTAGCCATGCTAACGAATAAAATAAGCTTTTTCTACAACCAGTGAGGTAAAGGCACATCTTTATATGATCATTATAGTTATCAAAAAATAAGAGAATAAAGTAAACAGGTATAAAATACTATATGACAGTAAAAAAAAGTTGTTATTAATAAACAAGAATACAGTTTGAAAGGGGAGTGATTTGTAAAATATCCATAAAGAAAAAGAAAATCTGTTTACAGTTCTGTTTCATCTGGGTGTTGAGAGATGTATCCATAGATCTCCTAATGTTGCTCTCAAAGTGCACCAGATTGATGCTTTTAACTTCAACATTTAAAAACAAATCTTCCTGGGGGAGCATGCCCCCCGGACCCCCCTAGAGGAGGTTAGGTCCCCCCCACTTAAATCATGTTCACATGGATAGGAAACTAAATACATTTGCACACATCTTGTGTCCATATCTTTCTGTTTTGGTGGTCATGCCACAACCGTGCACGTGCATGCGTGAGTCATGGCAAGATATCTGGATTAAGAGGTTGCTTTTTCTTTGCACAGCATGAAAGAAAGGCCAAATGAATGGGCTGTGATTTTAGTTTTTTTAAGCAGAGGTCAATAATTTATACGGCCCTCGGAGGATGTTGAAAACATTGAAATGGCCCTTGAGAGGAAAAAGGTTCCCCACCCTTGGGTTAAATGAAAGAAGTTCGTCTCTGCGAGGTACTGTGAAGCTAAGAGCTGATTGGTGGTCCTGCTATGAATTCACAGAGGGCTAGCTATAGTAACTGAATCAGAGAGTAATGTCAAGTGACAGTACAATTGACCAATCATATCTTCCCTCTAAAAGGGTGGGTTTTATTATCGCGGACTTTATGACAAGTTCCGCCCGCTGTGAAACTGTTCTTGTTTCCATAGCAACAACAACTTCCTGTCAACAGCGTAAACTCGCCTTCAAAATAAAAGCATGCCAAATTACACTTAAGACATACAACTGCAACGAAAGTAACAAACACAATGCAATATCCTTTTCAATTTCAAAGAACACAAATTGGGTTATTTACAGGTGTTGTTTTGTGTGCTAGAGGGTCGCTGTCATTGATGCGTTTTGCACCCAGGGCTGTTGTTTTGTTTTTCCGCTGAAGTATACGCTGTGGCATAATAACAAATTTTTTTCCCTTTTTTTTCGAGGGAAGGGGTGGGGGTCAGAGGGCCTAGGTATAAAAGTCACGGCTCGCCACTGAAACTACATTTGCTTCCCCTGCAGAGGAGGATGAGGAGGTCAGGGAGAGCAGTCCTCCCATGAGGTTCAGTAAGGGCTGTCTGAAGAACCTCTTCATGGTTGTGCTCATCTTCATCTACCTACTGCTCACCGGGGTCGCCTTCTTCCTCGCCTACCAGACCATCTCTGACTTCCTGGAGAAACTCAACCACCCCGTCATGTCCGTCACCTACAAGGAGGTGGACTCCTTCTCACCCCCGGGTTAGTATTCATAAGATAAAGGACATCTAAAGGACGGCTAAATCACTGGTATCTTTTTATTTATAAAGCAATGTTAGGGAAACTTCCGTCTTACATCTGTTCCCTGATCTCACAGCGTATTGTAAATGGCTACTGCCTGAGATCTAAAGCTGTGGTTGTATTACATGTGCCAACTGCTAGGACTGTATTAGGAAATACAGCTTTTAGATGCGCAGCGCCGCTAGCATGGAACAGTCTACAAAAGGAATGGAAGCTAAGCAGTTTGATTCCAATTCATGTTTTTAAAGCTAGGATAGACGCTATACAATCAGAAAATATTGGTGTCTGTAAATGCTACTAGTATACAAACTGTAGTATCATATAATGTCCTTTGTTTTCTGTCATGTTTGTATTAATGTTTGGAACTAATTGAAGCAGGTCACCATTGTAAAAGAGGTCTATGATCTCAATGGGTTTTATCTGTATAAATAAAGGTTTTGAATTGAATTGAATTGAATCTCAAGGACTGGACTGGAGATAGGAGCTTAGGTTTACTTGCAAGAAAAGCATCAGACATCCAACGTGTGTTGGATGTAACACTTTTGTTTTTTCTCCCATTTTTTAACTCAAAGATCTATAACATTTTTTATATACACAAAATAACCATTTCTCTCAAATATTGTTCACAAATCTGAAGAAATCTGTGATAGTGAGCACTTCTCCTTTGCCGAGATAATCCATCCCACCTCACAGGTGTGGCATATCAAGATGCTGATTAGACAGCATGATTATTGCACAGGTGTGCCTTAGGCTGGCCACAATAGAAGGCCACTCTGAAATGTTTAGTTTTATCACACAGCACAATGCCACAGATGTCGCAAGTTTTGAGGGAGCGTGCAATTGGCATGCTGACAGCAGGAATGTCCACCAGAGCTGTTGCCCGTGAATTGAATGTTCATTTCTCTACCATAAGCCGTCTCCAAAGGTGTTTCAGAGAATTTGGCAGTACATCCAACCGGCCTCACAACCGCAGACCACGTGTAACCACACCAGCCCAGGACCTCCACATCCAGCATGTTCACCTCCAAGATCGTCTGAGACCAGCCACTCGGACAGCTGCTGCAACAATCGGATCGCATAACCAAAGAATTTCTGCACAAACTGTCAGAAAC